TGTATATTTTTAAATGAACCTTCAGTAAACTTTTGAAAATAAAGGCACCACTGGGTTTCTATCCTGCCACTGCCCTTTTGAAATTCGAAGCACTCTAGGTGTTACTACTCAGTTCTCGTACGTTATTACGGAACCAAACTTGTAACTACGCTCAACGGACTTTGTTAAAAATGAGCCAAACTATCGTAAACTCTGAATTTGCATCTGCTCTGCATGGGACAAAACTAAATTGAGCTCCGAACAGTAGTAGATGTCGGCGAACTCTGTTTCGAAGGGCGATGAGCACTCAAGAGCTGAACTAATATTTTCAAGAAATTGAGATAAATATATAGGTTAAGTTAGTTGAACTATGAACTAAACAAAACTGCGAAACATCTCAAACTCCAGTGTCATGGATTCATGAACTGCCTGTGTGGAATTTTTCTGTGGAATTTATCGTGAGTGGACAAGTTCAGAATTCGACATTTGGTAAGTCAAAAACAATTTCGGAGGTAAGTGAACATCTTTCTTTTTTTAAATTGCTGGAAATAATTGTGTATCCCCTTCATACTTGCTCGTGCTATTTATAAGAAAAATACCTCCCCATTTATGAGATTTTGGGTCCAGCCAGATTTCGAGTGTCTTATCTTTACATTTTGAAAATTGCAAAAAATAACAGGTATAGTTGAAAAAATGTACTCGGAGTCTACCCCACTTTTCAATTTAAACTTGACTGGGTTTATAGGCTTAAAAAACTAATTTCTGTGGCCACTTTAGTCAGCTGTATTCACAAGAAGTTATGTCCAGATTTCGCACCTTTTTACTTGTAAACAAACGTGTTGTTTTTGTTGGAAAATGTATTCTGAATCTCTCCCTAATAATATAGTTTAAACTATCTGGTTCGGAGCTTCAAAAATCTATTTTCTATGGCCAAGTTTAATGTTTTAGTCGACATGACTCAATGTATTAAATTACCCCAAGTTTCCCCTCTTTTGCATTCTAAAATTAATAAATAAATTAATATAAAATTGGCCCCAGGCTTCAAATACGTATTTTCTGTAGCCAAGTCAAAATGTTTTTGTCGACGTGACTCAAGCTATCGATTTTTCTCCCTACGGCATTGTCTGAAGTAAATTGAAGGGTTATTTGGATATGAAAGAGATTAACACCTGTGAATTCCTAATAAGGTGTCTTTGGGCCCTGGCTGAATACAACCTTTTTTTGGCCCCTGGCTGTGTACAAGTTGTTTGACCTTTGAACCCCAAGTCGGCACGCGGCACGTTCAGTCCTATTGTTCTTTTGGGTGAAGTTATGTGGCAGGCACGCGCTCGGTCGGCGCGTGGCTGCCGAGGCGCATTTAGTCCTATTGTTCTTTTGGGTGAAGTTATGTGGCAGGCACGTGCCTATTATCTCTGAAATATTCCTCTGGTTTGCGGTTGTAATTCTTGGTAATTGACAGATACTCCACGCGTGTGTCAATGCCAAATTTAACATGCTTCCTGTAGGGTGTGTAAATGTTCTTATAGAAACTGGAGATTGTCAACAAAAATCAAGATAAATACACCTCTTGGAACAAGTCATATATATATATATTGATAGCCTGGTCAATCGAGAACTCCTTTACTTTATTTCATCTTCGTCACAAGAAAAATCGGGATAATATAAGATATTTCTAAAGTAACTCCATTTTCTCCTTTTAATAAGGCCATAATATCTCTTCTTGATCAAGCATGAAGTATAAACCCAGTGGCAAGAGTAGTGATATTGTTCAAATTTGCTGGAAATTCCTCCTCAAGTTCTCCCTTTTTAGCAGACAATTACTGTTTGAATGACAAGTTTAATAAAATTACTTCATCTTCAAATTAAATTATTTTTTCCTCAGAAAGATATTAAGTGAGCAATTGTAAACAACAATAAGGCTTTGAAAATTAAAATATTATGAAACAATTGCAAAAAAAACCCAAAACATTACTTTACATTGGAATGTTGTTGTTGAACTTTTAGGCAAATAATTTGATTAATTCATGTCTTTTATTCATTCGTCATAAATCAACAATAACAAAAAGACAGAGGAGAAAACTCAGGGAACCTTGAACATCATGAACATGAAAGACAAATCAAACGAAACAGTCTGAATGTCAGTAAAGCAAGGAAACTAGGAATTAATGTTGAAGCAAAACAAAAATGTGGTCTGCAGAATCGACAAATTAAATAATTAACAATTTAGCATAACAAGAAAAGCATAAACCAGGGAATAACGATTGCTTGGCTAGGTCAAGGGAATATTGTTGAGTGGGATGAGCGACAAGAAAGTATACGATAAGAGAGTATTCCTGAGAATCAATCCAAACAGGGCTGTATTTTTAGTAGAAGATAACGAGGGATGGGACCAGTGTTGTTTTTGACATTATTTGTCATCAGATTGAATAGAGAGGGGATATGTGTTTTGTTGTTTTCGTCTTTGAAGCCTCTTTTTCCTATTTCCTAAATTTATTGCGATGAGTTGGAGTTAAATTAATGTGTAAATATTGACTCATCCTTGAAAAATTATAAATATTTTTTTTTAGCTGAAATGTGTTTATTTTCTTCTTATCAAGCCAAAATTTAGTTTTAAATATTCTTCATTGTCTTTGTAGTTTTCTGCGACAAGTCTCTGGTTCAAAGAAAATAAAAGAAATGTAATCATTTGTTGTTTGGTGATGCTAAAATGTTTTTTTTTTTGGGGGGGGGGGGGGTAATGGCGTTTTCATTTTTACCAACAAATCTAGTAACCATGCCACCAAAGACAAAAAGTCAGGATCTACTAAGATCGATTGAGGAGAAAAATGTTCTGTTCGGAACATGCTTTTTGCTTTTCCATAACATCAAACTCTTCATTACCGCCCCCCCCCCCCCTAATCAACAAAGTACAGATACAACTATCTATAACTATCAAACGTTTCAAAAGCTCAGCAATGACTTTAAAACCTGGGGGAAAAAGTGCCAGGAGTATTTCCATGTACTGAAAAATTCCTAAAATAAATGTATTTTTTTTCTTTCCTTTTGAGCTGTTCAAAATAAATATGTGCTGGCAAAATGTGGCTGACAAAAGTATAATTCTGAAACAAAACACTCTTGTAGAGAATAGACAACACAACGTATTACCCATCAGGCTGAGGGTTTGAATTAATCCCTTTGCTCATTTCAGTAAGTAGCGGGGTTTTTTTGCATTGAGAAAGTACACTTAGACACGGAATTCTCAAGGAAATTGAATTTCAAACAGACAGTACATGTATCAATAGAGTGGCAAAAACGAGGGCGCAAAAAATAATAATGGAAAAGCCATTTAATTGACAATACCACTCCTTATTCCCTCCACCTAATATCCCCCAACAAGAAAACCCCCAAACCACATTTTTCCTATAGGAACATAAAACTGACAAGTGTGGAACCGACTAATCTGCCAAAACCTGGGCATGAGCACCCGCATGTACTGAATGGAAATGACTAGAAATTAGATATCATGTACTTTTCTGCATAAATTCTGCAAGGAAAACTGAATTTAGAACAGAATGTATCACTAGCATGGCAAAAACGCAGGCACATGTATGGCAGAAAAAATTCATTTATGGAACAGAATTTACTGTAATATGACTCCTTATTCCCTTCCAATAAAAAACACATATCCCATTACAACAAAACACAAAAAACATATTTTTCCTAAATAAACGTGTTGCCAGCTAATTGAAGAGCAATAATTAAAGTATAACACTATTTTCTAACTATAATGCTTAAAGTAGAAGCCAAGTAATCTTTTTTTTCTAAATTAAGCAATGTTTAAAATTTAAAATAATACATCAAACAAAAAGGTGCTGCTGTCTTTGTTCACATCTCCATACATGAACCGTGTGATCAGACTTTCAAAAGAATTGTGATTTGCAATGAGTTCTTACCAGAAACAAAGGTGGGCGATGAGAATGCCCACATTTCTATGCTTACTGATTCTGGCTGCAATGGTCACTAAAGCCTTAATTGTGACCACGTTAAATATATGCATGCTAATGCAGGGGACTTCTGACCAATTCAGAAATTAAGACTTTTGCCAGCCATCCCAGCGTTGGCTGACTGTTATATGTTCGCAGAATACAGAACAGTGGCGTAGCACGGTCATTTTTATGGGGGGGGTTTAAAATGTTTTGAAAAGGGCACTTGCTCATGCTCATCCGTACTGAAGTGTAGACATGTTTTTTTCGGCAGACACTTGGCCTCCGTTAAATCAAATAGTGGGTGGTGGGGGGGGGGGGGGGGGGGGCTGGTACCATCTGTCGATGGGGGTGCTATTCAAAACCGATGATTATCCACTCTAACTCCACACTAACAGACAATATATGGTGCTTTTAACGGCGATACATGCCCGAAATTAACAAACAAGGCACCTGCAATGGCCGATGGCACCAAAAAGGCCAACACTTACTTTTAAAAAGGGCACTGTTTCAGGAAAAAAGGGCACTTAAAAAAAAAGGCAGCCTTGACAAAATATTTTTTTTGGGGGGGGGGTTAAGCGTTGGTGAAAAAATAGAATAGAAAAGGGCTGTATTTACAAAATATTGGGGGGATAATTACCCCCCCCCTTACCACCCCCCCCCCCCCCATGCAGAATAATGCAGAATTCTTTGGTTTCCAAAGACCAGCAAGTCTGCATACTCTCCTACCAAAATTCCCTCATTCCACCTCAGTGTAGGTACAGAACATTTGCTACTTTATTTTCAAAACTGACTAATGCACTGTTCTTTTTGTTGTTGAAATGAAACATAAATGATCCCATCGAAGGGAAAGAACTTTAAATTCTGCAGAATCTGCAAACTCTACGGACAGTCAGTTTTTATGCTGTTTACACCAGGGGTTTAAGGCAAGGAGCGCGCACCCAAAAGATTCTGACTATTTATGATGAATCTTAGGTCAGTTAACCGCTACACTTATATATATATATATATATATATATATATATATATATATATATATATATATATATATATATATATAAATATACATCATGTGACTAATGGGAGAAATGCCTCTCGTTTCCAAAAATGTTCGAAGTTTGACGAACGCATTTTGTCGACAATGTCGGATAGCGCCCGGGAATTTCCGGGTATAAAATAGGTTTTATCTACCTGCCTTGCTAATCAAAAAATTTGAAAATGAGTTCATATTTATTGCTGGAATTTAGAAAATTTGAAATTTAACGATGATTTTGTGCATCAAGTATGCACAGAAATCGTACGAGGGGCAAGCTTTGCTGCGTCATGTACCATTTTGATTCTGACGACGGTTACTGGGATTTTCCAAAACTCAGTGTGGTCTTCATTTTGGTTTTGCCTGCTAACAGTGCTATATGAGTCCCTAACTTTAAAGATTTTAGGTCAATATTAGTCAATGTTTTCTAACAAAAATATCAGCCTGTATGATATATGAAGCAAGTGAATTTTATATTAAAATTTTATAGGAACATTAAAAGCTATAAATGATAAAGCCAAACTGGAAACGAAGCCGAGCTGTGCAAAAGGGCGGTCATGTTTGTTTTTTGCCCCTGTAGTTACCTGACCTACATAGACCTTTATAGGAACATTTAAAGCTATAAATGATAAAGCCAAACTGGAAATGAAGCCGAGCTGTGCAAAAGGGCCGTCATGTTTGTTTTTTGCCCCTGCAGTTACCTGACCTACAATTGAGATGTCTAGGCTTCGGTGAATTGTCAGGTCAGGGAACCAGACAACCCAAAAGAAAGAATGATGACATTCTATTTTCATGTCCAAATCACTTATCGTCTCCTGTTCCTCTGCCCACTCCCTTTCCCCTTTTTCTTCTGGCCCCTCCCCTTGTTCCGTCCCCCTTTTCGCTTGTCTGGCTGCTCGGCGACAGGCAGGATTTTATCTTCGTCTGCTTCTTCTTCCTCATCAAATATGGCGTCTGCCTCATTGATGTCTGAGAACACAAAAAACAAGAGCATCACATATGAGTTCTTATAACACTTCATACATATTATGAAAAAACACACTTACTTTAATTGTCAATGTTCCAACATGAACAAGTCAGGAAGTCAAACTTCCAACCAGTCTGTAATACCTAATATAAAGCTCCAGGTAGTATCCCAAAATTAGTTCCTACACTCGATCCTAACCATGCAACAGTGGTGATCATAATCAATTGGCACTCATACCATACTTAAAACATTCTCAACAGATATTACTTGTCAACTGCGTGTAATAGATTTTCAATATTTTGTGGACTAGTAATTATCACTTGATTAGGAAAGCTATATCAATAAAACAAACACATCATGAATTATGAAATAACTGATCTCTCGGTGTTGTTTGATCTTTATAACTGCTTGTTTTTCACCAATGGTTACGCATGACAGCTGACAGCTCAGCCCAAGATTGCAGCGTTCTATTCCTAAATTGAGGACAATATCACCCATACCTTCATTAGCAGTCTTGTCTTGTTGCGCTGCTGCTCTCTTTTGTTCAAGCTTTTCCTTGCTCGTTTGGTGCGCCTTTGTGAGCTGCTCCATGATGTACCTGACCTCTGCAAGCTTTTCAAAGGCCAGTTGCTTTTGGATCTCCGCCATCTTGTCAGTGAGGTCCTGCCTTATTCTACACAAAGTCTGTCAACCGAGAAACATTTCACATCATTGTTTTCTGCATTGATTGCACAAAAATTGCTTTGAGCAATATAAGAAGGATACTACCTCACTTGCTTCTTCAGAGATTTCTGAGAGCCAGTAGGCATTGTAATAACTGCATTTAAAAGACAGCATATGAAAAAAACCTTCAAACTTTATACCTACGTCTTCAAAGTATTTGAAGTTGTCTGAGTTTCCAGAGTTTCCTGCTGTTAGGGTGGGGAGGCGAAGCTCCTGAAGTAATTTTTCAACCTCTGTAAGAGATTTTAAAAAAAATTGACAAAATTGTAGGGTACAGGAACCCCCGTCCCTAAATGGTACTGCCCAGCCAAGTGGACAGAGGGCTGACTGTGTTGGCTATGCTGGTCATTCATGGCAGTGTATGCATTGAGTGATCAGCATGTCCAACATAGTTCCCCTCTGCCATCTCTTTTCAGGTATGTACTAACATTGTGATATTTTATAATGGAATATACCCTGTAGATTTAGAAATGATTTGAAGTTATCCCAAAGCCTTGAGTTCTCTTGACAGTAACAATGAGTAGAGATTACCGCAAGTTTGATAACACCCTGTAATTATTGTTGGGATCTTGGCAGTCACATGAATGAATATTTTTCTGTCTACTTTTGGGCTTTCTGCCAAAGTTTAGTTTCTGAACATTCTACACTTCAGTGAAGAGTCAGAGTTTTATGGGGTGTCCGCATTGATGGTCAATTCCTTCGTCAGGATTTTAGTTAGTGAATTTGTAACTTAACTTGGGACTTGTAATCCCCAATTTCTTGGTGTCTCAAAAATCTTAGAATAGTTTTTCAGATATATCTTCCACTTTTGTTTAACTGTATGTATAATCACTTAGTAACTTTATGAATGGTAGCATAGAGCATAAATGTAGATAGAAAAGTTTGTTCATTTTATTCTATAAACTTGGGTAAAGGGAATGCCTATGTACTGCACACACTGTCCCTACACAAGGTGACTCAGCCTAGGGCTGCCCACATGGTCCTGGGTGGACATTCCACAGACAGGTGGTCACTCACTTATTTAGCTCTGGTGGTCTGTCCAGGGGTCTGTTTATTAGCAACTAGGGAGGATAGGCAGGGGGGGGAGCTAGCATGTTTAGAGTGTTTCATTACCACTCGAAGTTAGTGTTTATGCCTTGGAGGCAAGGGCCAGGCTAAAGTCTGTTGCCATAGAGACAGCAGTGGCGGCCAAACGGATTTTAAGTTCTGCTTCTCATGGATTTGTGGCCACTCAAATTCTATGTTGTGTTTCAAGTTTACTGTACATGTATATTACTAGAGTGTCTTGTCACATTTGGAGTACTGGATGGGATTTAGCTCATTTATTGAAATTGCCGTTACTGATATTATGCCCAGTAAGTTGATTTAGTAATTAGCAGATTCATGGCAGTGTATGCATTGAGTGATCAGCATGTCCAACATAGTTCCCCTCTGCCATCTCTTTTCAGAATAAACAGAACCAATTCGAACCTATAGAGCGCCCTCTTACAAAATGCCTTAATCTATATTTATGTCACTTTAGAACAAAAAAACATTGTCAACTCAATAGGTGTTAGTGGCGGATCCAGGGTACTAGGTGCGTAAAATATTTCCAACCTGTGCAGGAAGTTTTATTGTGACACACCAATTTTGAACTTTAGAAGCTCTCTGGTGCAGGGGATCTCTGCCGTAGATTTTTTTCCTCAAAATTCAGAGGAGTTCAGGGGGCCTGCTTTTTGGAGACAGGATCCTCACACGGCTATGCAGGCCCATTTGTTGGCAACACTGCCCATACCTGTCATTAATGGATACACCTCATCATGGAGCATTTTTTCATAGTGAATGAAATCTTGATGTCTCTGCTGATGGAAAGCTGTTGCTTTGTGCTCCTCCTGGGTCGGTAGATCATCCCTGCCATCTGCTTCTGACGTTGGCCCCAGATCTGATTGCATTGAGACCGCTTCACCTGTTAAAAGTTCCATGCAACAATTGAAACAGTTCATCTGTGTACAGTTGCGTAACCTTGCACATGAAATGACTCATTCTCTGACAACAGACTTGATAATAGGCTTGAATGTGCACTTTCTTAGGGGACTTTCTTACTTGGTTCTCTTTCCCACTAAGCTCTCGCAGGAAATCTCACATGTAAACAAAGTGGGATGCCAGTATGATTCACATCTATTGATGTTCAATGATTTTCAGAGAAGTAACAGATTTTGTGTTTAAACAATTAGCAATTCCTGCCCAGTTCAATTCCTGTTTTGCATGTGGCAGTCAATCAATACACAACTTAATGGTCAAATGGCTACAATGAGCTAAATAAGAAAGCTACAAAGATAATTCCTAAATGGTGCAAGGGCAGCGAACATTTGCTTTAACACTACAATCACTGTATATAAGCTTCTGCAAGTGGTATCGGAGATGGTTCTCTTAAGGATACTGTGCTTCAGCAAATTACCTTGAAAATAAATTGGTAGAATATTTGTTGATGTGACAGGCTTGACTTTACGACAGTTTAACAGATGCATAAAAAAAACTAGATAGCATTAACACAAACCTGGTTCATCGTTGTCATGGCCTTCTTCAGTCAGTGCCTCCAGTTCATGTCTTGTATCTTCGACCCCTCTCAGACTGACATTGCAAATGGCGCATTGTGTGGGAGTGTGCAGGAACTCCCAGAGCTGCTGGGACACCCAGGCAGTGGCTGTTGTCTCTACTTTGGACTGGACCTCCGGTCTGATGCGGATGGTACTGTAGCCGTATGATCTCAAGAGGCTGGCTACGCGAAGAAGCCTCTTGGATTTTAAGTATCCCATGATGACCCTTGTAGCCCGCTCTCTCTGCAGGGTCTCCTGTTCCCTCTGGGCCTTGGTAACCTCTTCTTCAGACACGTCAAGGTCACCTTCCACTTCCCTTTCCCCAGCAGTACTTTTGTCTTCCTCCTCGTTCAAGTCTCTCCCTCTCTGACGGATGCTGCCTTCCATCAGTACAGTGAAGACAGTTGGGGATACTGCAGGAAGTGTCTCAAACTGTACATTGCTGAAGGTCTTGAGGTTCAAGTTGCGGAATTCCAACCCAGGCGATCCTCGGGGAGGCATGCGCGGACTCCATCTGCATTCTCTGAGGTACTCATCGCCACGAGCCTTCAGGAGCTCCTGCAGAATACTGAGGGCATCATGACGATCCTGGGCCTCCCTTATTCTGCAGAGAGCGGTGTAGACTCTCTTTGGCAGATGGTCTTCAGATGGAGCTATGGACTGCAGTGCTTCACGTGTATCTCTAATGATCTGTACAGGTAGAGCCATCCCAGCATTACACAGCATCACAAGCACCAGAACCAGTGTGCGTTCAGCCTCTCCAGTTTGAATGTACTCAACGCTTGATAAGGCATCTGCCAAGACATTGAAATCCCTGCCCTCCATAGATGTCCCACAAATCAGACGAGATAAACGGCGAGTCTGGCCAGAGGTGTCCTTATTAGGCAATGTGTCACTCACAGCAGTATACATTGCATGTCCCTTTCCTGGAGCGCATATAGCATCAAGGAAGGAAGCCTGGGCTAGGTAACTCGCCGGTATGGCTACAGCACACTGCTGTGTCTTTGCTCCAAGAGTTAACATCATGGTGACATACACCTCTATCATTGCCACTGTGTTACTAATGGATGGAAGAAGAGGATAAACCGGCTTTTTAACCATAGTGCCCATGAAGCGATTGAACGAACTAAGGGACTGCATTGCATCACGCTTTGTGTAGAGATCTTCAAAAGATTCCAAATGGTGTCGCTTGTAGCTCAGGATCTGGAAGCCCTTCCGTGGATCATTAGAATGCAGCAGGTGCATTCCTAATGGCTTAGGATGATTCCATCCTTCTTTCTTTTGCCAACTGAAGCAGTCATCTTCTTCCCGGGTAACCAACTTTTTCATGACTGTTGGCTTCTCACCTATAAGAAGGTCAATACCATGACACATTAAGTACAAATCTGTGTCTGCCCTCTGATGCTTACGGTCAACCTTCTTGCGCTCATTCTCAGCAAAGGCCTTCAGCTGTCTTCCGACGGAGGGATGCTGTACAAGTCTGAGAAGCTTTTGCATTGTTTGGACTGATTCGCCAATGAAGCGTTGGTGGCAGTGCTCGGGGAAGAAAATGTTATACAATGCCTTGCACTTCTTGGCACTCTTTAGATGACTCTGTTCAATCTCCACTGTAAGCTTGTCTGCAGACTTGAACCTGGACAATCGGGAGGCCTTCTCGATAATGTTGTCAATCTCAATCAGCAGGACAAGGTAGTTCACCCGACTCAGTACGTGGTGAAACGAGTATGGCAAATGGAGTTGTTGACAGGTGTTTAGGCCATTTGAGCATGGCATCCCAATCTGATAATCAACGCACTGAGTTAGCTTTTTTATTTCCCCACTGAGCAGCTCACGTATCTTCTTCACCCACCCTAGGGCTCTTGGAATCAGGTAATACTTAGCGATGGCTTCTCGCGCCTTTACAGCCTCAACCTCGCTCAACAGCAACATGTTCTTATCCAAGGCAGACAAGATTCTGGCTCCCTCGCACCTCTGGATGTGCAGATGACCAGCTTCCCCTGGACGCAAACCAAAGAAGACTTCGCAGGATCGTCTCTGCCGCTCTTCTCCAGGATTAGTGCTCTCAAACAGAGCACAGATCAGCTCTACGAGTTTCTCCAGCTGATGGAAGATCCTATTCTTGATATTATCAGCATTGGGTGGCGAGAGCTTGATCAGGTAATCAGTGCATTCCGATTCCCCAGCTGTGTGAGACATTTTATTGAAGGAGAGATTGGCTTCACGGATCTTGTTGGCATCCTTCTGCACCTTTCCCAGGAGAAGCAGCGTCTCGGCTTTTATGACAGAGTCACTGCATCTGCTGAACAGGCTCTCTGCCTTGGTGAGAAGTGAGACGGCAGAAGCCTGGTTGGCCACACTGTCTGGCTCTAGTAGGAACTTCCTTGCCTGGCTCAGTCGACACTCTGCAATAAACTCAGGATAACTTGATGATTCTAGGATGGTGCAGGCTTCCTCAAGCTTACCCTGCGAAGATAAAGAATAGGTTTTTATTATTAACTTACCCAGTAATTTCTTAATCCAAGAAAGAAATTTTAATGGAACACTTTTGTTTCTGCTGTTTTTTATTCAACAAAAACACTGATTGCCTATACTGTATCACCATCCCGACAAGCTTGAGAAAGCCAGCGGATAAGTTGTTTAACATCTTGTCAGTTTAGACTCTCAACATTGAACTAGTCTACAAGGTCGATCAATAAGGTAGTCCCCCCTGGCTGAGCTGAAATTCAAAAAGGCAGTTAAGGCAAAATTGGAAGAATCCTCTGACTATCAGGCAGCTGACCGGTGGTGACTAAAAAAGGGCCTCATCTTGAAATTCAATGTTGTACCTGCTCTCTGAGTATTTTGGCTGCTTCCAGAAGACGTCCACCATCCTTCAGCATAGTCACAGCCTCAGCTACCAGTCCCCTCCTATGTAGAAAATCTACTCTGGCTTCAAACTGTTCCAATTGCTCCAAGGCATCCAGCATTTGCCCATGGTCTCCCTTCTTGAAGTGGTACTCTGCCGACTTGTAGATCAACTCATTCAGGGTATGGGTGGCCCTGATATACACACAAACACATAACAGCGATATATGTAATACAATGCCGGAAGAAGTTGAACAAGATAATATGTATGATAACACATAAGTGCTGTACTATGTGGGTGTGTGATTTTGTTTTCTTTTCTGGTGCTGAATGTGGCCAACTTGTAATTTACTTGTGAGGACTTGTGAGGGCTAATGAGGATCTCTGAGGACTTGTTTTTGACTTGTGAGGACTTGGAACTCAATGTGATTGACCTGATGATTTTTCGTGAGGACTAATAAGGACATATGAGACCTTGTGAATGACTTGTGAGGCTTTGTGACGTCTTGACTAAAACTCTGATAACTCACCCTGGTGGTCTGACATGTCTTGGTAAGGGCATCTTATTCATCATCTGCTCCTGCTTAAACCGGTTGAAGCGATCGATGAGGTCCAGGGCCTTGGTGTGCAGACCCATGCTGCACAGGAGGTCTAAGGCCTTGGCGTAATCCCCCATCAGCTCTAGGCAGCGGCAGGTGTCGCTAATACGATTCAGTCGCTTCTCGTAGATCTTGGCAGCTTTTGAGAACTGAGGTAAAGCAAGACAGGTGGAATGGAGAAGAAGGCATAATGCATTTAGTGCTTTCCCTTACTTTTCACCCTAGTGACCTGGTTTCAAATTTCACCCAGGCCGTCTCGTTGAGTATGTTTTTCTGTCTCTCCACATTGCCAATGGTTTTTCCTGATCATCATTCCAAGATTTTTCACAAGCCTTTTTCTCCAGTTTACTTTCCTACAAGAAAAACCCTTATGTCAGCATGTAGACTTTTAATATTGACTGAAATTAAACCATAAAGCAGTTTCATTTCTCTTTTCATTTTTTTTTTTTAAATGCATGAAATTTTGTTTTCAATAAATATGAGGTGTAGTGCTCAACAACTTGCATTTCTGTCTTACCTCTCCCAGCTTCTCCAGAAGCTGAGCCAGCAGGCCAAACTCCCTGGCATTGTAGAGGCAGTTGACGGCCATCTGGCTGCTATCACTCTGCAGGAACAGGCCAGCTGCTTGCAGGAACTTCTCCCTCATGGCTGGTAGCTGGTCTCGCATGCGGGCCGCTTCCACAGCCTGGTGGTGTGCCCTGGCCTGCAATTCTCGCTTCTCTGCAGGGGCGAGATAAGGGGAAATCGAAAAAAATCCATGAAACAATCGGCAGAGGGTTTGAGGGTTGCCAAGGCCCTAGAGCAACACTGGGTCTATAGTATATGTTTGTATGTTTGTATTAATTTGCCTAAAGGCACCCATTAAAACACCCATTTCTCCTGTTCTCAATAAATTTCAACAGCATTTTTCTAAGGTCATGCATATTTATAAGACGCATAAATATGAATGAGGTGAAAAATATAAATTATGCAAGGCAAGCCTACCATCACTGCATTGGTAGCACTTAGCAGCCACAATTCACATTCTGTTCTCAAAGAAGTAATGGCCTCATGCATATTAATAAATATAAATGTGGTATAACTAATATTATGCAAGGCGCGCCAACCATCTCTGCCGCATTTGTAGCACTTGACGGCCACCATCCACAGTTGTTCTCAACAAAGCAATTAATGTCCTCATGCATATTCATAAGACTCGTAAATGTAAATGAGGTGTAACAATACATTATGCAAGGCACGCCTACCATCTCCACCGCGTTGGTAGCACTTGGCAGCCACCATCCACAGCTTGTTCTTAAAGAAGTAATGGCCTCGCTTGATCCACTCCAACTGGCTTGACTTCTCCACAAAAATGGCGTCCAAATCTGACCCAACAAAAACACACAATTATTGATTTTTGTTGAATTCAGCACATACATAAGTTTTAATTTTCAAGTAATTCAACTCTATCTGCAGGGGTTGCTTAATGCAAGATTCATAACAGCCAGCCAGGGTTTTAACTAAAAGCACAATCATTTGGCCAAGCTGTTATCCAAAGACTGAAGGCTATGAATGTACAAAAACAGATCCTGTGAAAATAGTGAAATTATTCTGTGCGGTAAGAACACCCAACTGGATTTAGAAAAATCAAAAGAGTTGAGCAACAAAAAAATTACAAAACAGACACACGTATTTAAGAATGGATCAAGCATATGTTTCGGAAGAATACTGTCTTCAAAATGCTAAACTACAAAATAAATTGTAAAAATAGTCAATATCCTGAGACCTCTTCACAATTCATGATGCCATAATGGGAACATTTCACCACTTTTCTGGCAAGTTTGCCAAACAAAAAACAAATTTAATTCAAGGTACTGTATTCATACACGTCACTTGAATGCTTTGAATTTTAACCTATAATTTGTAATGAGCAACACTTCCAGTCCATAAACATCAGCCTGTAGTTGCAAACAGTTTCTCAATGTATGTTTTGGATATTGGAATTTTTACTGATCCAAACCAGAAAATGTTAAGTTTCTGAGAACAACAATTAGCACCAAGAAGTTATCTGAATTATCTGAGTGCGGTATTTTAATGCCCTCATGATGCACAGCACCCCTAGCCATAGCACCCCTCTGGTTTTAAAAACACAAAGTCCCACATCACAATGTTGAACTGTTGTTAATTATGCACTGGACTCACCAGGCCCCTCTGCTTCTGGGGCAGTTTCCGGACCGATGCCTTTGACAAGTTTCAGGCAACGGAACAGCTCAAACATCGGCGCTCGTTTGGTCTCGTCTTCGTCAAAGATCCAAACGTTCACCCTGGCTCTTGTGATTGCTGTGTAGAGATACTTCAGCTCTGAGTTCAGCACCTGAGAGAGACAATACAGTATATTATGACCCACAAGTATGAAGCTAGCCCAGGTTTTCAATAGGAAAGTCGGCAATTTCAAGTCGGTAACTGGCTTTTTGGGATCAAGCTGTGCCTGAGCTATGACTGTTGGGAACATTTCAGTCACCGATTTTATGGGACCTCAGGTTAACTGCGACTATATTAAGATGATTGGTGCTAAAAATAAAAACAAGTGGCAAGAGTAGAAACTTTTAACTTCTGCGCCACGACGGAATGTGTTCCCGACAGGCAAACATCTATCGCAGTCAACCTTTGATTAAAGTTACGACATCATTTGCGCATCCAGATCATCTCATTTAATTGCGAATCGTCATTACGTCGTGGGTGACATGAGCATGTTGCGATTATTTTGTGTTGAGATGCTGCGATAATCACACGTTTTCTCAGTTTTGTGACCTGAGCATGACTTTTGTGTTTGATGCCTAAGGTTCCGTCACGGCGCAAACAAAACGCAGGTCGACCTGAGGGCCGCTTACTAGTGCCTTTGTCATTGTACATTCTTACTCAAATGGATTCCTGTACAAAAATGCTACAAGCTTGTTCACATTCATAACCCAGTGCAATTCCAGGTCCCGTCCCATTGAAAAACTGTACATTTCATTTTGCAAGTCTGTTTCAGCTGCACATACAAACATTAATTTTTCTGATCATTCAAAGCTCTCAGTAACTCAACATTCGAGAGTACTTGAAGAATCAGAAAAGCTAAGGCCCATTGAAGCAACACACTTGGCAAGAATGTTAAACTCAAAGTTTTTTATCATGTTTATACGACAGAATCTGAGAGAGACAGTGTGGCAAGCCGGAGTGAACTGAAACAGAATCACACTACAATGAATCACAAAAAGCCACAGAAAAATAACTTTTCTTTTATTATGCATGATGAAGGGGGAAATGAAATACTTCAAATCTACATCAGAGAATCACTGCAAAGGCTTGAGTTGCATGAGATTGGTCAAGATTCTTAACCTTGTGTTCATCTGGGTTGAATTTCAGAGGCCGTGGCCGGACTGTCCCAGTCAAGGTCTCCACATCTATTTCCTTCAATCCTTCTTGTTGGTCCTCGGCCCTGTTGCGCTGTTCAGCGATCAACTCGTTCAGGTAGTCAGTGATCACCCGCCACTCCTTGTCGGCCTAGGAGACAAAGAAGCGGAAATGTTACCAGGTCATCACAATACATTTTAAGTCATCACAAGTCATCACAAGTCATTACATGTCATCACAAGTCACAACAGGTCAAAAGTCAATCACGACTGCATTCCTGACTAATTCATTTAAACAAAATGTCATCTACAAAAGTTCTACAAAGTCAACTCACTGGGGAATCCTTGAAGAAGTTGTAGAGTAGGACGTCATCAAACTCCAGACCCTTGGCCTCGTAGATGGTCATGACTAGGCCAAGACGAAGCTCAGCTGGCAGCTTCTCAATAGCCTCTTCATTGGCAACCAAGATGACCTGCGAAACAATTTCATTATAAGGTAATTAACAATGTTATTATGAAAATGAACATGACATTGATCTAATTTAAAAGTGTTGTTTGATGGAGGACATTTTGTGTCAAAGCATTTCATTTTAAGTAGCTTGAGGTATATTGAAAAAAGGGACTTATTTCTGGCATACTTATTCTGCCTTTTGTCCATGAATATTGCGAATGAGTGCGTTTCTCCTAAACAAAATCAATGGAAAACAAAAGATGCTACACATCTGACTTTTATGAAAACATCTGCAACACATCAGTCTACAAACTCAATATGAAAAAAGCTACCTGGCAATGATAATGGAAAACTCACCTGGTGAGCTCCAAACTCTATCTCAGACGTCTTCCTCTTGTTGCCACACAGCAGCAAAGCCAGGTCAGTGAAGCTGCAGGACTCCAGCAGCACTGGGGAGGGGCCGTGGAACAAGCCCTGGTCACGCTTCAGACGATCAAAGGAGTTGGGGAAGAAATGGGTCATCAGATCCACGATAGTGGAGGCCAGGTTCAGAATCCCTGGGTAAGAGGTTAGGCAAAACATGTAGTACACAGCATGAGAGAAATACAACCTCTATCGCTGGATTGAAAGTTTAAGTCCAGCAAAGGGTCACATAAAGCAGAACACCTGTAGCGATCCTCGAATTAGCTCCCAAAGTTTTCTGATTATGGACTTGTCGGTTTTAGAGGAATGAGTGGCATTTTAAAGACTGTATGCAGTAGGTAAAGCAGACTTGTGGTTGAGTTTTGCTTGATAACAACCCTGCCTTTCCCCTAATTGGCTGTTTCGGCAACCAGCCGAAACAGCCTTTGTTTTCGTTAAGATTTAAATTTTTTTCTTTTTTTTTCTTTTTCAGCCCAAGCCCATAGCATTTGTACATGTATTTTTGTCACCGGCACTTTGGGCACTTAAATTAATCTGATTGTCTTTATACTCGGCACACACTTAGACCAGCATCTGAAGATGTGCCCCGAACATTGACATCATCGTGACATCATCATGAGTCACGTGACGTCACTTTATATGCGATTTTTCTGTTGTGACCATTTTCTGGCAGAATTCAGCTAGATCTGACAGATTTGGTTATATCTCCAGAACTACAGGTCCGATTGGGTTGAATGTTAATATGTTCCAAGATTGAGATGTGTTACAGATGAAAATTTAAGTGACGTTATGATAACGTCATCATGTGACCTGTGACATCATAAGAACAATTGCATCTTTTACAGGCCTTTATATCCAGAACTACAGGCCCGATTGGGTTGAATGTGGATATGTGCCTAGACCGGGATGTGTTAAAGATGAAAATTAAAGTGACGTCATGATGACGTCATCACACGACATATGACGTCATCGTAAAAATACATATTTTATAGGTCCGTATTACAGGAACTACAGGTTCGATTGGGTTCAAAGTTGGAATACACCTAGACTGGGATATCTTATAAATAAAACAAAATTTATGTCATGATGACGTCATCACGTGACATATGACGTCATGGTCAATAAACATATTTTGAAGGCATATCTCTCTTGAACTACATGACTGATTGGGCTAAAAGTCGGTATGTACCTAGATCGGGATGCGTTATAGATGAACATCATAGTGGCGTCATAATGACGTCATCACACCATATGACGTCACAGTAAACAAACTTTATTTTAAGGCCTACATCTCCAGAACTAGGTCCGATTCGGTTGGAAGTTGGTATGTACCTAGACCGGGATGTGTTATAGATGACAATGAAAGTGACGTCATGATGATGTCATCACGTGACATATGACGTTCTAGTCTATAAACAGCGATGTATGCTCTGGCTAAGTTGTTCTTGGAAATTGATGTGATGTCATCATGACGTTATCACGTGACATGTGACGTGCCTTATGAGAATGTAATCACATGTTATATGCCACCATTTATTATAAACAGAACTACACATCCTTTCTTGATGGAACTTATACTTGAAACTTTACATGTCACATGTCACAAAAAGTTACCGAAACAGCCCTGTGTTTGTCCACAAACATAAATCTAGTTTATATACAATCTACTCAAACAACTTCAAGCAATGGCATTCCCTTGTTTAATTAAAAAAAATTGAACTTATCTGATTAATAATCAGAAAAGTTCAATTTTTTTTAATTTCTAGTTCATAGAGAATAATTTCTTTTAAGATAGTATAAGGAAGGAGCCTGTGGTATTACTGCATTTGCCTTAAAATGCCATGCTAGCTTACTTGGCATGAATTTGTGACTTGTTAAACCACAATTATTTTCCACGTTTTTCGAGGATTCTAGTGTTGATGAGCCTTCGACTCGAGTTGTTTCACTTGCCTGTAATGATTTGAGTCAAGTTGAGACACCAGGAATTGTGGTTTGAGTCAATTGACTCGAGTTATTACCAATCTAGGCCAGACAAATCTTACCGGCATGTGATCGGTAGTTGTGCGTGAGTTGGTAGACTCTCTTGGGTACAGCTACGGCTGAGTGCTTGCCAAGGGCCTTGACAGACTTGCTGGCATAGTGGAAGAGGGACTTCAGGTCGTCAAAGCGGAACGCAACGCCACGCATGATGCTCTGTGCAGTGTCTCCTACAAAGCCAACGGAAAAAAATAACCTGCAGTGACAAGATGGCAATATTTATTCTGAGAGCGAGCTTCAATAAACAGTCAGTAGTCAAGTGGTGTGTCAGCTGAATTCTGCTGAATTCGGACCCATGTTCAGTTATTCCTGACAACTTTAACCCTCCTATGCAAACATACATTCCGTGCCAAGTTGTCCTTTTAGTCAAACTCAATAAAGTGACTGTTTTCAGCAGTTAAGAGCTCCCAGCCTACATAAAGCAGGATTAACTGACTGTGTGCTTTGACTGAAGGTGATTGATAAGCCAGCTGTGAACACCACTTGCCTGTTTTTGTCTGTTGACTGAATTTGACTAGTAACAGTGCTTGCTTAAAATATGGTCTGACTGTTGGTGACTAGCCTATGTTAAAGGCATGGATTGATTATTTGACTGTCTTGACTGTTCAGATAGCAGGAAGGTTAGGCCAATACAATTCTATTAGTTGTTTTTACGGACTTCAGCGATGTAAATTGTTGAAAAATGGAACAGAGATCTGAATCAAAGATTTTAATTTTAATTTTTTCCCCCAGGCAACGGATATCTCAAAACATTCATCCGAATGATAAAAAAACCCAAAAAACCAATAACACCTTTTTTTCAGTCCATTCTCCCGAGAACTTGTGAAAGTCCTGAAAGGTGCTATGCTGCTGCTCGCGATCACGTAAAAGGTCCATGCCATTATTGCATTAGACACTGTACGGACGTATTTACGTACTATCACCTAAGGCTTTCACCAAAGTGTGTCACATGGGTCACACACAGAACATGAGCTCTGTGGACCATACCATTTGTGGTAAAGGAGTGTTCTTTCTTAAGAACGATTTACAAGCATTTCCACTGTTTCAAAATTACAAATAATACTTTTTATGAAGTCCGAAACATTTCCTGGTTCGAAAATAAGTATCACAATATAATTTTCGTAAAGACTTTATTCGAGAAATGGTGTAAACTCCAAAAAAAAAAAAAAAAAAAACAGGTTGATGCACCCCTATCGATATCAATGGATGGTCCATCCATTAAAATGCCAACTTGCCAAATTTTTTCAAAGAAAGTCGCGATCGAAAAGTTGGATTTTGACGTTACTACTCGTTGCTAAAAAATAACAATTTGACAAGTTTGCATCCTTTCAATAATTTAAAAATTAGGGCCTATGTTATCAATACTGGTACAATCTCTTTTCAAAAAAAAGTATGCTCATGAAAATATACGGTTCTCAACTTTTAGTACAGAAAAATCTTTATAAGAGCAAGAGTGCATTTGAAACAAATGAACCAAAAATTCTCCTTATAATTAAAAAGACTTCTGCACAAAAACTGAGAAAAGTTGCAAGGAATCGCCTCAGATTGCACCACAGGGCATCTAGAATCCAAAATGTAATATTACGAAAATTTACATGTTTCCGATTTATTCCAACTTCAGACAATCTTCAATTAAGAGTCCTACATTAAGGTAAGACTAAAACGGTCATGACCATTTACATTTTGCTAACATGCAGTTTTGAGAGGCAATGTCGTGTCTAGGTTTTATTAGATCTCTATGCCCGTTGTTGTATTACAAAAACATGTAATTAAATTGACCAATCAACAGCTTGGTCTAGATTTCAGAATCAAATGACGTCACGATTTTAGTACAGTTGACTCCGATTAGCAGGCCGGCAAGGTCACATCGCAATTTGCATGCTTAGATATATCAGACGTTGAACCGGAGACAGGGGGACGAACCTGTCTTCACAGGAACGGAGTGCCCATCTCTCTTTCAAAGTGATTGGGCCAGACTCAATGTAAAACTGCTGCTGTTGGGGGGGGGGGGGATCGCCACACCTCCGAGTCTCTTTTCTTCCCAGCATTGAATAATGCCGGTACCCATTTAACACCTGGGTTGAGAGGAGTAATTGAGGCAATGCACTTTACTCAAGGGCACAACACGCATGGCCATGGTGGTGCTTGAACCAACAATCCCACGATCATGAGGCCTTATGTGCTCTATCGCTAGACCACACATGCCCTTCTAGAAACAGAGAGGGCTCCATTGGACAACAGGTGATACTCTGACTACTCATCAGCATGCTCTGAAGACATGCATTATTGACGCCAGTCCTTATTTGAACATTTCTAGTATAAATTCATTTGATTTGAACCTGCAACCATGGGAATAGCAGCAATCCTTTGAGTGAGCCTTTTCTAATCTTGCAAGTGTTGGGACTTTGGGTCTGATCCCTGGCCACAATGCAAATGCCGGGTGGTTTCTCCTGATACTTGGCTCATGTGCAAAGATGTTTACAAGTTGGGAGACCTCGAGAGATTCATTAAAACCCTAACACTCCTCTATCTTCCAAAGTCCTCCGGGCAGTTTTGAAGGATTTGGAGGATTGACGATGAATGCAACATACAATTTTTATGGATTGTGGAGGATTGAGGGCACATATGGACATTCAGTATCGGTTGATTTTGGAGGATTGAGGCTGAATGGTGTTTGATGAAGAGGAAGATTTTGAAGGATTGAGGCTGAATACCTTTTGAGAGGCAGGGCTGTTGGAGGATTTAGGCAGTGGGTATCCTTCAGTTGAACATGATACATTTTTATACAGAGTTTGGCTCCATGGATACAGGTGATACTCAGACTAGCGGTTGATCAGGCTACTGGTAATAACCTTTGATAGACTTGCATCCCATCCGGGGGAAAAGATGTATTCTAAGTCCTTTCATGCCATGGAAACCAGACTGTGAGGGTTCATGAAATGAATTTTACACTGATGCATATTTGTAGCAATACAAAATGATACAAATGATACATCTTTTTTTTTTTGGTAACAATTTTTGCAAAGTTACTGCACTATTTAAAACATTAAAAATGTTTCGTGCTTTTCCCGACAAGTGATCGGCACTGTTGCTGTGATGTCACTATCCGAACACACTCTTCGGATTAGGATATATTTCTCTTCAAACCTATAATTTTGCTAATTGAAACATTTTGGCAGAAATCTTTTCTCATTCATGTACATGAAACAACAATGAATCACTGAAGGCATAGAAGTAACCACAGTCAACTTCAAAAATTCTGGTGACATTTTTATGTTGAAGCAGATCTGACACTGAAGTTTTTGCCTTGAATGACATCACAGTTTTGCTCATGAATATGGAAATTTGCATTAGCATGAAGAAACCCAAAGACACCAAAAAGGCCCTTGAAGTGGCAGTATGAAGTTTGGAACACAAAGGTACATTTCAAGGATTTCATTTTCAAAAATGTCCATGACGTGGGCCCTTTAACCACTCACCAGTCAAAAAGAGCGAGTTTGGATCATGTGAGCAGCGAATGAAGAGTGACAGCTCGGCCTGAGTGAAGTCCTGCGTCTCGTCCACATAGATCTCGTGTAGGACCCACTCCAGTGACTTGATGTCCCGCAGCCGGCGGTAGACGTGGAACACCAGATCCCCCTCATCAAAGAGGTTCTTCTGACTCTTCATGTGCTGAATATAAACAAACAAGTTGCATGTAATCTCTTATGTTGGAGCATGATAGTGTTTTATAAAACAATCAAGAGAGGCTGCGTGCAGGAGCTGTATAGGACGCTGTGTCAAAATGATAGTGACCCCCGTTTACACCTGTCAACGCGTTTGCACCCATTCACGGATTCGCCCAATTACAACCCAACTGCCAAAAATGTGCCACTTGACGCATCTTTGGAAAATGGCCTTTTGTTGTTTTCTTCAAAATGACAGCATGCCATAAGGAATAATTGCACAGGGAGGTTTAGTGTCATTACTGTCTTTAAACCAAGTAAGCTTTTTTTACAATAATTTGGCCTGTTACTTTTTGGATAGATGCAAATGGTCCACTCTACCTTAGGACTTCCCAGTCCCTGTTATAGTCTAAGCTTTGTCTACTTTTATTTAGCAAAGTAGCCCGATTAGGATTATTACATTTTGATGCGATATTACAGCATTCTTATGTACATACAGCTGTGCTTGTCAAATCCCTACCAAAAAAAATGGCATGGAGGACACAGAACAGTTTCAGCAGAAAATTTAGGAATTACACAAGCATGCAGAAACACGATGGCAGATACCTCGTAAGTCTTGAAGAGACTGTAGATCTCTTCTCTGTCAGCAGTGAAGTTGGAGGCCCTCTTTTTGCCGAGTGCCAAGTAGCTCTCCAGTGACAAGTAGCCTGACTCTGTGTGGAGTGCTTCAACTGACCCTGCAGCATATGAAAACAAAAGAGTAAGGCTGAGTTTCAACTGATGAGCAGTGTCAAACATAAGAATAAATGCCAGGTGTTTAAAACCCTCATTTCCTTACCATGGGCAACTGTTGTCAACAAGGAACTACCCATCAAGCAGAAATATGTTTTTGGGGTCGATTTAGTGAAACGAAATGGCATAGATATGTATGCAAATAGCATTTCAAAACACGTTTATCTCATAACTGGGTTGTCAGGGTTTTATCTAATCCTTCTGCTAGGGTTAAAGGGTTCATGAAATGAATTTTTCTCAGGAACATATTTTGGTGCAACTTTTCAGTCTCTTAAATGTATAAAAACTATTTGACATCCCTTTTTGGTTTATTTTGTTGAAAAGTGTAATTCTTTTAGCATTTAAAATGTGTCCATGCTAAATTTCTAATTCAACTGAGGACGCTCTTGCTATGATGTCATTTCAGGAAGACACTATTCAGTTTAGGGGTTTTCTGGTCAAATTGTGAATCCAAAGATTTGCTCATTGAAAACATCTGTGAGAAAACTTTGCTCAATGGCTTACTGCCATGTATTGACACAACGAATCACCACTGAAAGAACCGTACAGCAAAAATATCCACAATTCTGATAACTTTTGGTGCTGAAATAACTGTTACTTTGAGGTTTTTGCCTGAAATGACATCACTTTCACCATTATATGAATATGGAAATTTACATTAGCATAGAAGGCAAATTGGAACCAAAATACTCTTGAAAATGACCAAACAAAAATGGAAAATAAGGTTAAATGGGACACAAAGGTGCCCTTCAAGGATTGCATTAAATGCATTGCATGGGCCCTTTAAGGTACCTATGAAAATTGTACATCATTGCAAGCTGAAAACCTAAGGACTGTGAGTCTATCAAGTAAACACACTCTCTCTCTCTTACCCTTAATGAAGGACCTGATCTCCATCCACACCAGCGTAGAGTGATATGGCAGCTTCTTCTTGTTAATGCGGGGCCACAGCTCGTAGGCGAAGACCTCATAGGTGACCTCGCGTCGTGGGTCATACTTGGCGGCCTGTCCCCCGCCTCCCTGAGCCTCGTGCTGTCCGCCCAGGCCGCGCGGTGCGTTGGGATTGGCCTCACCGTCTTGCATCATGTCTTCGCCAGGAGCAGCTTGGGCGTGGTCTTCGTCCTCCTCATCCTCATCATCCATCAGTGGGATAAAAGTCAAAGGTCCATCCTCTGCCCCCAAAAAGAAGAAAAAAAATAAAGTCAGATTAACTGGTTAACACCTGTACTACACTGCATTACAATTTTATTGACATATATTCCTGTAAAAAAATCCGTAAAACCATAGAGTGCTTGGCTCATTAGTGTATTGTTCAGACAATCTGATCTTTCATTACCTTCGTTCCATCCACGTATTTTACGTTTCATCGATCCGTCAGCCGCGCGAGGGAAGTAAGAATTGGGCAAGGAGGCGTCGAGGATCAGAAGCAGCTGACGTGAGCTAAGAAACAACGGGAATCGGGCCGGGTGTGCGTCCTGGAACCGGTGAGGGATGGGCGTGTCCTGCTGGGCCAAGGGCTCGCCGGCAAACTCGCAAGCGTGGCTCATGTCGCAGAAGTTGCGCTGGACCTCACTGCAAAGCACAGCATTCTTGGTCACAAAGATCTGGTGCAGGTGGTCCATGATCGTCGAGGCTTCGCCGCTCTCGTCTGCGTCACCATGACAACCCGTCCTGCTGACCGACCCCGAGCAGTAGGCATCGGCACTCTGCGAGTCATAGGAACCACCTTGGGTATCTGAGCCGCGGCGGTAGGCCTGCCTGGGTTTGTTGTTGGATGCGCTGGCGCTGTCACTATCTGTGTCACTTCCATCTGTAATGAAACCATTTATATTAAACAAAATTAACATGTTAACATTAACATGGACTGCATGACTCGGGACTCGTACTCGGACTTGGGAGAGGTGACTCAGACTTGGACTCGGACTCGATGTTTGGATTACTATGTTGCATCCTTAAACCTATTCTACTTAGAATATCATTGGATGTACTTAGGAGAACGTTCACTTCACATTCTCCCATCGTGTATGTTTATCCACTCTGCACAATTTTCTACCTGCTCTCACAATTATACCATTTGTGTTGCAAGGGCTAGTTTGTCAAAGTATTCCTTGGTTTGCTTCACTCTGTACCACTGTACTGTGCAACTCTTTACAGGAATCCTTCCACCCCTTCACACTATTTATCTAAACTCAGGAACTTTTTCAGATTTGTTCTTTCTTTTAACTACACATTTCTTCTGGTTGTTTTTTTTTCTGTAGTAGTTGCAATCAAGTGGTCTTCGGCCTTCCAGTTTAGATATAAAGAAATTGCCTAAAAAAAAAAAGGATAAAAATATTGAAGGCCTGTTGATAAAATTCCTGTCAATACAAAGTCCTGAAGTATAGACCAACTGGGACCGCTATCAATTCTATTACGAAGGCCCCCTTCAAAGGCGAAAGCATATTTTTAACTATTATTCAGACGATCCGTCACGGGGCAGTTAGGGGCCTCGTGCATGTACAGTGATCATGTTCCGGGATTCATTTATTCAGGCATGCAACTGGGAATTTAGGAAAAAACAAGGAAATTCCAAACCACACCAGACTTTGTACAGTGTTTTTCAATTTGTAATGGCATTCATGAGAAGTAAAAACGAGGAAATCAGCAGATCTGAGGAAAAGTTGCATGCCTGTCTATTAAAGGAGGTGTTTCTGGATCATTCTTACTTTCTTCTTCATCTAGCTTGTCCTGGTGAATGAAGGCAATATCTCTGGGAATCAAGGGCTCGCCCGTCATGGAAACCTGTTGCCAATATTTGAAGAATTTGGTCCACATGCGGTACAAACAGCATGTGGTCTTGCCTGTAAGACAAACCCAAATCAGGTCTTTCAAATTAAAAAAAAACCCGCATACATTCATACTTTTAAAAGACATGTATTAATGTTAAAAAGTATCCATCATTTTTTTTGGGGGGGGGGGAGTTACTATAGGCTCTCAAGAAATTCATGACAACTGTGACAGCACTGTGGAAATATACTTGTGAAAACTGACAATGTATCTTGGATTAAAATGGATATGATTCAGCCATCTTGGTACGTAAAACCGAAGTTGCTGTTGTACACCCCCCTTCCCTCCTCCCCTCCCCCAAATGAAATATAGACAAAGAACAGGACGGAAAATTAAATATTTATTAGCTGTAGAAATTGCCAGAAAGAGCCTCAAAAATGTAGTTTTGTATGGAAAATATTACTTGCATTGAAAATATTTTGTGTTTCCTAATACTGGGAAAAAATTTTATTCTCAGTAATCCCTTTCCCTGAAAATTGTTTTTCTTCTGAAAATGACCCAAAGCTTCAGAATTGCATTCAAGAGTTGTGCCAAACCAAACAGTACCAAGAGTGAATATATTATGGTTTTAGATGCCTTAATCTAATTATTTATTTAATAAATTAAGGTAATTCAACATGATAAACTCTAAATAAAATTAACAATTTAACATGTTAATAATGGAGAAAAAAACATGTAAAAACAAAGGAAATAGTAATTGAAAATTTAGTTTTTTTGAGCCTTTGAGTATAGTGCACCACATCTTTGGAACAAACTTCCACCTAATGTTAGGAACAATTGGTGTTTTTTAAATCAGTGCTGAAGACTCACCTTTTTAAACAAGTTTTTATTAATGTGTGTGTTTTTGATCTTTATTGATGCTCTCTTTAGATAATTTAATGAATTTACTGTCAAATCGTTTAAACTTTTTTATGCATTAATTTGTGTTCTTATTGTAATTTTATAAACATATTCTTGAAAGGGTATTGTCTTATCATTTTTATGTATTTATTGTGAAATTTTCGAGGATTTTACCGATTAATTTGTGCTGTTATTATAATTTACCAATTTTTCAGTAATTTGTAATTGTTCTTTTTAGATTATTTATTTATTTTATAAAATGTTATGCGCTTGTGTATATGGAATGGAATGGGCGCAAGATAAATCAATAAATTATTACTATTTATTATTTCTGTTGACTAGCCTCCTGTGTATTTCCAAATTTCTTCAAACATTGGAACAGTTGATTTTTCAACAAAGTCAGTGCTAAGTATTTCAAACATTGAACTTTTCATTCAAATCTGTTTAATTCAAAGCTCCAAATTTAATTCCAAATCTTCAAACTCTGGCATGCTTGTCTGAAAAATATGTCAATTTCCTCTGATAATATTTTCAAAGAAGTGACAAAAAGTATGACAAAGTGTAACAATGTGCCCCCCAAAACCCTGCATACACCACAGTAAAAAAGAAGGGGTAGCAAGCAAGGTGCAAGCACCTCGAAAGCCACAGGTGGGAACTAAAATTCACAATTTCCTGACCTGTTCCGCTTCTGCCCAGCAGCAGGATGGAGGACGGGGGCCTGGGCTGCAGGTTGATGATGGCGTGCTCCAGCTCCGTCACACGGAACGGGAAATCCACCTTGACGTTGCTGTCGTTGAGCATGGCGTAGACCAGCGTGGAGTTGACGGAGTAGAACTTCATGATGTGGTACTCGTTCTCCCTGGAGCTCGCCGGGGGGAAGAAGGGTCTCGGGATCTTCTTGGAGTCGTCTAGGGCCTTGGTGCGGCGATCGGGTGAGCTTCCTGTGACCTCCTGGAAGTAGGTCGGCAGGCGAAGCGCTGCTGTGCCTCCTGTGAAGCCAAGGCAGACAGATATATTCTGTGTTTTTTTAATAGCCTTCTTTTTTTTATACACAATACATTTTCAAATATGACAATGAAAAATCCATTTTATGATAAAGCTTTTCTTATGCACAGTTAAATTGTCCGCAATGTACATGTACGTCCAACACCATGCCATGAAACTGAACGCCTTTATTATTTTTATTATTATTATTTTGAATGGACTCACAACACTTTTAAAAAATAACAAAATAAACGTAACGGTTAATGTAATTAGTGTAACAAAAATAATGTCTGTTTTGATATGGTCCATGGGTACCCCCGACTTCACTTGGTCAACTGGTTTTCGTACACCCTTAGGTTAAAGTGCACATCAAGTTCAACCTAGGTATCATCTCCTCTGTCCCTTTGGTGTACAATATTAGTAATTCTGCGAGCGCGAGTGAAACACAGAATAATGTAGTGTGATTGTGTCCCACCACATACCACGAGGCTGAAGACTTACTACATTTTCCATGTTCCACGATTGCGAGTGCGATAATGAATTAATCTTCAAGCAAACTTGACGTACAGTAAAGTTGGAACTAGCACAATGTACGCAAAACTAAGTGGTTTAGCGCATGCAGCTGGAATGTCGCTCACGTTTTGGAATTGCTTGAAGATAATATTAGTTATCGTGTGAGCGCGAGTGGAACACGAGTGGAACACGGAATAATGTAGTGCGTCTGTGTTCCACGGCTGAGTGGTATGTGAGACACAGACGAACTATATTTTCTGTGTTCCACGAGCGCGAGCGTGATAACGAATTTATCTTAACTTGACGCACTAAAAAGATTGAACACCCATGCTGTACACGAACCTTTCAGCGGTTATCCTACGTGTATTACATGTGCCTGTTGCCATGGATCGACCAATCAGGATCTAGGATACAAGTTTGCTTGAAGATAAAATGCCATGGACCAGATCACAGTATGGACGAACTGTCTTACCCGTGGATGATTTGTTGCTGATCCCTATCAGTTTCTTAGGGATGAGGCATTCTTCTCCTCGCTCCAACGACTTGACAATCACCTTGATTGCATGTGCAACCTTAGGGTGGTCGAGTACGATGTCCCAAATGCGGATTATCTCTGAGTACACTCGTCCTCCAGCCACTGCTGTAGGCGCCAAAGCACCATCGCCTGAAATAAAAATATAACATTTCATATTTAGTCCACTAGTATTGGTTCTTACAAAATATTGCTACTACCAAACTTTTGTCCTAGAATCAAAACTAAAAACCCAATATTTGACTGTACCCGAGTCAAGTCTCTTTTCGGACTCCTCGCTGCAGCGAGGCGAGAACGCTATCGCCAACTCCCACAGAATGCGGCTGCCTTTAGTCAGCCGGGCTTCGTACAGCTTCATGTCGTGTTGCTTGGGCAGGCCCTCGAGGGGTTTGCAGAGACGGACTCGCCAGTCACCGCTTCCCAGCATCTGAATCTTGCGGATGGCCGTCTCCTTCAGGCTGTGGAGGACCAGCTTGTCACGCAGGAACTTCCAGACCTTAGGATTTGGAGGAAAACCGGAAACCGTTAATTAGTGAAAAGCTAGTTGCTGAACCAAAACACAGTCTCTCTCTTTTTGCTAGAAAACTAAAAAAAAAAAATCAATTTTTAATTGCATACTAAAACAACGTAATAGAAATAATAATGGCCTTGATTACTGTCTTAAACCGGTGTCTGTGCTCTGTCTTTCCATGTATGTCTGTCACTTGTCTGTCTGTCGATAGGCTGAGGAACAAAAGCTAATGCTTCACCCCAGACCTAAATGCTGCCACAATGTTCACTATATGTTATATATTTGAATATATAACATTTTGTATCGTCCTTTATGCAGCATCGAAATAAATGTATGTATCTCTCACAGATCAGAATAGGGTATCTCTGGTTTGCAATTTGATGCCTGTAGCTCATAGGTAGTAGGAATTAAGACTAAGAACCACATCTATACTGCTAGGGTTCATGTTTGTGATTGGAATCCACGGAATGAGCCTTGAGGTTGTCTCTTTTACTTATTGTGCAGTGGGAAGAGGACACTTAACTCTTTATTTTGATATATTACTCAGTTTGATGTCTGAATACAAGTAGTTTTAGTGTAGTTTAAACTTTGTTTCGGTGGAGAGGGAAGTGTGATTTGCTGGCTTGTAATGTATTTCTTAACATTTTCTCATTTTTGGGGGGTTCGTTTTAGCAAAATAAATTAAGATGAATGTATTTTTAGATTTTCTTACTCTAACTGTAGCTAATAATCTATGAGCTGTTGACAAGACAATTTTTCCTATACTGGAAAATGGAAGTCTTATGAAGGTGGCCATGTTCACTTTTCCTTATTTGTAGTAATTTCCATTGAGAAGGATTTGTAAAAGTTCAAGTACTCAAAACTAACTCTGGTGACCTGTCAACTATTTTGTCATATTTTTGTAGCATAAGGAAGGCATTTGTACAAACACCACTTTAGACACATACCTTAGCAGTGCACTCTACCTCCCAGGTTAAATCATCAAAGATTTTTACATCAATGGCCCTATCATCGTCATCATCATCATCTACCTCTTCGTCGTCTTCATCCATCTCTTCTTCTGTGATAAGCAACAGAAACACAAGAGATACTCCATGGGCTCCATACGTACACAAGCGAGGGTGCTTTTTATCACTTTCGAGAGCCCAGTGAATGGGACTTACCCCTTACGCATACTAGTACAGCAAAATGAGTTCTCCCAAAATGAGTTCTACTGCTAGTGCCGCCAAGTGTCTGCTCTTGAAAATTGCGAAAAGCCGCACGCTAAATGATGTTAGTTCACAAGTTTATTGATCTTAAAACTTACAAGTTCGTCACGTACAATCAAACCGACATTATAAAACTATGTTTTGGTTGTATCTCAATTTCAAGCTCTGCCTCGGAGTTTCTGGTTGTAACAGAACTGGTCACAAATTTGTATGCCTCTCTTTTTTCTTCTCACCTTCAACTTCAACATCCTGTCTCAATACTTCTTCCTTCGCTACCTCTGCCCCGTTCTCAACTTGTCGCGGGCCGCTTCTCGACAGTGACGAGGTCACTGTCACAGTGGTTCCTGCTTGGTCCAGTCCAGTTTGCTGCGGGACATATATTGGCATGGCACTCAGTAGCAGCTCTACTTCGCGACGCAGCTTCTCCTTGCGGGGCACGTGCTCGTGTGATTGAGCTGTCTCTTGCTGGTGGTGGTCCTCCTGTTCCGGTGCCCTGTCTGCCTTCGACCAATCCTCTGGAACGCCAGAAACATTGACATCACCAGAACTGCTCTGGTTAGGCCCTATACAACAAAAAAGAAGAAGTTAAATTACGCACTTGTAAATGGCGGCCATACAGCTGCCTATTCAGTTACAGGTATTTACTCCTGGATGGGAAGAAGTAGTAAAATATGACAAAGTGCCTTGTCCACTAGGCACTGCCTGATCTCATACCCACAATCTGGCAGAATTACCAAGAGTCAATCTTTTTTGGCCAATCAGAATCTAAGCCTTAACTTGACACAAGCTCCGACAACCAATCCCATTCGTTGTTCTTTAGTAGGTCTACCAATTAATGGTATTTGAGGAGATTCCCAGATTACTTCTTTATTTTCAAAAGCTTTCAACAAGATACAATAACTTTAATCCTACGCATTGCAATAATATGTAAACTGATCAATCAGTTCTTGTAAAATATATAAGGGAAAACTATGATTTTGACAAGTTCATTGCCTTATAGGTTTGTGCAAATAACTAGCTTTTTTGAGGCAGGCATCGACACCCGGATGCAAAGGTCAGAAAGGTTTACTTATGCCTTCCCAGGATTTATCCCATCTTTGGATTATTTTACCTCTGGATGAACTCTGTGCGGGTTCACTGGCACTGTCGTAGTACTTGGCTGCCTCGGCCAGGAACATGTAGCGCCGGTCTTTGTTGGTCACCATCATGAGTGGTACCCGGCCTCCATGGTCCCGCAGCCAGGGGTTGACCTTGTACTGGCTCAGGACCTTGATGGCATTAAGTGATTGGTTCTTGGAGCCCCCCGTGAGGGCCAGGTGGAACAGCGTGTTCCCCGCCCAGTCTCGGGCGTTCTTGTCCAGGTAGGTGGTGCCGGTGGGGTCCGCGGAGTATCTCGTCAGGAGAAGCTCCAGCACGGCAAATTTACGATCTGTCCGAGAAGACCAAAAGGTGACGTTAAAAACCGGACACTGTTGGACAGAGCTTATAAAGGAGATTTAAAGGTAAGGTAATATACAACATTTACTTTTGCTGAAACTGTCAGAAATGGATGGATTCAGGGTTTAGTATTTTATAGCAAATATTGTTACACTCGGACCTATTTACATTTCGTGTTTATAGATACTGAAAAATCCAAGGAAAGAAGCTTGTTCTTGTGGTCTGGTTCCATGACCCTTTTTCAGATGAAATAAACACTTTATAGACGTTGGGGAATTGTCAGGTCTGAGAACCAGACTAGCTGGCTTGCACCCCTTCAAGGACGAGTAACTGATTGCAAAAAAAAAGGGGACTACATTTGGTAAATTGGGGGCAGCATTTGAAAAAAGTCATTTTTTTCCCAATGGTGTACGGCCGAACCTAAAAATTGACACACAAATGGCACTTTTCTTGAAAATGACGGCACACTGGGTGCCATGATTTCACTGGATGCTTGAGGCTATCATTCACTTCAAGTAAGGTTTTTCATAATAATTTAGTTTTTTCTTAATGTTTGCAAATGTTGTATATTACCGGTACCTTTGAACAAAATATAAACATCGTATGTCTACTTTAAAATATTCTGTAAAAGTTGCAGCTCTTTATTTTACCTATTTGTACATTTGTATTGGTGCAACTAGAACTTCATGGACCAAATTCGTTTTCAGGCAACTTCTATTTTCACCTTTGTGACATTCCAATCTTCAGATGGGCATGATTTTGCCAAGAGAAGTCTGTTTTCATGAATTTAAACTGTCACTGTCAAAGGGAAAATCTCTTCTTAAAATTTTGTTAAACCTATTTTCGCTTGTTGCAATGAAGTGCCTGTTATTTGACAGAATGCATCACAAGTTTAAGCATTATAATCAGGTCAAGCACAAGTGAAATCCAAGTCACAAGTAAGGATCCCCTTTTAAATACAGGTACTTTGTGAGCCTCGTTCTCTCAGAACAAATAACTATTACCCTACCAGACTGCAATTAACACAGTGTATCAGGTGCAAACGTCTGTGGGACCTTGCTGCAATTGGGCCCAACACCATTGCATAAATGGCCAATTCTGCAACTATGAGAGCTTGACACTTTAACACACACTGAAGGAAGGATTTTTCGGTGCATAGACATGTATTTCATGCACAACAGTGCAGACTACCCCTTAGATACCGGTAGCTTAAAAATTACTGCAAGTAAAACTTGCGCAATCCCTCTGGCATGCTGGTAGTATTTATACAGATGTAAACAGACCTTCTAGTGTACCTAACCAAAATGGAACAGGTCATTAGTAGCAAAAATTGATTAGCAATAGAATTAGTAAGAAAATTAGAGCAAGGTTAGTTGTTTTCTAATGGAAAAGGAGTAAGTATACAAGAACGTGCTGTAAAATGAATGGAGTGCAAGGTGGATGAAGATGGGAGCCTGGAATGGAAGTTGAACATTGTAAAGGGAACTGATGATATGTACTTGGGGATGTGGCTGAACTTGGTGTAGATGGTGAAAGATTCAATCACTAACCAGGCTATACTGGTGATGAACTGTAATCCAAATGGGCTCGTGGTCCCTGAAGTAGCTGTAAAGTACACCGGAATTGGCAACAAGAGTGGGAGCATTGCTATATATATATAAGATCAATCCCTATATATTGTCTGTAGTGTAAGTACGAATGAGTTGTTCAGATTTGAATGATGTTTGGTCGAGATTATAAAGTGTGACTGTTTGGATGACAGCGAACAGTTGCCCTAACCAAATCACCAATGACCTCATTTGACCCCCAGATGACCATTGACCTCCAATGTGTCAGGTCATCTGAGGTCCCCCTACCACCGATCTCTATATAAAGACTGGATAGTGGATAAAGAGCTGCATAATGAATGAATTTGATTTGACGCCATATGATGGTGAGACCGGTGAGACCGTCTGGTGATCTACAAAGGACAAGTTGCCGTCTTTATAGGCATCATTATTACTTTTGTAACATCGCGGTTCACTTGATTTTTATTTTGACCACCACCACTGACCACGGTTAAATTTTTTTCTAACGTCATGGTTTACTTTTTTTTAGTGCCACAGTTCACTTTTTCGGCGTTTTGGAAATAATAATCACTGCGGAAATGTGTCCTTTTTAGAGCATCATAATACATGTACGTGACCAAAATGCGCGTCAACTCTTGATACAGTGCGCACTATATATGCCTAGAGCATTCGTATTATATGCAGCCAGTGTTTTGCACGTAACGTGCTTTCAAGAGTTCTCCCTTACCGTCCTGTTTAAAGCCAATCTTGAGCGCAGAGTGCAGTGGAGTGTCTCCCGGGTCAATGATTAGGAGTGCGGGCGAAGCGCCATACCTCAGGAGCAGAGTGGCCAGCTCGTAGTTCTCCGTCTGCAGACAGTGGACTAATGGGGTCACGGAGTCATTCAGCAGGCCGTCCGGTTTGGCCTTATTCTGCAGGGAAAAATGAACCAAAAAGACCTTGAGTGTGTGGTCCAATGTTGAGAGTGTCCGACACATGTGCAATGGGATAATGAGTTTGAATCCTGATGGGAATAAAGCGTTTTGTGTTCTTTAGCAAGATACACTGATGTTGATGATGGTTTGTTCGGGGAGGATGGTCTCTTCATCTTTTACATGCTTGGAGGTGGCTGTGGATTCCATGCAGGGCAGACCTTTCCACACTTTGGACAAAGGAAGCCCTGGGATGAGGATGTCTGAGAGGCAGTCTGCTCCTTTCGTCTCTTCCTCTTGTCCTCTTTCTGTGGTGCCAGCCTACTCTGTCAGTTGCTTCCTGGAGCAACGATTGGTGATGGATGCCAGCTAGTAATGCTGCTTTTGAGTTTGTCTTTTCGTGAGTTCGCGCTTTTTGGGGGCCCCCGATTTTGCTTTCCTACGTGAAATTCACTGAAGAAGACAGCCTTTGGGAGACGTGAGCTCTCCACCCTTGCAACATGGCCTACCCTTAAACTGGCATATCTGTAACCTTAGTCGGATCAGGAAGTTCCTTGACTTTAATGCCTGCCACAATGCAGTCCGCGCCTTATTTCTCTCGAATTAGACTAAGGCTGCTGCTTACTTACAGTATCTCAAAGAAAGATCTTTCTCGTCTTCAACGGCTTCAAAACAGATGAGCTAGGCTCATTTTCCAGGTACCCATTTACACACATATATCTCCCCTTCTTAACCAGTTACACTGGCTTCCAGTTGCACAACGCATTCAATTCCGTACTATGGTCCACACTTACAAATCTCTCAACTCCTCTGCCCCTGATTACCTCTCTTCTTTTCTCTCAATTCAAACCGGGTCTCACTCCCTTCGCTCTTCTCATGGGAAATCTCTTGTTGTCCAGAAAACAAATAAACTCGCAGGTGATCGGGCCTTCTCTATTGCTGCTCCCCGATTGTGGAATAGTTTACCCATCCCTATCAGAAACTCCAATACTGTGCCAATCTTCAAGAAGGCTCTCAAAACCCATTTTTTTTCCCCACACCGTAGCTGGTCGTACGCCCTTGTTGTTTTTCTGTTGTTCTTTCTGTGGTTCTTATTTCTTTGTTTTAGCGCCTTGTATCCTTTGGCAATTTGGTGCTCTATAAATCCAGTTATCATTATTACCCATCGCAGCTGGTGCTTCAGTACCATGGCTTCGATGCTTGGCAGATGTGCTTTCTCTAGCACCTCCTCATTTGAAACGTAGTCCTGCCACATGGATGTTGAGGATGGGGCACATGCAGTGTTGGTAGAAGCGCTCAAGCAGCCGCACCTGTTTTCTGCACAGGACCTCTGCTCCATATAAGAGGTTTGGGACCATGTGCTTTGTACACCTTCAGCTTTAGGAGAGGCGCACAGAGTGGTCTTGCCACGCGCTCTTAGCAAGACGCCCAAAGAAGCTGCTGGCTTTTATAGGCGGTTGTCCAGGTCTTTGATAGATGTGGCATCCATTGACATGACACTGCCTAGCTATAGTAGGTGAAGTGCTCCACTGCGTTGAGCTTGGTACTGTCGATAGTGATGTTATTCACCTTCCAGTTAAGTGGGTATATGTGAGGTGTTCTGGCAAAATGAGACAGAACTGGGCAGAGGTCAAAATCAAGGGTTCGCAGGTATTAAGATAGAGAATAGAATTCTCCTTATGATGCTGTTTGTTCCCCTCAATGAGATATTCCATTGACAACTTATGGCTGCTTAAAGTTTGCATGTCAGTAAAATACTGAGCGAAAAGGTCTTTTAAATTTTGAGTTTTGTACTAATGAATGAAAGATGCCAATTGTTTTTCCGTAAAAAACACTTTCATTCAACGACTTTATGCTGTTTCTTTGAACTATGTGTATAGACTATCAACGTTTAAAAATATCAATCAATCAATCTGAAAATCGGGAACAAAAATGATCTCCATTCGGTGTTTTGCTTTTTTCTCCACCCAGCCCAGCTCCATCTCATTTTGCTAGAACGCCTCACATATAAGGCTAGAGACCAGCTTCTGTTCTACCATTAATTTGAAATCGGGGGACAGCACTCACTTCTAGCAAGGCTTCCACCATGGCTAGACGTCCTGGGGCCATTTTGATACTCTCCCACTGGTCCAAGAATGTCACAATGGACACCCCAGAGGCATCACAGCCGTGGGCCACGCCATTGCCGTTCCGGTTGGTGCTGAAACTCCCTCCGACCAGCAGCAGGAACAGGCTCCACCACTTGCTCTGGTTGGCCAGTTCTTGCACCGTGGTGTTCCAGAAGGTGGGCGGGGCCCCACACTTGACTGTGTCTGGGATCTCTGCAGGTTAAGAACAGGAACATATGAAGACGTCTATAAGTGAGTTACGAAACATCTCATGCAACCATCTGGAAGAAGTTAATGGCAAGTTTGTTTACAATACGTCCACTATATCAGACATTACTTGCAAATTTTGGACAAGGAATCTTCTTGCAGTGAAGTTTGTTAGTACTTGCAACTTCATTGTGGGAAGATTCCTGTTCAGACTCCAGTAACACACACCAGGTACAATTTACGTATTCCATATAACCTTGTTTACAACTTATTCTGGGGTTCATTCGCTGTATTGAAAACACCATGCAATGCAACACCAAAACACTTTTTTTGTTTGCCCTGCTGTCTCATATTAAGGTTGAAATCATCAAAAGAGCATTTGAACCAAAATTTGGCCCACTGGTTGGCGAAATGGAGGCACACGATAACGAAAAATTCCACATCTGTGAATGTCTGCAACCGCCCTAGCGTTTTCTTTTGATATGACGGCAATGCTGAATGTCACTAAATAATAAGCTACTTCATGATAAGCTACTTCATAGTACAAATTAAGTTTGTTCACTGACATGGTTTGCTCTTCTGTCTTGAATGCAAAAAACACGACCTAAAACGAGCCCCTAGAACAGTAACTTTATACAGGACATTAAATTGCCTTTGAAGGTTTCCAATAAAAAAAAATATCAAATAGGACCAAAATAACAAATAACAACAAAAACAATTCTATACTATTTTCTGTCTTACATATTTAAAAGCAGAATCATTTGTTTTTCATGTCTTTTGTTCGTTCCCTATCACACCACTACTCAAAATCCAAAGAAGAATGTTCAAAACCTAACCTGTTGAAGTTTCAGCTCAGTGGATATTATACTTTTTGAGAAAACATTGACAAACCATGCACAACCTCTTGATCACAAAATGTCAATAGCACTCTAATATTTCCAGATGGCTGGAAATCATCTACATTTCTTGATTTCTTCTTCATGACAGCAAGCCAGACAGAATACTTTCACAGGGTGTTTAGTACCAGTGCGATCTTGAATCCAAATAAGCTATTAGATATTAATTTGCAAGGTTACCTGTTGGATATATGCAAATGATTCTATATGCCTTTAACTTTATACCTTTGCAATGTTCCAGTGATTCCTGCAAAACCATCAGGCAGCGCTGGACTTCGCGGTAAATCACTGTGTTCTCATACTCCTTGCCGATGAACTCCAAGAAGAGACAAACGGCCTGGTCATGCTTGCCCTGCCCCTGCAGGCGCAAGCCTTTCTGGTAAGTGTTAAGCTTGGCTTCTGCCTCTGTAAAACAATTCATGTGATGGTATTTGAGTTGAGGTGATGATAAATTACTATACAGATATTTGCCCGACACCGATGTATTTTATAAACATGTTCGTTTCACAGAGCCCATACACATGCACTCAGTATTCCTTCAACCAATAAGATTTTCAAATCACATGCACACATTCTTTTAAGAACCATGTATGCAACATGCATGTGTTGTGCCCTCAATGTAAATGGTGATCGCTGAATAGTTAATACTACCTCACCCTTTTTTTTCTGCATCTCTCTCCTTCCCTTCCTCTTCTGGTTTTCTTTCCTCTTCTTTTCTTCCCGCTGTAAGTGTAGCCGTTCCTTTCGTTCTTTTTCCTTTTGTATCTTCTCTTCCTGCCTCCTGCGTTCCTCCTCTTTCTTCTTCCGTGCGGCCTCTGCCATTTGCTGTTGCTGCCTCCTTGCCCGCTCCTCTGCTTCCGTCTTGCGCTGATCTTCCTCCCATTTTCTCTGCTCCTCCCGTCTTCTCTGCTCTTCCTCTTGCCGGCGCCGTTCCTGCTTTCGTCGCTCTTCCCTCTGTTTTTCTAGCATTTGCTGTTCCTGCCACTGCCGCTCCTCCATCTGCTTTTTCCTCATCATCTCTTCCTGTTGCCAAGTTGGTTTCTGGAGGTGGGGGAAATTAGGGCCACAAAGATTATTAAGTTATAGACGTTCTTGCTGGAAAATAATGTTTTGCAGATAATCTGGTAATGTACCCGGTAAGGTACCTGAAACTTATACTGTAAAGACGTGGTATTCTCAACAGCATTAACCATTTTTGGCCAGCCATCAGCAGTCAATTACATTATGATTGTATGTAAAATGATATGTACATGTATCCTGCAGTGGAAAAACATTACGACGTTGTGAACTAGGCCTTACAGGAAACTTGTTCTGGGCAATCTCCACGACGACAAAGAAAGGCAAATTTTTTTATTCCATGTAATATGGGTAACTGTGGAAAAAAAATGTAATTTGATTTATGAGCGTTGCTCAAATAGGGGCCAATACGTACAAAACATGCGTATCGGCCCGATACGCTGGAGTTACACACTACAATCGTTACAAAAGCCATTATTTCATCTTGACATGCTAAATCTTGACGAAAAGCGATATACGGCCACTGTTAGCCGGAGGCTGACGGTGACTAACGTTGAGCATAGTGGCGTGGACTACTTAAATTCTCTGTTTTTTTTAAGAATCATTCACCTTAAAGATATTTTCATATTAGGCGAGGCAAGTTTTTATCACTTTTGATGGACAGTCTCGATAACTTTCATGGCGCTATAAGTGGGCCCTGAACCCCACGCTGTGGCTTCGCAAGTTGGTTTATTATCACGACAAAACTTCCCCCATATGTTTTGAAAAAAAATTCATGCCCTCGCCCCCTTTGGAAAATCCTGGACCTGCCCCTATCAAATGCCCATAAAGTATCACGACTTCAGACATGAAACTTTTGGAGTGAGCGTCAGATGTTAATTTTATGGTACATGATGCCCCCAATTTCGTTTTTGTGCAGTAAGTCCCATAGCAAGGCCTGTCAGCGCCAGCCTACATGGCTCTCATGTATCGCGGTCTAAAGGTACCTTAACCTGGATGAATTTGGACAAACTATAGCTTGTTGGAGTTGGATAAAATAGGCCAACAAGCTGCCAAATCGGCAAGGCTACAGACTTGAAACTTTTAGAGTAAGCATCAGATGCATGTACATGATGCCCCCAGTTTCGTTTTAGTGCAGTAAGTCCCATAGCAAGGCCTGTCAGTGCCAGCCGACATGGTTCTTAATACAATTAGGCTGTAGTTGCACTAGCAACTGTAACAAACTACAATGTAGGACAAAAACAAAATGCATCACTGGGTGGAAATGAATGGCTACTTATTGAGAGCGTCTGAAGCTTTCCAATTTCTTCTATTTCCCACCAAAAAGAAAACTTAAGTCTGTCTGTTTCCAAGAGAAACAGAATGTAATGCTCTATGCTTACCTGAGGACCACCGAATAGTTTGGAGTGATCAAAGGGTGGAGGCGGGACACTTGGCCTTGGCTGGAAGAAAAGAAGAAATCCAGTCAGTGGACTTGAATTTCGTTTGTATTCCTTGAAAGGATCATCAATAGGTCTCCTCTTTACTCCGAAGTCGTTAAAAGGAAATCCGTCAGTTCACCATGACCGTTTTTTGGCCAAATTTACGATTATGACTAAAGTAAAAATAATATTTTTGCTGAAGTGTAGTTGGGTGCCTGGCTCAATGAGAGGTCCGTAACTTTGTTGTAATAGTTTTGGTCCTATTACTTTCATTAAATTTTGTTTTTCACATGTTTAATTTTACCCAACTTTTTATTTTTATATATATTATTTAAAATTGTCTTAACTGTTTTTTTCATTTTATTTTAAGAATTTGGCTTGTTTACTGTTTTCATTGCTTTCTTTATATCTTTTAACTTCATTCAATAACTTTAGCAGTTTAAATAACTAAAAAGGCTACCCAGTTGAAATACAACTAGTATATATACCACTTACCGGGGCGCTGAATATTCTTCTTGGATCAAAGAACTGGGCCCGGGGTTGGGGCTGAGGCTGGGGCCTGGTCTGAGGTCTTGTTGGGAAGTATTGCGCCTGAGTCTGGTTACCAGATGCAAAGTGAGGACCAGGAAAAGGTTGTCTCGGTATCTGCATAACAAAGGTAACATGCTCATTCATTCATATGTACAAGTCATCAGAAGTCTAGTCCATCACATGTCAATCACAAGTCCATCACATGTCAATCACAAGTCCATCACATGTCAATCACAAGTCAATCACAAGTCAATCACATGTCAATCACATGTCAATCACAAGTCAATCACATGTCAATCACATGTCAATCACATATCAATCACATGTCAATCATAAGTCAATCACATGTCAATCACTTATCAATCACAAGTCGATCACAAGTCGAAAACAAATCAATCGCATGTCATCCAGTCTCGCTCACCTCACAAGCTCTTCAAATGAACTGTGACAACTTCATCCCTCTGTTATTGTTCATGGACCCCCTGTTACTTGTGACCAAACTTGTGAATTGCCTTGTGATTCATTATTATTATTATTATTATTTCTTCTTTAAACTGGGTGGCCCATTCAGTCCTTTTATCAGAACTGATCTCCCATGGGTCCCAGTTGGGGTAATAATACAATAAAACATGATTTGAACATTAAAATGTATAAAATCAAATTTTAAGTACATGTATGCATATTCACATTGCACAGTGTGAAACCAACGTTATTTTAAAAATGGAGAGCATAAACATTGCTTTAAATTTAGCGTTAAAATTGTACCTTACAATTAGCCGAAAATAAACATAAACATTGAAAGTCAATTTCATCTAGCAGCTAGTGCCCAACTAAAGGCACATTATTCTATCCCTCAGATATCATTGTCCTAATTCAAAGATGTTTTCAAGCACTTCTTACATTCCTTGACTGTTGCTGGAACTGTTGTTGTTGCTGCTGCTGCTTCTGCTGTACTTTAACATGTTGTTCCCAAGCCAGGGCTACTGCGCTCAGCAAGCCTCGAATCTCAGTCTCGTGCTGATTGGTTAGTGGTACCACCTCAACCGGTCGACATCCCCGCCGGTCCTTTCTGGTCGGGTCAACCCAGTACTTCTGCAGGACGTCCACGACCGATTTGGCGTGGGCAGCGGGGCCGGATTTCTTGGCAACCAGGTGGAAGAGCGAATCCCCAAATCTGTCTGGCAGGTTCCTCCATTCGCTCGTTGTGTAAAGGTGACTGAAGAGGTACTCCAACAGGCCCACCCATCCTGAGGAAAAATCAAGAGGACATTTTGCAACAGTCCAATGTCTGGTATGAATGTAATATGAGGCGTTGCATTCACGGGGGACTTTTGCAGATCAATACACCATGTGAAGAGGCTAAAGGTGACTGTACAAGAAGTGCATTCACGTCTACTAAAACTTAGGGGGTGCTTTAGCATATTCCAGCACCCCAATCAAAAAAGCTGGGGGTGCTGCAGCTCCCCCAGCACCCCCGTCCTGCGGGCTTGGCAAGGTACGTAAAATTTTGTCCATTTTCTTTTTGTGTAATGTAAGTTACTGATAAAAAACTTATTAACAGAAGTTAATTTTGTTGGTACTTGTTCTAAATAGTAGTTTAGTCACTTAATTTCAAGGGATCTTCTGTGAGAAAAAAAACACCCTATATGCTTTGATTTTTATGGAATAACAGCACTGAGTTGACAGAAGGCCCTCTCCAAATGCAACTTTATTTAACATGGAATTGCCTTCAAGACCAAGTTCGATAAAGATGGTTTTAGTTTTAGCTGATCAAGCATCTATTTAGAAACAGTACCGTTTTTAACGGGCCTCGTACGTGTACGTACCAGTTCTCATGGCATTCTCCACAGCACAGTGCAAGGGGGTGTCCCCTTCCTTCTGGCTAAGCCCTTCCACCTTGGAGCCGTGTTTGAGCAGCTCCACTACCAACTGCATGCTCCAACTGTCATATTCCCTGCTGGACAGGTCACTGCAAAAGAAATGTCAATGTATGAAGAGTTTCTTTCAAAAAAATGTAATACGCGCCATTTTGTTCCTATGGAGAAACCCACTCTCTCCCGGATGCCTAAACTCAATTTCGACGACTGTTATAATTATAGTAAAACACAATTAAAAAATAAAGAATTTAAAAGGTTTCAAGTTAAAGAATTTAAAAGGTTTTTAAATGATTCGTGTTCAAATAAAGGCATGTCAAAAACAAACTCATCAGATTTTCAAGGAAAATCAATCATGCGCATTTTTTCTAATACTATTCTTTGTTTCAAGTTCAATTTTGAAATTCACGGGCAAGTGTGCACCTATTCAAAAAGCGGTTGAGTTTGTTTTCAACACACCTTTATGTGAACACAAATAAGTTTAAAACTCTTTTAAAGGGAATATATATCATTTGCTTTTGCTGTAATTTTCAGAAATGGATGGAATTGGGGGGTTGGAAATATAAAGCAAATATAGTTACACTGAATTTTTGGAGGTTTTGGGTTCGAAAATGCTATAAAAACCAAGAAAAACGATCATTTTCCTGTAGTCTGGTTCCCTGACTCCATATAAGAAGAAACAGAGCAGTTTACATACATTGGGGAATTGTAAGGTCAGGGAACCAGTCTAGCTGGCTCGTAACCGTTCATAGGTTTGTAATCGATTGCAAACAAGTGCAATGGTCAATTGGGGCCAGTATTTGAAAAAAAAGCCAGTTGTTTCCAACGCTGATCGGCCGATCAGCGTTGGAAATTGATACAAAAATACCTCTTTTCTTGAAAATGACAGTATACCAGGTGCCATAATTTTACAGGATGCTTTAGACTGTCATTTACCAACATCCTGTTAAGGTATTTCGCAAAAACTTGGTAGTTTTATTTTTCGATGTTTGCAAATGTTGTATATTCCCTTTAAATATACTCACCAGAGATAAAGTTCAGATTCCAAGCTTTCAAATGGTATAAAAAAAATGGTGGTACGTGTTTCCGCGCTGACGCTAGAGCCTCGCAAAAAAAATTAGAGGGTATTTTGAGATGTACATTAATAACAAACATTTAAATGTAATTTTGCCTAATTCAAATGTAAATAATCGCACAATTTAATCACTGACCGTCAAATCTCCCAAACTGTCATTTCAAGATCTAACGTACACCGCCTACAAAAAGTCAGTTTCATATTTTGTGGCCCAAATAGGAATTTACCGGACTAAGGGTCGGAGGTTGATACCAGATGTGTCACAGCCCTTGGCTGCACCACCTTGCCCAATCTCGAACCCCTTGCCCGACTGAGTACCACCACGGAGGAACACCAGATGCAGACCCTGTTGAAAAAAAGGAGAATAGAAAATGTTGTTTTTTGCTTATTACATTATTTATTTCAAGAAATGAAACCAAGGATTCTTCTTGCAAGCACTGTAGCTCAGTTTCCTTAAGAAATCTAGGAGAGAAGACGAATAAGTTTTAAGTTTTAGAGGTGGGAAGATATTCTAGGGAAAACCCATGGAATCAGGTACAATGTTGGGACTGAAAACCCAACCCACCAGTCTGCCAAAATGGGTTATGAACACTTTTATTTAGCCAGTCCTGGGGCTGATTTCACGAAATGCTAAGATGCATCTTAGGAAGGGTAACTCGTCTAAACTTGAAACTCGTCCTACACAGTCATGTGGTTGCTACGGCAAAGCATCTGGTATTGTTAGGCAAACCGATTTTGGAGCCGTTGAAGGCGTTTGCAGTCAGTAGATGTTATACCGAACAGGAGTGAGTTTGCATAGTCCAGTCGAGATGTTACGAGGGCTCTAATGGCAGCATGACAAGATGGTTTGTCAATGTACATTCTGATCCGTGATAGGTTGCGCAGATTCATGTTTACAGATTGACAAATGGCACTGACTTGGTTGGACATCTGCATGGTTGGGTCGAATACCACTCCAAGATTTCTGATCTTTGAGGAAGCCTGGATGGTATCAGCGCCTACTTGGAGGGAAAGATCAGATAACGAATTGAGAATTCTGGTGTTGGCACAGACAAAGAATTCAGTTTTGGATTCGTTTAGTTGAAGCATGTTACTTATCATCCAGTGCTTTATGTCCATAATGCATTGTGATAATGTAGAGAGAGCTTGGTTGATTTCACTTGGATTGTTGGGATTGAATTGGATGTACAGTTGCGTGTCGTCAGCATAGAAGTGGTAACGGACACGCTGAAAACGCTGGATAACGGTAGCGAGAGGATGAGTAAATAGGGAAAACAGCTGAGGTCCGACAACAGAGCCTTGTGGTAGTCCAAACTCCAGTAGTTGTGGGTCAGATAGCTCACTAGCAACCTTTACTCTATTAGTGCGACCAACAAGGTAAGAATGGAACCACTGTTGAACATGATCTGTAATCCCAAATACATTGGATAATCTATCTAAGAGAGTAGCATAATCGATAGTATCGAAAGCCGCCGACAGATCCAGCAACACCACGAAGACGGCCTGTCGATCATCAAGGGCACGCAGTATGTCGCTCTTGATTCTCAACAATGCCGTCTCCGTGCTGTTGCCAGACCTGTATGCGGACTGAAACTTCTGATCCATCATATTTGTACACAGATGAGTATTAATACGACTAAGAGCAACTTTTTCAATTAGTTTAGATAGAAAAGCCACATTAGAAACGGGTCTATAGTTCTTGAGGTTATTCACATCCAGCCTAGGCTTCTTCAGAATTGGCGTAACAATGTGGACCTGTGGACAGTGAACTATTCACAATGGAAACCAGTGCAGGGAGGAGGGTGTTGGTGTTCTCTTTCACCATCCATGTGGGGAGAGGGTCCAGTCCACATGACTTGTTAGGTGATTTGTTAACAAGTCCAAGGACCTCATCATCATCAGCTAGGGTGAAGTCGGAGAGTTCAGGTACGTGTGCCGGGGAATCATCATGGACCTCATCATCAGTTTCAGAGGTTTGGGTGAGCAGACACTCAATGTTAGATCTTATTTTCACAATTTTGTCCTTGAAGAAAGTGGAGAACCGGTTGCTCAGTGACTTCAAGGATCGGCCAGATGGAAGAGAAGTGGCCCCTTTGTTTAACAATGAGTTGATTGTTTTAAACTCAGTTTTTGTGTTGGCGGATGAAAGCTGGGCCTTGAAGTATGTTGATTTTTCACGACGAATGAGCTTAGTTAATTCATGGACCTGATCCATGTATTTTTGTCGGTCATCAGGATGTTTAGTTTTGTGCCATCTTCTTTCAAGTTTTCTACGGTTGCGTCTGGCGAGGTGGATTTCCTTCGTGTACCATGGTTGGTGGGATTTGAACCTTCGCGTTCTTATCTTGATGGGACAATGAGCGTCCAGGACACTTAGGACCGCGTTGTTGTAAAACACAACTTGGTCATTGGGACTACTGTCATATGGAAACGACTCGAGAGATCGTGCGAGATCATCAGTGAAAGTATCAGTGTCGATGGAACGGTAGTTTCTTGTTTTCAATTGCACCACCTGTTGGTTGGGTTTGGCGTGATTAATGACGCATTTAATCACATGGTGATCAGAGTATAGCTTGTCCAAGTTTTCACAGTTTTGCACAAGGGTGTCTGTCTGACGTGAAATCACAAGATCAAGGGTATGCCTGTGTTTGTGAGTGGGCCCGTGGACATGTTGCCGTAGGCCATGGTCGGCAAGCAATGTGAGAAACTGAGCAGTGTTAGTTTTATTTGACGTATCGAGGTGCAGATTGAAGTCCCCTAGTATTAGGTGATTTCCACTGATCAAAATGAATGAAGGGTTGTTTTATACCTGATACTGCTTGTTCTTGGCCAGGCGTTGCACAACTTCAGTCCACACGGATGTAGAGACGTCAAGAAGTCTGAAGAGGAACTGTGATTTCTTCCACTTATCTGCACGAAAAAAAACCCAAAACACTTGTAACAGGATACTGCAAGTTTCTGGGCAAAGATCCGTTTTTCTGCCATTTAGACCTTTACTCCTTATGAGGAAGCAAATCCACAAACCTGGCAGAGAAGGTAGGTTCTTGATTCACAAAATTAAAGATTTTTATATACATAGATTTTGGGTCACAGTTTTTAGGTAACCTTTTTTAATTCCAGGCATACGCCTCTGGCTTTCGTTTATGTTTTATATTTCTTGTATTTTGTGATATTTGTTGTTTGTTTGTTTTTATGCCGAATAAATAATAATAATAATAACAATAATATTAATTACCTTGGATTGGACATTTGGGAGACATCCCCATAGACTTGTGCAACAATTTTTTCAAACTTAAATGTGCCCTAACCCAATATTTCCTTGTCATTTTTCCACGAATTGCGGTATGTTTACTAATTAGACCATGAGCAACAAATATAAGGCCAAAAAAAAGTAATAGTTCTGCTTCCAGTTTCCCTACCTACTCTTTTCTGACAGCCCCTACCCTAATTTTTGTTTATTGGAAAAATGAGAAAAAACAACCAAAACCATCACTTTATACCTTTTACCTTTGACAACACGCAGACGCCTCCACATGATTGTACACAAAAGAAATTGGCAAAAAAAGGGAAAAATGGCCTACCTAACCTACACCATTTTCGAATGCCATGTAATCGGAAGCAGAATTATTTTTTTTCTCGGCCTAATATAATTGCACCAATAAAAATTTGCTGCCGCCGATCTAAAGAGGGGCTGTGACAACTCAAAACTTTCAAGGCCTTTTTCTCAGGATTTTGCTTTTTTGACATAAAATAAATGCAAACTTTAAACAGCCATAACTTGTCAATGGAATGTCAGATTGAAGTGCAACAAACAGTACTGTAAGGAGAGTTGTATTCTTATACCTACATAACCTCTTCCAAATTCTGTCTCATTTTGCCAGAATGCCTCACAAATGATGTAAAGGGATTGATACATGTACAGTGTGCGTGTCACCTCCAATCCAGCAACTGAAAAAAGTTCTAGAATGCCCACACCCATTCCACTTTGAACAAATAAATGGCTATTTTTCAAACCTTGTTTTATGACGTCATAAACCACACCACCCTCTGTGTGATGAAAGAAAAATGTTTCACAGAACCAGTAATGTAAAATAAACAATTTCCGTATGGAACTTCAAAGGTCATATCCTTCACTGAATCTGTTCAACAGATTTTGCGAAATATTTTGCATTCAGGAGACCAAATAGAATTGATTATTTGAACCCACAATCTTTACGCCTCCATTATTGCCAGTGCAGTATAAACATGTCAAAAAGACTTGTGCTACCATAGTGCTACGTACATACATGTACTTTGGAATGAACATTAACATGACTAACTAACCATGCTTTGTACACAAATACATGTACACCATGTCAAGTGATTTCAGTCATCCATGTACATGCACACAATGTATGTATGTAATTCACATTTGACAGTTTCATTTTGAATAAGTACTTATATTTGAAAGCATGCGATTCACTGTTTATTAGTGCTTCAACCTTTTCCAAAACTTCAAATTGAGACAAGGGGAAAATTAAAAAAATCAAAGAAATAATTAAAGATGGTATTAGGGTCTCCAAAAAGCATACCGGTAACACATTAAAATACAGTTATTTTTTTATCTATATAAACTTCATAGATCAGGCCAAAACAAATTATAGCTCTGCTTCCGGTTACCCTACCTAGTGTTGACAGCCCCTACCCTAATTTTGTTTTGGGAAAATTTAAAAAAACCAAAAAAAAAACCCCATCAATTATTACCTTTGCCCTTGACTACACGCAGACTCCTACATTATGATCAACACACAAAAAGCGCCTCCAAAAAATTCCCTACCTACCTACCCTATTTTCAAATGCCAATTAATCGGAAGCAGAACTGGTTTTTTTTGGCCCTTGGAATAAGGATGTATCCATTATGTGGGTAGGATATTTCTCATCCTCCAAAATTCCCCGGTGAGAAATATTTACATGTTCCGTGTGTCCATTGTTTGTGGTGACGGCCTTGTAGCTGACTCATGACAATGGACATGCATTGTTCATTTAATACAGGCCAACGTTCATGTGTACGTGTGTGTAGCGGCACGCGTGTTTGTTTGTGTGCTAATCGTACCTTCATCCTCTCGATAATAGAGGGTACGTACGTCAATTGCTGACATTTACTGAACTAAATTGAAACATGTGATTGACAATATTTTGGATAAGGATCGATGACCTGATACAAATTTCAAAAAGGCACTCATTTACAGTTTCACAGTTATCAGTCTGAATCACTTAATATCATGATGGTAATATCTCATGGGTGAGGTCGCCAAGCAGGCAGCCAGACGAATTATGCCCTGATCTAAACAATAACTCAACAAAAGTGCATCGGAAATCAATCAGATTTGCCCAGAAGATGTCTAGTTCCTTCATTCGCACAGTAGAGTAGAGACATATTTGGAGAACTCCATGTAAACCAAAATTACCCCTACATGAAAGCATTCTGCAGCATGCAAACAATTTTCTTCCGTTCTGCTGATCTTTTTATGAATTACGGAAGCGTTAAAGGGACACAATACAATATGTCGTCTTGAGAAATGTTTGAGTAGGAAATTATGTCATCTTCATGGAAATTGTAGAATTCCCCAAATAAGATGTTATAGTAAAGCTAACAAAATAAAGAAAATAGGTAGCCCTAAACTCTACTTAACAGTAATATATATATACATGTAGTTTCATTTTTTGTTTATACGGGACCTTGCTTGGTACCCTCCCTCCCCGCCTTCAACAAGTGCACGAGGAATCAACCACCACCGAGAATATCTATCGGCCTCAAGCGCTGCTCATTCACCATTAGCTAGCCTGGTACCTGCGCACTTGCAGGCGAGTAAACAGTTGCAGGCAATGCAAACCACAACAAAGACGTCGGGGATGGATCCTTTACATTTAGATAACCTAATCTTGGTCTAATTTTTGACTTTGTGGAGGTTTCATTCGATTTCTTTTTTTCTTTCAAAACCTCAGGAATTCTGGAATTCAAAAGGGATTCTATACAAATCCTGAAATCAGGAAAAATTCTGACAAATCTCGCTTCTGCTTTCCTTAATTTAAAAGCACATACACCATTTGCAAAAATTACAAAACAAAACTGCCAAATTATTGTAAACTACCTTACTTGAATGTAAGTCAATAATAGTCTCAAGCATCCTGTGAAAGCATTGCGCCTGGAATTTGCCGTCATTTTCAAGACAAGTGGATTTTGTATAAATTTCACCAACTATCGTTGAAAAAAAAAAACCTACTTTTTTTCAAATGCTATTTCTTGACCAAATTTACATTTCGTTTGCAATCAGTTACATATCTGTGAACGGGTGCAAGCTGGCTAGTCTGGTTGCCTGGCCTGACAATTCTCTGACGTCTATTAATTGCTCCGTATCATAGAGTGACAGATCAGGGAACCAGATCATGAAAACAGCCTTTTACTTTGTTTTGTTTTCTGGCATCGAACGCTAAACTTTAAACAGCTCATTGGAACGATGGTATAAAATGCTAACCCCCAAATCCATCCATTTCTGAAAATGACAGCATCTAGCAAAAGTTGTTTTTTACCTTTAAATGCGCAACATTTACATTTGAAAGCTATGTAAATCATTGGATTGCACACAATAAGTTCCAGTTAAAAATCCACGATAATTAAAAACAAATTGAGATCTGTATGTGGTGCCACCAGAGCAATACTCACCCCACAGTTGAACAGTTAGAATTGTGATCTCATAGACAAAGTTGAAGCGGAAGTCAACAGCCTTCTTGCTGTCACCTAGAATCTTGGGATAGCCATCGATGAGGGCCTCCAATGCTTCATCCTCCTTGCCCATCTGCTTCATGACAGTAGCAGCACGCCAGTAACCCTGATAATAAGGAGCAAGACCAATCAAGGGCCATTGGTTCATAAGTGGTGGATTTATGACGTTCAAGTACCTTGTGACTGCACACAGGGAAGAATGCCAAATTAAACAAGGGGTAACTCCAGATTTTACCCTGAGGTACCCCACATAACCCTTTTAACCTTATAAACCTAAGTTATAGGGCTAGTTGTCTTGAATATACTGAATGTTTGAATATTCGATGATCAACCAAACAATCGATTGAAAATTCAAAAACCAAAAACAATATGCACCTAGGGCCTATACCTGGGATGTTATTATATCGCAAAGTTAAGGCGCTTTATTGTCAAGTGCCACTTTTTTTGTCGACGGCGGTTGATTGTTCCTGTCCTTTGAGCAGGTCAAAGCCCTTGACAGTTATAAAATGCTTACTGCAAAACACTCCAGTGGACCATATCGATCACCATACACAAATTTTATCTGGCACGCTCTGCATGCAACTTTTGACCAGTGCGACACGCAGCAATTGCAGCTGGCAGTTTTGAATGTCTGAATATTCGGTCAAACATAGTTTCGAGTAATCGAAAAAATCATTCAAAAATAACAGCATTGCTGTTGAAACCCCTCATGGTGACCTTGACCTTTGGCCTTTGTCCCCAGAACCAGTCCCAACATGCCTGTACCAATGGGAAACCCCCTACCGAAGTTAGACCCCAAAATTTCATTTCTAACTCAAGTTATCATTCGGAACTATTGACATTTAACTCACCATGGTGACCTTGACCTTTGACCTTTTGACCCGAAACCAATCCTAACTTGCCTACTCCCAAGGGCAACCCCCTACCAAAGTTAGACATCAAAATCTCATTTCTAACTCAAGTTATCATCCGGAAACCATTTACCTTTAACTCACCATGGTGACCTTGACCTTTGACCTTTTGACCCAAACCCAATCCCAACTTGCCTACTCCCAAGGGCAACCCTCTACCAAAGTTAGACACCCAAATCTCATTTCTCACTCAAGTTATCATCCGGAAACCATTTACCTTTAACTCACTATGGTGACCTTGACCTTTGACCTTTTGACCCAAACCCAATCCCAACTTGCCTACTCCCAAGGGCAACCCTCTACCAAAGTTAGACACCCAAATCTCATTTCTCACTCAAGTTATCATCCGGAAACCATTTACCTTTAACTCACCACGGTGACCTTGACCTTTGACCTTTTGACCTCAAAACCAATCCCAACTTGCCTACTCCTAAAGGCAACCCCCTAAGTTACAACCCCAAACAACATTTCTCACTCAAGTTATCATCCGGAAACTAAGCTACCCGGACGGACGGACACACTGACATACATATGGACGGCCGGACGGACGGACGCCCTAGGCGATGACAATACCCCTCGAGCCTCTCGGCTGAGGGGTAAAATGGATAGTTACCGCCTGTTCTATTTTGCATTCTTCCCTATAATGCAAAGGAAAGTACAAAAGATGGTCGACGTGTCACGCCACAAATTCTTCCACTCCTGTCAAAGAGTGCATGTCTCAAATCACGTCACAGAAAGAAAGAAGGGAAGGGATGTTACATGTAGATAAAGCAATGATTCTATCTCCAAGTTTTCTCTCAATTTTAATGATCAGGAATCTAATTTGACTAAACAGTCAAATACAGGCAAAATGTCCATCCAGTAACCCTCCTATACTTTTAACACACGCTAGTCACCAACAGTCATATCACGTCAAGCACGCGTGTCAAATTCAGTCAACAGACCATGAACAGACAAAGCAGGCAGGCTGTAGGCAAATGGTAGGCACAGCTGGCTTATCAATCACCCATATAGTCAAAGCGTAGCTGTATCAAGTTACATAAACAGACACAGCCAGTCAGTCCTGCTTTATAGGCTGGGAATTCTTAAAACAGTAACTTGATTGATTTTCACTGAATGAACAACTAGGCATAGAATGTACATGTATGTTTACACAGGAGGGTCAATGAAAGTTTGTCAAACTATATAATCTATCGTACGTTATAAATAACTGATTACCTACTGGGGTAACCTTCATATGTACATAATCATAACATTTATAGGCCTGGCATTACAAAAGAGAGAAGGGTTGTGCTTGGATCAAATCGCCAGGTGCCCTAAATTTGAGGATTTGAATCTGATATGCACGCAGACATGTGAACTCAATGACCTTACCCTTTGAAATGTAGGATCTATTTTAATGCACTCTATTGCATCTTCAAAGGCAGGGCCAAGCTGTTGGAGTCTCATCAGCGCCGTGCAGCGATTGCTGCGCAACATCGCCTTCTCTCGCGGCGTCAGTAGATCAAACGGATGCTCTGGATTCTCATCAATCTCCATGGCTTTGGTGTACAGACCGACAGCCTCTCTCGGATTGTGATGGATGATGGCATTTCCCCTTTGCTTCAGTTCTTCCACGTACCACCAGATGCCATCTGTTAATACAAAACAGGGAAGGGAGAATCAATTTAGAATATCAAACAAACAAAAAAGGAAAAAATAAAAAGATAAAATAAGGCTGAGCTGTGCATGCTTGACAGTGAGTAGATAGAAGGGGCCACTGTAGATGGCAGTATTTCCCCTTGAATGTTTTTCAGACTTATGTCTTTCCTTTCATTTCCAGAAGTGAATGACCGGTGTTGAAAACGGTCAAGCATCTATGTGACAGTTGTTCTTGGCTTTCAAGTATACTGATGTTTTTATTTCAACTCAGCAAAAAAGAAAAGTTGGTGCATGTGATCTCTACAGGTTTCCAGATTACAGCCATAATAGTGGTGAGCAGCCGTGTTAGTCAGGCAGTACACAGATACAACACAGTTTGTTGGGAAATAGTGAAAACTAATGACCCCAAGGTGTTGGATGAGCGTGTGGGAACTTCATGGAGTTGCAGGGGATCATCTGTGGCACAGGTGCTGCCGTCCTGATGCTGCACTTCAGCAATTGTTTTTGCATCACCAGGTAAAGGAGAGTAGAGGGAGCAGAGGGGGGCCTTTTGACTAACAGTCTCCTCTGCTTTTTCCGGTGAAGGGGGATCTGTGGGCCCACTGGGTTCCCCCTCGTCGGCAACCGCTGTGAGAGTGATTTATTGTATATAATTGCTTGGAAGTTGCAGTGTCAAGTATCTCGGTCCTGGACACGTATTTCGATGGTCCAGTGCCATCCACCAGCTGTACTTTGTACACGTTGGTTTATAGCAGAGGTTCCACAACTTTGTAGGGGGTTGGTTTCCATTAATCTGCTAAATTATTTCTCTCTTGAGGATAATTTCGGAGGAGAAGTTGATTTTCTGATTTCCCCATGATCACTGCATCACCGTGCGCTCACATCGAGCTGCGCCTCTCTTCTTGATCCTTCGTAGTGTATATTCAGCCGCATCCTTCAGTGTCTGGGGCATTCTCCCTCACATCTGTCAGCCCTAGCATGAGGTACGGTAGATGGGTATAGGGTTGGCTCCTGTCCCATAAAGATCAAGAAGGGAGAGAGACGAACTCGTCGAGGAGTGGGGTGTGCAGTACATGTTCTTGCCAATGCAGATTGTGCAGCATATGATTGAACCGCTCACACCGTTTGTTTCCCTGCGGATGGTAGGCAGTGCTGTGGCTCTTTGATGTCCCACATAAGCAGCTAGTGCAGAGGTATTTCATGAGCTGGGACTCAAAATTACTTCCCTGATCACTGTGGATACCCCTGGGTACGCCGTACTTCTGGAAAGACTCCCTTATCGGGATCTTTGCCACAGTAATGGATTTCTGGTCAAGGTATGGAACTCCCTAGGAAAATTTACTGAAACATCAGTCATAACAAGCACATTTTCCCTAACATCAGTTACTCGTTGCAACAACGTGAAGTCGACGGCCAAGATATGGGTCATTCTGCTAGGATACTGCCCATGGTTGCAACGGGTGGACCGCAGGTACTGTAGCCCTATAGCCAATGCACACCTCTCACACTGTTTGCACCATTTCTACATGTCATTCGCCATTGCAGCTCAATAGCATCGCCTCCTAAGCAGTACCACAGTTCTTTGTGTGAACCATCACGACTGGGGTTGCATACATAGATGAAGGCCGTATCACATTCTGTTTCAGGAGCTTTTGCAGGTGAGCCTTTACTTCATCCATTTGGTGGGGGGGGGGGGTTACTTTTCGGCGGGGAATGCATACAGGCCATCATTTATGGCTGTGATCCTGTGCCTAATTGTGGTGGTATGCCCTAGGTTGTCTTTCTCTTTGCAGAAAACATCTTGAAATCTTTGAATCTACGCTGTTCGGGAGCTAACTCCGTACTACCCAAGTCTACATCAACAGGGACGGTAGTCTTAATTGACATCCACTGCTGGATCCATAGGCTGAGTTGACTATACCGCCCATCCTGGGTCATCCATAATTCCCACATAAATGCCATCATCAACGACTTTGACCTGCCCATCATCCACATTAAACTCCTTTCTTTGTGACAACAAACCTATCCGGCTTTTTACTGGGAGCCAAACGTCCGCCTGTCCCAAATTGGCAACTTGAACATGGACAAACCCTCTCTCCATGTAGACCATGTGATGTAGACCATGTGTCAATGGCAGCCACATTGCATTGAAGATTATCCAAGTTTCCACTGACAGCTCGAATGAGCACCTGGTCGGAGTCACGGACAGACTGGGGGATAAAGCACTTAATTGATTGCTTTGACAGAACGGGCAGTTGCACATGAGGGTTATGACCATGGTCTTTGCAAAAGCCATCCGTGGCTGCAGATCTTCTGTCACGTCATAGGTGAATAGGGCATTTGCCCATGCAGCACCATCTACCCCTTGTAAATTCTGCAGATAAAACTGTCCCTGGTCTTCCTTCAATGCTGCACGCACCTCTTGGAGAACATTTAACCTGCAAGCATGCCAGGGGGCTGTGTATTTCTCTTGTCAGACGTCTTGGAGACCAGGCCTCTCAAACCTCTGAAGTGGACCTCGAGCAGGTCAATATCCAACTCAGTGTAGCCCAAGTATGGGATCTCTATATCATTTTCTCTGTACACTTTGGGTAATAACCATTGGGCAACTTCCAGAGGGCACTCCCCTCCAGAGATGCGATTTCCATCTTTCTCAGCAGCTTCATTAGGTGGAGGGAGTACTCCTGGATTGATTCGCCCCTACACTGGTTCCTCCCACAGAAATCTTCCAAGCGCATACATGTAGATGGGATTTCGTATTAGGCGAAGGCCAGTCCTTGTGACAAGATCAATGACCTCTCTGGGTTGCTCCTATCTGAGGCTGTGCAATATGACAGATCTCATCAAATGCTGGCCCTGTCAGGTAGTCAAGGACAAGCTACGTTCCCTCTTCAAGGTCCTTTTCTGTGGATGGCCTGACAGCCAGTTTCATTACCCTGTCTCTTGGCATGACGACAATCCTCGCTGACTTCTAGATTTCCCCTTTCTCGATCTTCTTACTCTGCCAGGTGGGTTAGCGGGACGTCTGTTCCTTGACCGGCTGAGTACCATCATACACATGCACATCAACCTTTTGATAGGGCACTTGCAATCCTGTCTACATCGCTTTGTGATAGTTGTGCTGCATGGCTTGCAAGTTACTGATGTTTTTATTTCATTTCAGCACATGTACAATAGGAGGGCGCTGTTTGGTTTGGGTAAATACAAAAGACTTTACCCAAATCAAACAGCGTCCTCCATTGTGTCTTCCACCCCTCAAATAGGCTTAATGCCTATGCTAACTTTGAATGATGTATGACAAAGACAAATGTCAAAAGTGACAGCCTGAAAAGACCTGTACAAACTCTATGGGATTTTGCATGCAACAAAAAGAAGAGTTACAAGAAAGAAAAGCTAGGTCTATGTCTGTTCGATGAACATCTTTATGTACATACCGAGTTTCAACCCAATTGGACTCACAGTTCTCTAGATATAAAATCTTAAAATAAACACTTTTAAAATGAATCGTGACATCAATTGTCTAGAATCAATAACCCTACGGTCTTTATCTGTGCCTAGTTTAAAGTCAGTCTGATTGCACTTTTATGTGAAATTTTTCAAGTAGAATAAAATGTAAAAAACTTTTTAAATTAATACAAAAATCATGTGATTACATCATCATGACGTAATTTTGGATTTTGCACATTAGTAACAGCATCAAATATTTGATGCCATCATGTACATCTATATGCCCTAGCAATGAACCTATAACAAAAAGTATGTTCAATTTAGCATGCTGCGTTCATGAGATACGGCGCTAAGCTTTGAAATTTCAAAAATATATATATAAAATCACCTCATGAAGTCACCTCCATTTTCATTTAAAACACATCCTGGTCTATACCTGCATACCAAGATTCAGTCAGAGTTCTGTAGATATAGATCTTCAAATGCACTTTTAAGATGACGTCACGTGAGAAATGACGTCACCCTGTGGGACACAAATTTGCTATAAGGATATTTATATACCTTTGAATGATGTATGACAAAGCCTTTGTCACAAAGGTGACAGAAAAGATGTGTACAAAGTCAAAGGGATATGGCATGGACCACAAAGAGGAAAAAGAAACTAAGAAAAAAATCAGAACAAAAAGAAAGGCTTCGCAAAAAGTTAAAAAAATGAGAACTATGCGGAAAAGCCCAAACAATTCAGAACAGAAAGAATTGCTTTTCTGCAACTATGCGGAAAAGCAATATACATCCTTACAAAAAAAAATGGGCCGAACTGCAGGAACAGCCAAATTCAGATCTACAACGGTTTACTAAAGTCACGGTACCAATGATTTCAAGGCAGAATGATAGTTCACTTTTTGGATACCTTTGGGAAATTACGCTATTACGTTACACCTAGTGTACCACTTACCAGGCAACCTAGTATTATCATGAAAATCGCGCTCTGTCATCATGGGATGAGCAGCACGAGCATGTCGCCGTCTTCGCTGCCACTCGCTTTCCCGAGCATTCATCTTGCTGTTTATCTTGCTCACATGCCTCTCCTTTTATTTCTGTCACTTAATTTGATTGTGTGAGGCAATATTTAAGACTTTTACCTACAGCCAGCGCCGCCGAATCTACCTACATGAAGTAGTCGCCAGTCGGTATAATTACCACATACGTGTAGGCGTACTTATTTCACACAAGGGTTTTCCCCGTGATGATCAAATCGTCGCGGATGTGCACGTAGGACGTGCTTGACAAAACTAGACTTGGGTTTCAGCCGTTTTAGCAGTTTACGAAACCTCTGCTTCGTTCCGGCTCCGTCTTTGTCTCCAGTCAAAGATTTGTAAAAATCGTTACGCGTCCAAATCAATGAGCGACGCTAATTATTTTGTCTTTTGTGTGACAGAATTTTGTGTCTCCATGGCAGAACATTGTCAAACATTCCACTGATATCTTTCACGTCAGTGAGCTAAAATCACTGAGCCACAGCTGACACCAGAGTTCGGAGATGAAGCCAAAAAGTTTCCTCCATGGTTTACCATGTGGCAGATATCCAGTCTAAAACATAATGGCTGCGCCCATTGAACTTTCATGCGGTACACAGTTCCGTTCGGAAATTTCAACAATTGCTAAATGTGCCTATACTACTTCTTTAATCCACCAGAGAAGCGAATGAGGTTCCTAGTCCTACCTTATGGTTTTTTGAGAGTCATAATAAATTTTAAAGAAAGAAGAACTTTACAGGATATTGGCTGCAAAGCAAGGGTAATTTTAGCACGTTTTTGTTGATACACAACCGGCTGTTGGCGATCATGAAGTGTAGTGCCCCTGTTTTGTTTTGATCAAATGAGAGTCAAAAATGTTTTGTATTGCTCAAAGATCACCTTTACAATCAAAAGCAGACGTTTCTCAATCCTAATGACACCCATTTTGCAATTTTGAACAGTTTCTTGGGGTAGAAATCACAATCATTTGACAATTTTCCTGTGCAACGTGCGGTTTGTGCCCTGCGATTCAGCACGCTCACGGTACATTGTGCGGTGATCACCATCTTTATTTTTGGGTCGCTTGTTGTCGCTGCGCTGTTATCGTCATTTTACCACCAAATTTCCCTCAAGAAATCAAAATCTGCCCTAATCCCCTATATCTATGACATACCTGTTTATTGAGAATGTCGCCAACTAGTTTGAAAGTGGATTTTACTCTTATACTAAGGAACCTAGTCCGAGTAACTTGGACCCAACTTACGCCTTTTTAACATTCGGAAATAGTCATTGACCCAAAACCCCAACATTGCCCAACAAAATCATCAGATTTTACCCTCAAAACGGCCTCCAGATTACTAGGTACGCCACCTGAGGTACAAGTAGACATCGATAAATAAGACGGTTGTACTGAAGTTTACTTATGATCCAGATGAAACTGAGTGAAATTCCCATTCAATTCCGAGAGCTCCCCTCACGATCGTGAACACATTAAATTTCCAATTCGTGAATAGTGATGTGGTCTTCATGCCCAGCGTTCATTTAATGGTCCCGGTATCCCGGGTGCGATTCCGTTACCGAGGGCACACGATGCATCGATTATGATAATGAGTAGACGGATCACGTTCGTAAACACAAGTGCATTTCGAACGATAATATACATGTAGGGAGTCGGGAACAAGGGCAGATTTTATGAATGGAAACCAGTTCAAGCTAGTTCCCGATTCCCTTATACCGTTTGAAATGCACTTGTGTTTACAAACGTGATCCAGTCTTCTCATTATCATAGTCGATGGCCATCGAATGTACGCTGGGCATGAAGACCACATCGTGTCATTCAAACATTACCATGAGTTGGAAATTTAACGTGTTCACAATAGCAAGGGAGCTCTCATTTCACTTTTCATCCGGATCGTAAGTAAACGTCAGTACAACCATCTTAATCATCGATGTCTACTTGTACTTCAGGTGGCGTGTCTAGTAATTTGTAAATTCCAACTTAAAAAAGACCACGCACGTGCTGGATCGTCAGTCACGTAGACTTGAGTCGGTGGCGGGGCTCGTTGGCGCTGTGCGACGCCACTGCATTCATGTGGTCTTTTTTTGTGTCCGGGTTACCGCATGCACCTTTACTCAAATGTGACTGACGATCCACGTGCGTGATCTTTTCAATGTTGGCATTTTGATACACAAACTTGTGCAAACGAACCTGGAAATTACACAAAAAATAGACGTCTGAGAATTGCGGGACTTTTTTTCTATTGCTATAGAGTGAGTGTGCTTCTAAGTGTAAATATAAACACCACAAATATAGTCTAAATGTGAAAATCAAAATTTGACAAAGTTCTACATGTTCGGGTACATGTTCTAAGTGTGGCCCTTATTTACAGAGGTAGTCCAGTAAATTGACCACATTTATGGGGCTAATGCATAAGGTATATTCTTTGGTTGTCTGGCACGAAAGTAGCAGTATTCGTTTGATGGTAATCGTTATCTTTAGGACCCTGTTCCTCTGTATTACTTACATGACTCTTCGTCTTCATTTACTAACAATCATTTCATTAATTAAAGGTCAACAAAAGAAATGGCCAAGTTACTGCTGAGGCTTCGCATGCTGCAACAGTGCATTACATCTACCACGACATGCATCCCCAGAAGGTATTCCTGCACCCCTGGCCAATCATTACCAACAGAACCAAGTGACATTGTCAACCACTCTCGCGATCATCCGAGAACTTGCAAAATCCGCCAGCTCCATCCACGGGAGGTGTCTGTCCTCTCCAACAGTCAGCCAGTAGAGGGCGCCCGACTGAGAAACGAGGAACTGCGTCTGATGTACAACACGGATCCAAATGGATTCTTTCTCGCGACGAACGAAGACGGGGATGTGATGGGCACGATCGCAGCCATGCGACAGAGCGACACGCTGGGATTCATCGGGTTCCATCACATTGGAGATGCTTACCAGGAGGAAGGCACGAAGCTATGGGATGCAGCTATTGGTTACCTTGGCGACAGAAACATTGGTATAGAGGTTGGGACACAGGATGTCGAGAAGTACACAAAACTTGGTTTCAAAGAAGAATGGAAGAATGGCTGTTTTAAGGTTGGTATATGTAGCTGAGAGTTCTGATTGCAGTAATCTATAGACTAGTCTGGGTGCCCAATAATTCTATACCTATGAAGGCCAGAGATGTAATGACTCAAGTCAATGACTGGAATCGAGTCTGACTCAAGTCACAATTTTTGGTGAGTCGACTCGACCCGAGTCCCAATGGGTAACTAACTCGAATCAAGTCACAGCGAGCAAAATGACCCAAATGCACTCGAGTCCTTCATCAGCAGACTCAACTGGACTCGAGTCAAAGGCTAATAACACTCGAGTCCCAAAACTGTGAAAATATATTTGCAGTAATTACGTGTATTACTGTACAAAGTTTATAATGTTTACACTTGTACTTCGCATTACCGTCAAGTTGTGACTGCTTATCGTGTACAAATAAATTCTGCACCATGGTTTTATAATGTAGCCCACAAACTACTGCCATGGAACCAGACTTTAAACGCATTTCCAAATTCTTGGTTTCATCATATCGGCTTTGGGTAATTTCTTAAGCCTTTGATGGAACCCTGGCTAAATTTATGTCCTGCTTTCAAATAATAATTAGATGTTTTCTATATTATCCGAAACAGTTTCTTATGTTGCAATTTGGTTCTGACGTTATCAGCGTCATTATTTCAGACCTGAAGCCAAACCAGAGATGAAACCGAAGTTTCACTTCTTGTTTAATACGTGTAACTGTTATGTAGATCTTTGGTAGGAACGTCCACAGAAACTGTCTATTGGGTACTATGCAGCATATTTTAAAGTTTTGTGATCTCCTTAATAAACCGGTGCCTTTTGTTCCTTCTTCAGTTCTGTAATGTATTAGATGGTGTTCAAATATCATTGACTTGAACTGACTCAAGCATAAATTTGACTCGACTCAAATTTGCAGACAGACTACTCTTCCGGAGAAGTACCGGTAACCATAACCAAAAAATTACTATTTTTGAATGTACGTGTATCTGCACAGGGTTCAGGAATTCCTCTTCTGCCCGAGGTCCAAGGCAACCGGCTTCTGCGACCGATTGCTGAGATGGGGTTTGGCCGGGTGGTGGACTTTGACACGGAGATATGCGGCCAGCAGAGGGTCAAGTTCCTGCTCAGCTGGCTCAAGACCGACAAACCTGGTGCTGCCCAAGCTGTCTTGGAAGGTGAGATTAACCAAACCAACCACAAATGCCAATTCTTACATGGTGGACCCAAAAGGTACAGTATATCATTTGTATCTAAAAATTATTGTTCAAAAGTTTAAAGATGGGGATGGCAATAAACTCCCTGTGAAATTATTCTTTCGGACATGCTGACATTTTGAAATTTGCTTTAGTAGATGGTAATTCAGCGAATCCATAAATGGGTGCACGCAAACATTGACGCAACGCACATGTATGCGCGGTTACTATTATTCGTCGGTTCAGTGCCTGACATCGCCTAGGTGCAATTAGCTGAATGAGAGCGTGTCTCGGACGCTGATTTGGGGCGCAATTCAAAACATGACTTGGCAACTTTTGAATTGAAATTGAGATCCTAGAATATTGTTTTCTCGGAATATACAGCATTCACAGAGCTATTAACTTCATCAGGTAAGTTGCTAAGCAATCTTTAGATTTTAAGTACTTTTGTTGCTTCAAACGAAAAAAATGCAAAAAAAAACAAATAAAACTACCCTACCTTTAAAAAAAGGGAAATTATGTGAGGTATCTTTTTTCTTCTACTTTAAAAAAAAAAGACCGATAATTATCCCTTGTCATACATGTGTACTATACAATTTAAATATGTGATTGATGCCTACAATGCGCCGATAGGGCAAGTTCAATGCCTCCACAACATGCAAACAACATTTTATAACACCAGCATCTTCTCTCTGCCCCCTTTTTTCCCAGATAACCGCGTAGTTGGCTACGGTGCAATCCGACCCCTCCAGAAACCCTCCAGCCATCGCATCGGTCCCCTGATGGCAGAGAACACGGCCCTGGCCCAGGTGCTCCTCCTCTCCCTCCTGAGCAGCGTGCCTCAGCAGACCCTATTCATGGACTCGCCCCTGGCCAACCCCTCCTTCACAAGGCTGCTGGAGACAGACCTGCGGATGGAGCAAGTGGACGAACGAGTCCGGATGTACACCAGGGGGAATCCCGGCGTGGACGTCAGGAAAGTATTCGGGGTGCTCAGTAAAGATATCGGGTAGTTTGCAAAGGCCCCCATCAAGGGAATTCATGATCATTGAACAGCACTGTCATCAGTGCAGTAGTCAGCAAGCAGTATTTGCAACAACAGACTAGCCACTGTCCCTATTTCCAGCAGCAGAGTGCTTACACCACCTGGGCCAATTTCCTGTAGCTGCTAAGCACAAAAGTTTGCTTAGCATGAAAAGTCTTCCTTGGCAAAAACAGGATTACCAGCCAAATTTCCATGTGATGTATATTGCTTGTGATTGGTATTCAGCTGTTGTTTGCTTAGCAGTAAAATCACATGGAGCTTTGGCTGGTAACCTGCTTTTACCAAGCCAGACTTTTTTGTGATAAGTAAATTGTTGTGCTTAGCAGCTCTCATGAAATTGGCCCCTGGTGCTGGTGAACATTGATTGAACTGGAGATGCCTCAACCTACTGCGAACTGGTGTTGGGCGGTCAAAGGTGACAATGCACAAATGGGGCTACATTGAGGGGACAACCACATGTGACTGTGGCACACAGCCCCAGAAAATGCAACACATGTACTACTGCAGACCTTGCACATAACGCCCCAATAGCACAACTGTGTGTACAGCAGTAGTGGACCACTATATAGCATACGGACACGAAAGCAGAAGCAAGCAAGAAGTAAACGCCCCAATAATGTGGCCCCTATCTAAGCACCTTGCCAGCCTTCTGTTCCCAAAGTCGACCTGTTTAATAGTGCAACCAGTGATCCAATCCCTCGCCACGTGTCTCTGCCCCCTTTTCTCTTCCAGTGTTCTGTGGAACAGTAGATGACATCGTGTGGCCTATTCATACAAGAGTCACTGTGAGGACATCGTACATGTACCTGTTCAATTTGTGTTCATGCAAATATGGGGCACAGTCAGCACAACTTATAACCCATGAACCTAAACGTGATCCCATGGCAGCAGTGGATTTTTTCCATCATCGTTCACCTAGCATTCCTTGCTAGGAATCCTCCTCAAACCTCTATGCAAGCATACATAATGTGCAAAGTTGTCCTTTCAGTCAAAATCAATCAAGTGACTGTTTTCATAAAGAGCTCCCTTCCTACATAAAGCAGGATTGACTGGCTGTGACTGTTTATGTAACTTAGTACAGCTGTACTTTGACTGTAGGTGATTGATAAGCCAGCTGTGCCTACCACTTGTCTGCTTTTGTCTGTTGACTGAATTTGACTAGTCACAGTGCTTGCATGACATTTGATCTGACTGCTGGTGAGACTAGCCTGTGTAAAAGGCATGGCAGGGAAGAGGATTTATTTTTGACTGTCAGCGACTGTTCAGACAGCAGGATGGTTAATAGTAATAATCCAAAACACTTTAAGTTAACCAACAGAACCTGTTTTGCATCGTAAAAAAAAGGGAAAAAGCGCCATGTACAGTAATGGTGGCTGAATAATCCTACTGCTTTACATCCAAATCATGTAATACCAAGTACATGTGTTGGAATTTATAGGGTCATAAGGGGTAAGGGCTAGCCTGACAATGTTCTGAAAAAACAAAGGCATGATTACCTAGAATAAAACCAAACTAGCCTAGCTTCATTTTCTTACATGCCAAATCTGACAATTATTCGCAAAGAGAATTTTACAGGTACACTGTAATTCTATGCAGTTTATTGTCTTGCACAAAACTGACACAATTGGAACTTGGAGTATTTATGTACATGTACATTCTAGATTGATATTGAAAAACAATTGTCAATTGAGCCAATTGTGAAGAATTAAAAAAGTGAATAATTCTATATTCATCTACTAAAGAACATTACAGTGATTGTGTGATTGGTTCAAACTCTTGGCCTTCGAATTCACTCATTTTTCTTGTCAAAAAGTTTCTCAAAGTTCTACAGGGTGACCCCAAAAAAGACGTGCAAGTAGACATCTTTAAATTTCTCAAAAAGTATCCAAGTTGATGGAGTATATTGTTTGTACTCTTGTGTATAACCACAGCGAAAATTTGATGAAAATCCATTCATGGTATCCTTTCAGATAACCTTTGGAGGTTACTAGACCATAATGAGCAGAAAAAATATTAAGCATTTGTTCGTAGCCTATCTAGGTTGAAGCTTCCTGGTTTTCCTCCGTTGGCATGGCAAGGACCCCCAGGTGTTTGTTGCTAAGGAAGTCACATGACTCGGTACTTTCAATGGCCTGTAGAACGTGGGTTGGAAGAATCTCCTTTGGAAGGCTGGATCCAAAATGTTAAATACGAAAAAAAAAAAAAGTTCTTAATTAATAACAGTTCCATGTGTGGCCATTAGCCCCACACATTTCACATGTTGGACAAAATGGTACAGTGTGTGTGCTTACTTTACATGCACCCCGAGGACAGACAGACGAAGGGAGAACAACAGATTCTTTGCTGTCTTTGAACGTTCATCTTTTAATGAAAATAGTCCTTGATCGTGAATTTGTGTGCTTAGTCTACGGGAGCGTGTGATATTAAAGGGACAAAGGGAAAGACAATGCCTTGTCCCCGAGAGTTATGTAAAGTTTGACTGTGTGGTTCAGTAGTGTGTGACATGTAGAAGTGGGCCCGTGGTGGACATTTTATCGAGCTATGGTTACACAGTCACGCCCATCATGTTTGGTCAAAACTCCACGAGGCACCGCTTAACAAATCTGTCTACCCTGGAACCACCATCAACCTGAACATTCTGCACCCAGTTTTGTCAAAGCACACCTTGATAATCGATGTGTGTATGGAATGTTTCGCGATATAAAAACCATTGAGAACATTATATTTTAAATGGACTTGGCAATTTATGGAGCTAAACTGCAATGGCACATTGGATGTACCTGTACCTGTTATCTGTGCGTTTGTTGTAGGCTTTGGCCAAGGATTTTCGGAGGAGGGTGCTTAAGAATTGTGAAACGGCCTGGAACAAAAGAGGACAGAAATTGTAAAAAAGGCAAAAGAGGTAAAAGGTAGAAGACATTTAAAATAAAAATGATTCGATTCACAAGAATAAATGGTGCTCTCAATACAGCCAGTTTTTTCAGGACTGGGTTACCCATGCATGGTGCAGAATGGGCATGAAAAACTTTCATCTGAATGTGCAAGTGTTCTTCGTGATTCTCGCTTTCTTTTTCAGTGCAAGTGTTCTTCGTGATTCTCGCTTTATTTTTCAGCGAGTCTTGGAAAGCCAAGCTGACAAAATTCCTCCGTTGAAAATAGTTCCTTCTTAATGTACATGTAAGTGAATGAATAACCAAAACAAACTCAACTCCCCCCTAAAAAAAACAAAAAACTTGACTTACAGAAAACATGACCTCTTCTGCGACAGGCGCAAAAGTGTCGGAAGCAAGTTGAGTTGGCTTGAAGCAGACCCCAATCTGGAGGATTAAGGACACAAGAAAGAAAATGTATTTGCAAGTTTGCTTGTTCATTTCAGGTGGTGAAACCAGTGATTTTTCAAAAGCATTTATGGCACTTCAACCACAGAAGCCTGCAGAAAACTCTGCACAGGTGACAAGGACAGACATTTTCAGAGGTGTTAGGAAAACACTAAATCAAACATTCTCTGGAAAAAAAACCCTACCAAATAAGGCTGGCAACTAAATAAACGGAGATTTCCAAGGTCAACCTGTCACAAGATTACTTTCACAATTCAATCAAAAGGTAAACTTATGCCTTTTAAAAACAAACATTGTGATGTAAATCACAAGCCAATTTATCCCAAGTAACGGGGTGAAATATATAAAGGTATGCCTTTATCACAGTTCATTTGAATAGACTAAGGCCACCCTCGGGTCGACCTTGCGACGACACAAAACAGTCGGCGACTGGCTTTTCTGAATCAAGGTGCGCCAGAGCTACGACTGTCGGGAACAAATCAGTTGCCAATTTTGTTTGGTGACTGAGGGTAACTGCGACGATATTAAGATGATCGGCATCAGTCTGCGGTAAAAAATCAACAGTCGCAAGAGAAGAATTACATTTCAACTTATGCGCCGCGACGGAACATGTTCCCAACAAGTGGGGATCAATCGCAGCCAACCTGTGCGCAAATGGATCATCTTATTTCATTGTGTAGCCAATCAGCGCATGGCAATAATAGCCAAAGGACCAGATATGGCCATGTAAGATCGTTTGATTGTTATCAACACGCGCAACGCCATTTTCAATACGTCACATGATCACGGCGGTGCCGGGGAATCGTCGTTGGTGACATGAACATGGTTGCAATTATTTTTGTGTCGTGATGCCACTTGTTCCATGATAATCACACGATTTCTCAGTTTTGTGACCTGAGTATTACATTTCTGCATGATGTCGAGGGTTCCGTCATGGCGCCAGAAAATCGCAGGTCGACCTGAGGCCGCCCTTAGAGTTGACTTGGGACATGATGACTTGCAACAATTTAGGATTTGTTTTGTCCCAAATACCTCTTGTGAGACTTCCTGTATCATCTTAGCCCCATTGCTGTATGGCAGGTAACACCGTATCCCGTCTTGGGCTTCTGGCATCTCTCTCTTGATTCGCATGCGATTTCCCAGGTTCCACATCCCGATGATGTCAATCTCAGAGTCGCTGTCGGAGGAAACCCGGTCGATGCCGATCTGTTGGGTCTGCAGATTCCTGGTCAACTCGTCGGGAGTCGTGTAGGTTATTGGTTTCAACAGTCCTGAAAAAGAATTTTTCTAGTTGTAACTTTCAACCAATTACCTTTAATCCTGTATTTGTTTCCTGATAAAATTGACAAATTCCAAAGGAAGCGTAGTAGGGCCGCAGGCCAAGAAAAAAATATCCTAATTAGTATCTCGCTGCCGCAACTTACTATCTCACTGCACCACAGGTCAGGGAACAAGACCGTTCTGCAATAATAGCAGTTGAAAATTGCTTTACAGCTGCTGTAACAATAGCCTTTAGTCAAGTCCCACGCGCCTACCCGGACACGTTACGCACCCCGGATGCTGACACGTAAAAAGACTAGCACGAGCGGCAAAGCTGTGAGGGCCTTTATCATCTTGTGGAGAACGCTCATGTTAATCCTTACATTTGTCTACTGATTTGGTAGACATGCATTATGCATTACCCGTTGTGAATTGACTAATGAAAATGCAGAATTACTAACGTAAATCAGCCGTCATCTGGCGCCAGACAGCATGCCCGCCATGGCGCGCGTGCTGTTGCTGGTAACCGCAAACCACCATTAGATGATTGGTTTATATTGCTCGATTTATATTATGAGATTAAATCAATAAGTGATTAGTTCCATGAGATAGTAAAGGCCCTCGTGGCTTCGTCGCTCGTGCTAGTCTTTTTACGTGCCAGCATCAGGGATGCGTTATGTGTCCGGATGGTCCAGTATAGGAGCGGGGGACTTGACTAAAGGCTACCGTAATGATAGCCAGTGCACATTTTGAAATCTCCTACTTGAACCCCTTGCTCAACTTTCTTTAGACAACTAACCCCTTTGAAGTGCATGTGCAACTTTTTTTGTGCTATTTGTTTGCACAGGTTGACGGTTTTAACCGTCCCTGCTTGTGACACCATACCTCCCTTTGGTTTTGTGTTTTTGTACCTGCAGATGACAGCCAGTCATTGCTACAGTCGTGCCCAGCAGTTGTCGGTTGAATCCTCCGTCCCTTCTTGCTCAGGTCACCACAGACGTTACACCAGGATTCTCCATTGTCACTGGTATCTACGTAAAGGAATTGGCAATACTTTATTTCCTATAAAGTCGAACATTAGGCCCCCAAAACCGAGCTCCTACCCTACATAAAGCAGGATGGACCGGCTGTGACTGTTTATGCAACTTGATACACCTATGCTTTGGCTGAAGGTGATCGATAAGACAGCTTTGCCTTCTTCTTGCCTGGTTTTGTCTGTTGACTGAATTTGACTAGTCACAGTGGTTGCTTGCCTGGAGACTTGCCTGTGTAAAAGGCATGGCAGGGGAAGCGGATCAATTTTTTTCAGGCATGCAACTTTTCCTCGGATCAGCTGATTTCCTCTTTTTTCACTTCCAATATATGCCATTGAAAATAGAAAAACACTGTACAAAGTCTTGGAAAGATTTGAATTTCCTCTTTTTTTTGTGACTTTCCAGTTGCATGCCTGTTTTTTGTCTGTGACTGTTCAAACAGCAGGAAGGTGCAACATCACCACAAATCAATCACGAGTAAAAAAAAATCACCAATGGTCAATGCAGGGGCCACTTTGGACAAACAACTCATCTTTCTTTACACCCACATCCTACCTGGTTCTGGTGGGGTATAGCCCCGCTGTCGGCACCACACCATCACCTCCTTTGCAGTCCAAATTCTTTCAAAGCGTAACTTTTCCGATTTGACCTGGGCCTCTGTTGCGATCCGTCGGACCGAGACGGAACGGTGCCACTCAGCTGCACGCCGTTTGGCCCTGGACCAGGAATGATAATGCTGCAGGGATGTCGCAGCAAAGGGATGCTCACTCTGAACTGAGGTTCATTTAAAAACCAGAACGAAAAAAATAAAGAAAAAGCTGTTTAAATCAATAACTATTTAAATCAGTAGATTATAAGGTGACCCGATATAAGGAGTCATTTTCAAACCAGCTTCACATGCAATACTTAAGTTTACTTCATAATAGTTAAATAAATGAAAAGCTGCAAATTTATCAACAAAGATTGATAAAATTGTCTTCAATTAAAATAATCATTAAAAAAAAACACCGAGACTTAAAACGTGAGACAAAAAACAACAAATAAGAGTTCATTAACCCCCCCCCCCCTAAAGAAAAGATCATTCTCAGGGGTTTAAAAATTACAGAATCACAGTTATAGACTTATCCAAGTTCTGTAAAAGGAAGATAGAAAATAGTCCCTATAATAAACAGCAAAAAGCAACTGCCGGGGGCCAAAGCTGCCAGGAAGGTCAATACAGCCAAGTGCACTTTATCTATCATTTACTTTCTCTATGCCAATATATCCCTTACCCCTGTCCTTGTTGATCAAAGGCGTTTTCTTTACTACAGCTGCAATCAACTCCTCCATTGTCTGTAGTCCATACACACAAACTGGGCCCTCCAAGCAGCTCATTGTCAGCTCACGCATCATGACAGACACCTCAGACTCCGCCTCTTTTTCTTCAACCTCCATTTTGATCTGAACGTCACTCACGGTGGTGGCAGAAGTGGGATTCACAGGGGTGCGCTGAATTGTAGAAGATGGCGGGTAGTCCTGAGGGCTGGTGACTGGCTCCTGCTTGATGACGATTCTTGATGGATGCTGTACCAAAACAGTCTGAGGAGCCTTAGTTTTTACCTGTTGCATTGAGTGAACCAACTGAGTATCAGCAGCAGTTGCAGATGCACTTGCTCCTGAGGTAGGCTCTGTGGTAGTGACAGTCTTTGATGTAGCTTCTCTCATTAGGTCTTTGATGACCACTGGTTTTTGGCTGCTAGCCTCAGTTGATGCAGTTTGATTTTTAATGTGGTCTTCAGCTCCAGAACTGCTGCTTAACACGTTTTCTCTTTCACTTCCTCGACTAGGGATGGTCTCTTGTATCCCTGCTTCAGATGTGGCAGATGCTGATCTGTGTGCTGCCAAGCCTACAGCATCTGGTCCTTTGCCTTCACCTGAAACTTGTCCTGTCACAACAGCTTTTGATTCAGCACCTGCTGTGCTTACAGAAGTTGCAGCAATTGGCCTTGATGGGATCACACTTGTTGCAGGACCAGACAGTCGGACCTGAAGTTGACCAGGGGTAACAACCTTTGATCCTTGACCCTGAATAATGAACTTGGAGGCCTGACCCCCAGGGACTATTGGTTGTCGGATTGCCGTCACTGTCTGCAGAGATTTTCCTGGGACCTTTGGGACAGAGGACTGGGCGTGTAGGACCAGGGTTTGTCCCTGTTGGAGAGATTTTGGCACTGGATTCTGAATGATGTTGACAGAACTACCAGGCTTCAGAGACAGTGGTCCTTGCTGTGGAATTGGGACTGCACCAGGAGGGAGCTGAGCTGCAAGGGTTATCTTCTGCTGTAGGGCTAAACCTCCCTGGACAAGAGGTAGTCTTGTAAGGGTCTGCCCTGAGCTGATCTTCCCACCTGAAGGTGTACGCTGGACAAAAACAACCCCACCGGCTGCAGTTTTTGCTAGTTGACCCTTCTGTTCTGGAAGGATGGAGATTCCTGTTGCCTGAGAAGGACCCTGGATCCCTGAAACCTTGGCCACTGTTGTGCCAGTGGTCCTTTGGATCTGTATAACTCCTCCTGATGGAATCCCTGATATTTTGGGACCAGTCCCCTTCCCGGGAGCGGTGACTGCTTTCGACACAGCTGATGTGGTCTGAGATTTTGGCTGGCTAGAAGCTGTTGTCGACCGAACTGGGGATGGCACTTGTTGAATCTGGACAATACTACCAGGGGGGAGAGGAGGCACAATGGACCCTGCTGGTAGAATCAATACATTGCTGGGTGATAAGAATGGGGACTTGGAGGAAGCAGTGGCTACTTTAGAAGGGCCTGCTTTCCCCGGAGGGCTAGATGCTTTTCCTACACCAGGTTTCCCACCCGCCATGGCCTGTTGACTAGAGGCCTGCTGGAACACCTGCTGCGGGATGAGGATGACCTTCCCTTGCAGGTTTGGATCTGTGGACTTTGCTGTGATGTAGTATTGGGTTCCTGGAGGTGGAGTTGGTATACCTGAGGCAGTGGCTGGGGGCGAGTGCTTTGGGGATTCACCTGGCTTGGTCGCAACAACTGTGATACTTCCAGAGGAGGGGATTCTCTTGACGGCTGGAATGCTAGCACCAGTCGTTGACAAAGAGGTGCTCATGACTGGCTTGTTCAGCTGAGAGCTTGTTGGCTGGACTGCTATCCCTCCAGTCTGAGAACTTGCTCCCATGACACTGCCATCAACCACCTGGGAAGGTTTCTGGAGGGCAGTTGTGACCAAGACACCTTGTACACTCTGAACTCTGGAGGGTGCCGTGGTCTGAAGAACGGTAGTGCCTTTGATATGGGCCTCCTGCACTAGAGGTACTATTGTTTGGGCCATCGCTGCCACGCTAGTTGTTGCCTCTGTCTTGGACTGGGTTATGTCTTGTGTTGGAGAGGTGACCTCCTGAACAACCTTCCCTTCTTGTATGCGGACATCCAGGGTACCCTTTCCCGTAAAAGCAGCATCAGCAACATTGATGACACCAGGCTGGGTTGGAGAGACATTGGCTGACGAAGTCTGGCTTTGAGAAGGGGAGCCAACGATTGAACCACTTCTGTCATCTGTTGGAGTGATGACTTTGGTTGGGGATGAGGAGGGCCCTGGCACCTGCTGGGATAAACCAGCCAGTGAGGATGGAGCTATCACTGCACTCTTGGTTATGGGACCAAGGGGTGGCATGACACGTACAAATTGGCCACCCTGCCGTTGCTGCATGGCAATCTGGCCAGCAGAAGCAGTGCCAACGGGAGGCCCTTGCGACGAAGGCTGGATACCTGACGGGCCAATAATACCACTGAATGACTGACCCTGCTCAGCAGTCACTCTCACTTCCGAGGATGTCTGATCCGTTTGCAGTTCCACTTTCTGACTACTGTCATCCTTAAGTGCAGCGACTCTGGTGGGGCTTGCCTCAGCAGACTCGGATCTCTTAATGGCTGGCACGGGACCCATTCCAGGTTCTTCCGGGAGCCTGTCAATCGTTGAAATTCTACCGACAGATTCTTTGATTCTTGGAGAAGCACTCCTCCACCTTGCCTCATCCCAGGACGTTCCTGGACTCCCCGGCTTGATGCCCTCTTGATAGTTGACCTTTGTGATGGTCGGGGTCATAGGTCGAGACAAGGGCTGACCAAGCTCATCAAACAGGTAACGATCCAGCTCAACATCAACAATCTGAATATAAAAAGTTAACAAGGCTTAGTTGAAAAGTGGGCAATTCAAATCAATAATGTTCGTTTCACATTTTGTTCAGCTTCTCCAAAATTTTCACAAATAATGCACCACAGAAGAATCAACTTTCATGAGAAATAAAACACATAAGAAAAGAAGTTGACCAATATGTGTACCGTCTCAGCTCCAAGTGTCTGTAGTCCTGTGTATGTTCTATCCAGCTGTGAAACAAACAAGAAGCAGAGGCAGTGTGAGAAATATTCACTAATCAAAAAGTCCCCTTACACAGACCTATCACCCAACCACAATTAGATGCCATTTCCAACGTGGTACCTCACTCTCATGAAAGTCCCATGCATTTTGAAATTTTGGCAATCCCCAATGTCAAAGAAAGTTTTCAAGTTTTGCAAAGTTAATGATGTCATGTCTATAAGTAGTTGCCATGGTTAAAGGGCAACAGGAGGTCAAAAGTCTTAAACAGTGGCAAGACATTGTAGATTGATTTAGAATTCGTAGGACATAATTTTGTTTTTGGAGTATGTTTTTCAAGAGATCAGCACCCGGTGTCATGAAACATGAGTTACAATGTGTAACACGTCCCAACTTGCAACGTGTCCTATGATCCATTTCACAAAACTTACTGTATTGAACGCGATGTTAGTTCCGTGGCAATGGCCTAAAACATGTCGCAAGTTACGTTGTGTTTAGTGGTCATTGCAAAATAAGAAACATCTTTTTCTTTAATAGCCACTTGTATGCCATAACAATTACATGAACGAGACCATAATACTGAGACAACGTGTGTGAAGTTGTAAATGGAAAATGCATTGAAGGAAATATGAATTAGCCTAAGATATTTCAAACTAGCTATGCAGTCCACCACGAGCTTGTTTGCCTTTAAAACTGCATCATACGTCCGCCATGTTATATTCACGTTTTAAAAAACAGCCAGCAAAAAAAATTGCGCAGTCATTCGGCAAGTGTCAAAGCTTTGCATGTGGGAAACAAATTGTGTACAAGACTTTATAGTTCCACTTAATTGACTCAACATTGAAAACATTGTCTGCCGTTTGAATTCAAGAGGGCATGTATCTTACACTGACAGGGTTTCAACTCTCAACTACGATACCTTGAGAGGGTGAATGATGTCCACTTTCTTGTTCCTGGGGTCTAGGAAATGAAGCTGGATGCGGATGGGGAATTCCCCCCAGCCTCGGCGAGTCAGATGAAAAGGAGGCTCCCTGACAAGATAGCAAGAACTTTGTCAATGCCAAAGCCTGCTTAAATCATGTTAAAAGTTATGGGCACAGTTTGTGCCCAGTACTTTAATACTGTAATATAGCTTAAGCAAAAGATCTTGTACTTGTGGTCGGCATAATATCCATAATACCAAAGTCTTATATAGCGCACGTATCTACCAACAATTAGGTACTCAAGGCGCTAGAAATTATGTCTATTATTTAGAGACAGGTAAATGAAGTACATGAGAAATATAAAAACCATTATGTAGCACCTTAATAATGGTATACAAGGCGCTGCGGCGCATTAAGCAGCCACTGCCTGAAACACCGGGCAAACCCCTTCTCTTAGCGATAAGTGTTACTGGGTTCTTTAACGTGCATTACACAACACACGGGACCTACGGCTTTACGTCCCATCCGAAGGACGAAGCAATAATGGTATTAAGTGCCTTGCCCAGGAGCACAAGCACCATGTTCCCACGGTCAGGATTCGAACCCATGTACCACAGTACTAGAGTCGAACACCGTAACCATTGGACCACAGCACATCCATCGACTGCAAGTCCGAGTAAAAACAGACTGGGGACTTTATCTATTATCATACATGTATGTGCGGACAGGTAACGCCCCAAAAGCTTCGGAAATTATATTGGGTGATAAGCCCCTTCCCAAAGCTGCCCGCCCTTTTGTACAGGGTGAGTAAAATAAAACGAAACCCAAACTTTGGGACCATTGTTTTGGTGCAGTTCTGCATGTAGCACTTCCAAAATCTAGGATATGAAAGCCCAATTCATAAGTTCTGTCCACAGATCACAAAAAAGTGTGCGTTCTTTCAGCAAAACGAAAACAATTCACACATGTCCTTATGTGATTTGTTTTTGTTTGCTGAAAGAACGCACACTTTTTTCGTGATCCATGGACAGAACTTTAAAACGGCAGTTGTGTTTAAAACTCTATAACTTGGAAAGTACATGAGTGATTTGAATGAATCTTGTACTAAAAGAAAGCTTATGAATTGGGCTTTCATATCCTAGATTTTGAAAGTGCTACATGCAGAGCTTCACTAAAACAATTGTCCCGACATTTGGGTTTCGTTTTTTTTTACTCACTCTGTATAATCGCCCAAGTCTCAAGTATGCTGATATTTAAATGAGTTGACCTAACATCGAAGGTCATAATGGGCAGCAATTTACTAGTCCTTCTCAGACTCTATATCTGATTGAAAGTTACTGGGAGAACAAAAACCGGTACTCACTTGACCTCGACCAGGTCATTGGGTCTGTAGCTTGGGTGCAGGAAGAACCAGATGCGTTTGACGAAATGGTCAATTCTGGGCTCTTCTGGCGGCCCCCTGACGTAGACCATCCATTTGTGGGTAGATGGGTCGCTGTCCTCACGATTCTCGGGCGGGATGTATCTGTGACGAAAAGCAACACCATCTATAATATCTTGTACGAGTAAAGGAACGTCTGAAAAGTCGGAACGTTCCCATTCCGTATGCAAAGTTCCTTTGGAAACACTGAGTGTTCCCATCGGGAACGTGCTGTGTTCCCAGCATGTTTCCAACTGGAACAGGCCATTCCCATTCCGTATGCAAAGTTCCCATTCCTTATGCAAAGTTCCTTTGGAAACACTGAGTGTTCCCATCGGGAACGCGCCATGTTCCCGTTTGAATTCCGTATGCAAAGTTCCCATTCCTTATGCAAAGTTCTTTTGGAAACACTGAGTGTTCCCATCGGGAACGTGCCGTGTTCCCAGCATGTTCCCAACTGGAACAGGCCATTCCCATTCCGTATGCAAAGTTCCCATTCCGTATGCAAAGTTCCTTTGGAAACACTGTGTGTTCCCATCGGGAATGCGCCGTGTTCCCAGCATGTTCCCAACTGGAACAGGCCATTCCCAAGTAAGCGTGTACGCCCATACACCAACGTTTCCACGAGGCGTCCCCAGGCTGTTTTTCAGTGGGAACAACGCATGTTTCCAATTGGAACAGGCAATGTTCCCCGGTGTTCCACGGGGGAACGTTCCAAGCATTTTAACTTTTCGGACGTTCCCTAAACGTGATTTCCTGAACGTCAAAAACATTGCCAAGGGTTATATATCCACTACAGAATGAAAGTGTACCATCTTTGATCTTCATGAGGATCAATGCAAGGGGTGTTCCAACACCACACTTTCGCAATTGACATTCTGTATTATGACATTGAGGTCATGATAGAGATAGATTGATCCAGATTGTAAGTTCATAGGAGAATGTGAAATTAAACAGGCCGTAACTCGTGGTTCACTTTGCAGAAAGATTTTGTGTGTGTGCGACTTACTTTGAGACGTTTCCCACAATGATTCTCTTCTTGACGTGGAATCTGGACCCATCGCCCGGTTCCACTTGAGGAATTAGAGGCTTGGGGGTCAGGAGAGCGGGGCCAACACCAAATGTATCCTATCAAGAAAATAACCTTGACTCAGTTATTGCTTTCTAGGAGATAAAGGAGGCAAGCATGTCACTCAAAATATTAGGGCACGGCAAGGCCAGTATAGCTGAGCCTATATTTGGATCCAAATGCAGTCGATATCCACATGCAACAACCCAGAAGCTTTGGTATGTAGTTTCCACATGTCATGGGTCAATGCTTAAACTTATTTCCAGTTTTTTTTAAAAACAAACTGTGTACTGGTGACTGGTAGAAAGATGATAATAGCGGTCACAATACAGACGTGACGTTTTCATCACATTCATTGAAATTCACTGCAAAAAGTTAAAATCAGATTTTGCGGGGAAAATATCGTTAGAAAACAATTGGACCTTTGCAAGAAAGTTTGAAAAAGTCAGATTTCCGGTTAAAATGTTACAAATTTCATCTCTGTTCAAGGGTCAAATCATTGACTTACTGGTCCAGTGTGGCGTGGTCCTTTGGCCCCGCCCACTCCAAGGTCAGGCTCCTCCTCCACTTCGGCTAACTCCACCCTGCTCAGCTGCTCCGATTCTGGTGATGACCGCTCGCTCTGCTGACTGGACCACGGTCCACTGCTCGGGGTACCAGGAGTCTCTGCCATTGCCGGGGGGATCGGGGTGCCGTTTTGGGCGACATTTTCCGCCGAGGCTGGATCTGGTGTCTCGGACGGTGACTGAGTTTTCAGATTGCTTGCGAGAGCTTGTTGGATGGCCGGATGGTTCAAATTGGTTTTGATGGATCGGGTTTTCTGCATAGAGAAAAGAACGCAAATACACTATTCATAAGATGGAATTTGCGTTGGGGTCGTGGAAATCAGTGGTAGTATGTGTCCTTCACCGACGTACAACTTGTATACTCCGTGTGTTACCTCCCGAGTGAAAGTTGGGAAAAAACTCACTCGGGTGGGACTCGAACCCACAACCTCCTGCTATCTAGTGAAGAAGTCTTACCACTCGACCACAAGCTTGCGGGTGGTTGACTATTCTGAATCTGATATACATTAAGAAGCGTGTACCACAATTAAACTATACATAAGATGGAATTCACGTCGGGGTGATGTAAATCAATATTAGGTTTTGCCCTAAAAAAATACAGTTCAGGAAAAGTACTGGTACCAAGGTGTTGGCTTATGCTACTACCGCCATATGTAATACAGGGGAAAGTTATCCGAGGGACCAGTAACTCATTAAGCCCTTGAACATACTTTGCCCTTACCGTCCCAAATCCTCCAAAGTCCCCTTTTCAAAATCGAGAATTTCCAAGGATTGAGATAAACAGCTTAAAATCTTTCCGCAGTGCTCATGAACAATAGTTACACATTCAAAATATTCAATATTAGAGAGTTCTGAGAGCCATGGAATTGGGAATCAACAACATATGGCAGGTACTTCTGGCCTGGACTTGGGGCTTCCAATTCTGCGCATTTTGGATGCAATTGGATCCATTAGTGGCACTATTTGGCCTTGTTGTGGAGGGATTCTTTTTTTAAAATGGCTACTTTTCCAGATTGGGATATATCATTCGTTTTGAAGTGGTTGTCTTTGGCTGAGAATTTCTCCAAAAGTCATTGGTTATTGGTCAACCAACCAAAAATTGAAAGGGAATAAATTGATTTTTGATGTTAATCATCCTTTCTCTGTGCAGCCTGAACAGCTGTGAGAGTATTTTTAGTATTTTTAAAAGAATTTTGAAGTATGGGGATTCATCACTGGTGTCTATGGGAATTAATCTACTGAGTTGCACCCTTAGGGTTAACGAAGGCTAAAGGTTAAAGGTCACACTGCTCACCTCCCCTTTGGCGTTTGTCTGGCCAAGTCCAATGTTTCCGTAGTAGTTTGCCACGACGCATGCTCGCAGCTTGTCCAACATGGCTCTTACTTGGTGAATTCTCTGAAAAGGGAGAATATTGCAATGATATGAAAGAGTTGTAGTCAAGATCCAAACAAATATAGTTCTGCTCTGATTACTTAGATTAGGGTAGGGGCCATCAGAATAGGGTAGAGACCGTAAGCTTGATTTCTTTTTTTTTAACCTAATTACGCTTTTCAACAATAATTTTGTCAGCTACTTTTTGGACAGCCGCAAATAATCTACGGGGTACTTTACCTTTTTAAAGGGAATGTACAATATTTGCTTTTGCTGCAATTTTCAGAAATAAATGGATTTGGAGGATTAGTATGTTACATAAAATATTGTTAAACTGACTCGTTTCATGTTTTGGGCTTGTAGATGCTGGAAAAACCAAGAAAACCTATCATGTTCTTGTAGTCTGGTTCCCTGACCCCACTTCAGATGAAACGAAGCAATTAATACACTTTGGGGAATTGTAAAGTCAGAGAATCAGTTTAGCAGGTTTGTACCCCTTCACAGGTGTGTGATCAATTGCAAAGAAAAGTCAGAATAACTAAATACGAAAAATTATGAACAGTTTTTGAAAAACAAGCCAGTTTTCTCCAACGCTGATTGGCCGACCAGCGTTGGAAAAATACAGTTTTTCTTGAAAATGTCAGCCCACCAGGAGCCACGATTTTTAAACATGCATTTAGACCGTCAGTCCCTAACAATTCAGTAAGGTATTTTGTGATAATTAGATCATTTTGTTTTCTGATGTTTGCAAACGTTGTATTTTCCCTTTAACAATGATCACCAGTGAATGAAACGCATTTGTTAAAAGCACCACTGTGGTCCATGGGTATTTTGAGCCCCGCGGTAAATAAAAAAGGATTCCTACCTCATCAATATGTTCAACTTCCTTCTCTTTGTGCCGCATCTCAATGGCAAACTGACGCTTGATGATGCCTTCGATTTTCTTGACAGTGAGGTCCTTGGCTGAAAGCAAAAAAAGAAATGACTCCTTCTGTGACAATCACATTCCCAGAAGTCTAATAGCCTGATACTTTGACCCTAACCTTCCCAAATCCTCCAAAATCCTCTTTGCAAATGGAGGATTTTGCAGGATTGAGGGTATACAGGGTGAGTAAAAAATAAAATTCCCCTTTGGATAATTCCTCGTCTCCCACCAAAACGGGGAAAGGTTACCAGTTTTTCTCTTTAAATAACGTTCCATCTGCGTGTTGACCACAGTCAGAAACAAATTTCACTGATATTCATTCATGCATGCAAAGGATAAGCCTACTGGCCTTTTTTTGTGACTCACCCTGTATGGCAAAAATGTTAAACTAGTTTGGAGGATTCACTGTGTCACGGTCTTTGGCCAGACCTCATGTTGTTTATGCTCAGCCGTGCATAAATTTGGGCCTAAGTTATACTTGAAATCCCCTGCACTGCTCCAGGATGTCACTGTCCATGCCTCAACATACTGACAGTAATTGCTGGAGGATTTTGCAGGATTGAGGCAGTGGTCACCCCTCCAAGGACCACTTTCAAGAAATAACTGAGGATTTGGAAGATTGAGGCTGAAAGCGATTTCTACATGGATGCATTTGGAGGATTTTGCAGGATTGAGGTTGCATCCTAGCAAAAATGCCTAGGGAGTTAGAGTTAAAACTCCGTCGCAATTACAAAGTTAATAATGTCCAACATGATGGTACAAGAGTCCTACGAGCAAATAGCGTTGAATTCACACCAAATTGTTCAGCACTGAGATATCATTTTGGGTCATTAACTTTAAAAGAAAATTGTTGAGAGTGAAATCCCTTAAGGAGAGAGGTGGAGGGAGTGATTCTTTGTTTGCGGGGGGCATTTTAAGATGGAAATTTTTTTGGAGCCACCATCAAGCATTCTTCAATATTCCATGGGCCGAGGAGTTCAAAACCAATACATGTAAAACTCAGGAACTTGTATCGAAGAAATGCACGATTGGACATCTGATTAATTGCTTATTTTACTCTGATTAGTTGCTCATTTTACTTGCAGCAAGTATCTGTTATCTGCAGTCCAGCCCTCCCTAAAAGTTTGTGAACATGATAATATAAAATGAAAGACAAACAACTTTGGTGCAGAAACTGCGAAGTGCCTACTTTTTTCCATGTCAACAAAAAAATTTCACTTGCGAGTACCTTCTTCTACTCGTGCCAGGACGAGTTCTCGAGTAGAACGAGTAGCACAAACTACTCACAAGTGCTCAGGTTACTCGTCCAGTGGTAATGGTGATCATAATTACACAATTCTGTTACTAGTAGAGCTAAAAACTCTAGCTGTTACTCGCGAGTACCTACTTCTTCTCCTGCCAGGACAATTACTCGAGTAGAACGAGTAGCACAAACTACTCACGATTACTCACTAGTACTCGGGTTATTCTCCGCAGTAATGGTGATCATACTTACAGAATTCTGTTACTAGTAGAGCAAAAACTCCAGCTGTTACTTGCGAATACTTTCTGCTACTCGCGCCAGGACAAGTCCTCGAGTAGAACAAGTAGCACAAACTACTCACAAGTACTTGAGTTACTCGCTCATCGGTAATGATGATCATAATTACAGAATTCTGTTACTAGCAGAGCTAAAAACTATAGCTGTATGGTGGTGTTCCCTAACGTGGCGCACTTCAACGTTTACCCGACTTTCCTCATGTAGTGTTTCAAAACCTCTTTGTTGACAAACCTCAAATTCATGCAGTGAAATACTGGTACTTTTACCTTATTAATGCTTGCTTTTTAACTTATATGAAAAATGTCGGTATCGTGAAATTTAATCCGAAATTCAAAAACGGTGGCGTCCGGAAATTGGGCACAAATTGGTGGAGTGTTCCCTAACGTGGCACACTTGAATAAATCTCGGAAAATTACAAATTAACATTTAATAATTTCTGTAAAGTTGATAAATTCTGATAAATCATTATTATCTCTACTTGCATACCCAGCCAGAAGTTTGTCAGAAAATTATTTTCTTCTTTTTCGGGGCATTTTCAAAGTGTTCACGTTGCACTTCGAAAATCGAAAAATCACGCCAAAATAAATTTTTCTTCTAACTTTGTTTACGGGTATATAGATGAACTCGCGATTTATGAACGGGAGTGTTTAGAACTTGATGAAATTTCCCTTTCTGTGAGATTTCAGTTAAAGTTTTTGCTCTAGCTGGGCGCTACAGGCGAAAAATCAAAGTGCGCCACGTTAGGGGCCGCGTCACGTTAGGGTACATCAACAATATAGCAAATATGTCTTTGTACCATCTTTCTCGAACAGGCGCTGTCTTTTGCTGGCTGTCATGACAGAAACAGTCTCGTAGTCTGGATCCTGGTCACGGATTGGTTCACCTTTGCGTTTTGTAGCCATATCTGGAATAGAAACGAACAGAGAATTTAATTCTGCATTCTTCAATTTCAAACCAAACAGAACAATGAAATCAGAATAAAGGTCAGGAAAGGATGGGATCAGGGGTCAATCATATTACAATTATTAGTCTCAGGCGAATCAAGCAATCGAGGAACTTGCAAAAAATATTAAACAAAAATCCCCCCCCCCCCCCCCCCCCAAAAAAACACTTTGCCTATTGATGCAAGGGGGGCTCATAATATAAACTTCACAATCGCCCCCTTATTGAAACCATGCAGGCGTCTCCATATGACCGTACACAAAAAAAATTGTCCGTAAACTGGCTACCTACATGATGCATGACCTAACTGATCTGATCAGCAAAATCCCAAAACCTACAAAATTATGGGGAAAAGTAATAATGCACAATTTACTACACAATTCTTTCTGCATTGAAACGTAGCTGCAGCACTTCAGTTCATTAAATTAAAGGATATTTACTCGTATTCGTAAGGCTTTTTATTAAAGCCCGCTTCAATGCAATGCCGACGATGGTGTAAAACAAAAACTGGGATACCGTGAAATCGTTAGCGCGCCCTCTGTAGTTTTGCATATGCCGCATAGCATTAGCTTGAAGTTGAAGGTGAAGAGCAGGTGAACTTGGTTACGATACGAAGTAGCCCAGTAGCAGTCAGCCTGAGTCTCAGGAACCTTGAAGAGGAGTACTAGTACTACTACTAGGTTGTACTTCTGGTTTCTGGGTGACTTCTTTCGTTTTTGGAAAAGGGTAATTTTGCGGTTTCTTTTACCGCCTGGCCACAGTGATTTTTGCCTGATGAGCTGACGGGGTGCACTATCTACGTCAACTCGCCCCCTGGCCGACTCGCCCCTTACCGACTCGCCCCTTACCGACTCGCCCCTTACTGACTCCCCTCCTGACCGACTCGTCCCCTGACCGACCCGCCCCTTACCGACTCGCCCCCTGGCCGACTCCCTTCCTTGCCGTTGTTATGTCCTAGCCGACTCGCCCCCTGACCGACTCGCCCCCTGGAAAATTAAGCACCTTACAAGGACATCCTGAAAAAAATAATAATAACGACAATGGAGGGAACACATTGCCCGGTCGCAGCGTGAATCCCAATGGAGCCAAATTATTCAAAAGCCACTTTTGAAGGATTCCCAGTACAAATGCAAGAAACTATAGATCCTTTTATGAAGAATTTGTGATGGAAACACATTAGCACAGCTTTACCGATATTCGCGGAGTGCCCGTCCGTGGGGCCTATGCGCGCTGCGCCGGTCCATGGTGAGCTGCCTGCGCGTGGCAGGTACCCGCGTTCACCGTTCGTCAATGAAATTACTCTGGGTCCTCGGTTTCATTAAAAAGTATTTTAAGACTTGAGAATGTATATTCTTAAAATAAAAAAAGTTTGTTGTTTGGTTTAGTGGTGTTCTTATCAAACGTACCGTACCGAAGTGTTTTGAAAATGTTATAGGAGAAGCTCATCGATCAGTGGAACTTTCAGAATCAACTCAGATAACGGAGCTGATTTGAACGTGATTTGCTGACCCTCTTCTCTTGCTGAAAGGGATTGTCTTATTTTCATGTGTGACCTTTTTATTATTTATTATTGGTTATCATGCATGGTTATTATTACCATTTATTATGAATTTCACGACGCGATCCTGGCGGGCATGCACGTGTTCCCCTCCTCTGTCTTTTTTTTTCACGATGTCCTTGTAAGGTGCATAATTTTCCAGGGGGCGAGTCGGCCAGGGGGCGAGTCGGTCAGGGGGCGAGTCAGCTAGGAGGCGAGTCGGCCAGGGGGCGAGCCGGTCAGGGGGCGAGTCGGTAAGGGGCGAGTCGGTAAGGGGCGAGTCGGTCAGGGGGCGAGTCGGTCAGGGGGGCGAGTTGACCTGCAATCCTACTGGGCTGGGGCGCTAGATAAGAATTAACCCCTTTGACATTTGGGATGTGGTCTGTTGTAATAGCACGACAGACCACATCCCAAATGTCAAACAAAGGAGTTCTAGCGCCCCAGTTAGTGGGTCTAGTACTTGAGCATGCCATGGAGCTAGAAACACATGGCTTGATTAACTTAACCTCAGCTCCAACATTGTCCAAATGCTCAATATAAATACGTGTACAGTAGCTGGAGTTACCCAGCCCTAAATTTTACGAAGTGGCTATCGTTACGGCAGTTGTTGTTTAGCGCCCTCTACGATACTTTTTTGATACGCACGCAGGTATATAATTATTTGTTTCCCCACGTTTTAGCGAGCAGTGCGACAGCTCAGTCGATAGAGGGTAAGATTTTGCACCGCGAGGTTGTGGGTTCGAATCTCAGTTTTGCACTCGAATTTTTTTCCTTTTCTAACCTGAGGCTTTGGAGGATTTTTTTTTAAAAGTGAAATAAAGTCCGAATTTCATAACGTTCAAATTCACTTTTTTCCTTCTAATTTTATATTTTCTTCTCATGTTTTTATAAAAGTTGCAGTCTACCGTAACGATAGAAAATGGGAAATGCGTTACGGCTGCCGTAACAATAGCCACTGCGAAATTTTATCATTGGGTTGTCATGTAGGACAACCCAATGATTAAATTTAGGGCTGGGTAACTCCAGCTACATGTGCAGTCATTTTCCTAGTTCCGGATTTTTCCTAGATCCGGATCGCTTCAAATAAAAACCAACTTCTTTTGGGTTAGTTTCCAATAAAAAAAATTCTGACGAAGTGCATTTTGAAAAGGAAAATGTAAGCTTCTTGATACTCAAAGATCTTTTCGATAAAATCTTTAGAAGAGGAATTTTGGCCAGATTTCCGACTCGCAGTTTGACATGTTTTGATGGTTTGTAGAAAATCGCGGGAGCTGAAATCGACAATCAATTTTCTCCTCGGAACATCACTTGCACCGTGTGATTTCAAACATTTTGTTCATACATGTACACTTCATAAACTCTTCCATCGAATGTTTGTTGAATAAAAGAGTCTCAATTTTTTGTCGTGCCGTTGCGCTGCAGACAGAAGTTTCAAAATCATTTACGTTTTTCTCTTTTTAAAATTTGCCCGAATTCTCTTGAATGAACTATTTTTGGTAAATTAAATATTACTTTATCAGAAATGTGCTTGATTTTTTTTTTTTCTGGCTGAAAAGGTGATTTTCTCGCGTGATTTTTTTTTCGCGCGAAGCATTGTTTGATCGATTTGGAACTGATTGAACCGATCCGGAACTAGGAAAAAAGACTTCGTTACATTTGACGTCGTAAAGTTGGAAAGATTTCCATCTATACGAAGTTCACTCAACACCCTGTGTACAAACCCTATGAGATTGGACTGAAAAATTCTAAGTGTTTTCTAAGAAAATGCTTGTATTTTCTCACTGCTCAAATTGACTTTGATGACATGAAATTGCTATCTGGGGGCTTGTTAGTCAATACAGAGGAAAATTAGTGAACTTCGCATATGGTAATCTTGCCGTAAAGTTAAATCTAAAGGAGCTTAAGTTTGGACAATTATTGTGTACCGGTAGTTTCTCCATCACTCAATGTAAACTTTTGAATCAATGTCATTTGAATTCGTGGAGTAGTTGAGCTGAAAGCTGCCTGAATGATGTTTGCTATCCGGAACTAGGAAAACGACTGTAATTTTACACATGCGCCGAATATAGAAATAAATAAATAAATAATAATTGCATAAATATGTACGAGATGAAGGCATGGAGGCACTTTCAGAATGACTAATAGTAATACTGTGCCTCCCCCCCCCCCCCCACAGTCTGAATAAGGGAGGTTTTAATCACTCTGTTTAAGACTGCTTAGAGTCTGGGTGCTGATAATTACCCGAGCCGGAGGCAAGGGTAATTATCAGCACCCAGACTCTAAGCAGTCTTAAACAGAGTGATTAATACCGACCGAGCACATTTATTCCCATTCATAAATACCTTTTCGGTAAAAAAAATCAAGGAATTCGTTCAAAAAATCCCGATTTTGATCAACAAGTTCACTCCAGCTTTTTGAAACATCCCTCTAGCAAAATAATGGAGTGTTCAGCTGGCGAGTAAGATGTAAACAACCCTTTTATGGAGATTGACGTAGCACGTTCTGCACGATGTCGCGCAGAACGCACCTGGGGCGTTGCGTTTTGAATTTAGAACTATACAATTCTGACTCACTTGTAGTGTTGCACATGCCTACGTGAGGATTGTGAACGTTCAACCAATGAAACGGTAAGAGGCACTGGATTTTTAGGAGTCCGCATTTTATGTGACACTGGAAAAGTGTTTAAGACCAGCTAGCCATGTCTTTATCATCCGTTTAAGACCGGCCACGTGACGGGCTCTTGACCAATAGGAATGGCTAAACTGTCTGAGGTATTTATGAATTATGATTATAAATTTTATTATAGTTGACCAGATTGAGGGCAGTTGCGCCTTGAGTTGAGCACACAGGCAGCAAAATCTGGAAGAATTGAGATGGGTATCAACTTCAACGTGAGACAGTGGGGTAAAGGGACAAAGATAATGGTCAGTTGGTAAGTATAAAGCCATAGATCCGTATATTGTCATCACAACCATTTTCCATGTGCATGTACTTTCTTTTCATCAGTACTAGCATTAGTCCCTTTCGCAATATCCTCATCTTCAGCAATGTTATCGTCATGGTCAATTTTCTTCATTGTCAGGCATCATCGTTGTTGCCATTGTATCCTCATCTTCACGAGTTCCCCTAGTGTGTCATTTTTCCAGGTTACACCAACAATAGTTGGCACAGGCGCCAATCGATAGGGGGTGGGGGACATGTGGTAAGGGGAAAAAGAAATTTCCAAAAATGTGTCCAGTGACACATTTTTGGAAATTTCTCTTTATAGTTGGTTTGTAATTGGGCGCATTGGATAATGGGTGCAAGCGTTGAATCGATGCACACAATAAATGGTTCCACCTCTATGTTCCGACACCCCTATATTCCGACTGCACATATTCCTATTCCTAACCCTAACCCTAACCGGGAGTAACACAATCTAGGTTGTCGGAACATAGGGGTGTCGGAACATAGAGCAGTCACCCAATAAATAAGTATACCTTTAGACTTCAAATAAAAGTGATTTTTTGGGTCCACTTGAGATTTCCACTGTCCGGCCGCCATATTTGTCCTGTGAGTGAACAACGCATACGTGTGACTCATTTCCAACATTGACTCTGCTCCACGAGCAGGGTCTGTGGTGGCTGACCCGGGTGAGACCCGAGAATGATGTCTGAGCTAATCGAACGGCACGGGCCTGACTCGTGTCGACCTGGTTGAGCTAAACGAACGAACCCATTATATGTAGGTAGAGTTCGTTCTTGTTACTAGAAATCTTGAGTAAAACTTTTTTCCTCATTGTCCAAAACACAGGGCTGGTATTCTGTTCCTGGGTGTGTCGTCCTTCATTCTGACCAAACGCCAAGTGGACAGAAATCGCTACGACATCATGAAGAGCAAACAGAGGATGCTGAACGCCAATCTGTCAGTTGAGGACTCGGAGAACGTCAGATATAAATAGAACAACATCCCCCCTGCAGTGTTATTTTTGACTCTATGAATGCTGCCTTCCATGGATATTCAAACTCTATGGATATTCAATGCTGCGGCCAGCCTTCATGCACATGTGCATCGTGGAATGAGGATATAGTTCTGCGTCACCAGAGCAAAAATGCGTCATTCTTGGTGTGTTTTCCCATAAAAAGGACCCCAGCTCCACCGATTCACCAAATTGACAGTGATCATTCATTCGTTACATACATGTACATGTGCAATCCTTGTTCTTTGAGTATATATGGAACCATCTAATATGCCAGTACCCCCCGCCCTGCAAACAGGGCGCTGGGAAGGGCTGATGAGCTTCACAGAATCTTGTGAAGGAAGTGAGGATGGCATTCTGGGTAACTTATCATGACCTATATAAAGACATCTGGCTGCATCTTTTTAAGACCGCAGTTAGCCAACGTGCGCAAATGCTATCTGGAAACTTTCTCGTAGAAATGCATTTATTCCATACCGGATGTGATTTCATTTTGCATTGCGGACCATGTGGACAAATTTGAGTGTCACATAAAATGCAATTTGACCCATCGTAAAGTCAAAATGGAGCCTGAGCAAGTGGCGGGAATTGAAAATTTGCAAAACAGATAAGTTTTACAGTTTATCCTACATTATTATGTTTTTTCAACGAAAAAAAAGAAGCATTTATGAGTAGGGACTGGGTCTTAACGGCCTTTAAAACCTGACAGGGTCGTTGGCCTTGATGGTTTGCAGGTGACAGGTCACGCAAAGTCTATCCAATCAGAGCGTAAATTCATCAGCCCTTCCCAGCATACTTTTCCAGAGCGGGGGTTACGAGCGAAATAGAAAATTGGATGTAACCTCATTCAGCAAAGACTTCAATTTGAAAGACTTGGAGGCTACTGATTCATTAATCAGAGGATAACATGTGGCTTATCACCTGTGTAGTAATGTACATGCAGTAGCCATAGGGTATTTTTTTTAAGTTAAAGATTAATGGAGGATGTGGCGAAGCAAGGGTTAAAATGAGTTGATCATTTTGTTGGCACCCTAAAAATTGAAAATGGTGACGGCTTGATTTCACAATCTAGGGAGTGTGTGGGATTAAAAAAGAAAAGAAAAAGGAGGCTAGATTTTCTGTTTGTTTTACATCAGCTTGCATCTCCATCCACTGTGTAGTTGTCTGAAGGATTATTTTGATGTTGTCGTTGATTGTTGAAGTTGTCTCTTAACCCTTACCTTCCCAAATCCTATTGCAAAATGTAGGATTTTACAAGATTGAGGCTAAATGGCAAAAGTGTGTGGCTGATTTTGGAGGATGCACTGTGTTAAGGTCTTGGGCCAGACCTCGTCTTTGTGCTCGGCCGTGCATGAATTGTATAGGCCTACATTGTACTTGAAATCCTCCGCACTGCTCCAGGATGTCACTGGCTCTGCCTCGACATATTGACGGTGATTGCTGAAGGATTGTGCAGGATTGAGGCAATGGTCACCCCTCCAAGGACCACATTCAAGAAACAACGGATGAATTTGGAGGATTGAAGCTGTGTGCAATTTTTACATGGAGGCAGTTGGAGGATTTTGCAGGATTGAGGTTGCAGCCTAGCAAAAATATCTTGGGAGTTAGGTTTAAAGATTCCTTTTTCGCTGACATCAGTGCTAGCAATAAAATCATGAACTAATAAGGGAATAAATGTGTGCTCCGGAGGTTTTTATCACTCGTTTAATACCGCTTAGAGTCTGGGTGCTGATAATTACCTGAGCCGGAGGCGAGGGTAATTATCAGCACCCAGACTCTAAGCGGTATTAAACAGAGTGATAAATACCGACCGAGCACATATTTATTCCCATTCATAAATACCTTATCCGTAAAAAAATATCAAATAATTCGTTCAAAAAATCCCGATTTTGTTCAACAAGTTCACTTCATGATTTTTGAAACATCCCTCTAGCAAAATAATGGAGTGTTCAGCTGGCGAGTAAGATGTAAACAACCCTCTTATGGAGATTGACGCGCGCGTAACATGTTCTGCGCGATGTCACGCAGAACGCACCTGGGGCGTTGCGTTTTGAATTTAGAACTATAAAATTCTGACTCGCTTGTAGTGTTGCGCATGCCTACGTGAGGATTGTGAACGTTCAACCAATGAAACGGTAAGAGGCACTGGATTTTTAGGAGTCCACATTTTATTGTGACACTGGAAAAGTGTTTAAGACCAGCTAGCCATGTCTTTATCAGCTAGCCATGTCTTTATCATCCGTTTAAGACCGGCCACGTGACGGGCTCTCGACCAATAGGAATAGCTAAACTGTCTGAGGTATTTATGAATAAGAGAATAAATGTGTGCTCCAGAGGTTTTTATCACTCTGTTTAAGACCACTTAGAGTCTGGGTGCTGATAATTACCCGAGCCGGAGGCGAGGGTAATTATCAGCACCCAGACTCTAAGTGGTCTTAAACAGAGTGATAAATACCGACGGAGCACATATTTATTCCCATTCATAACTTCCCCTTTTCGGTAAAAAAAATCATATTATTCGTTCAAAACATCCCGATTTTGTTCAACAAATTCACTTTATGCTTTTTGAAACATCCCTCTTGCAAAATAATGGAATGTTCAGCTGGCGAGTAAGATGTAAACAACCCTTTTATGGAGATTGACGCGCGCGTATCATGTTCTGCGCGATGTCGCGCAGAACGCACCTGGCTCGTTGCGTTTTGAATTTAGAACTATAAAATTCTGACTCCCTGGTAGTGTTGCGCATGCCTACGTGAGGATTGTGAAAGTTCAACCAATGAAACGATAAGAGGCACTGGATTTTTAGGAGTCCACATTTTATTGTGACACTGGAAAAGTGTTTAAGACCAGCTAGCCATGTCTTTATCATCCGTTTAAGACCGGCCACGTGACGGGCTCTCGACCGATAGGAATGCGTAAACTGTCTTAGGTATTTATGAATGATCGGTAAAAACAAAAATTCTCTTCTATGAGTTGATAGGTGTGTAACATGAAGGCATGTACGTTTGACACAGCAGCAAACTGCAATACTTGCACATAAAAGCTATTGAGTAAGATGAACTTGTTTTTAGTTAAAAATTTGCCTCACTTTATTTTTCAATTCACACAAAATCTGGTTTAAACAAAGCTTGAGACTTCTGTTCAGAGTATAATTTTATTTACAAGTAAAAAGTGTACATAAAGATTTACATGTAAATGGAATTATGTGTTTGTTGATTTTCAATGTTAGTGGTATGTGTCTTAATGTACAATTATATGCGAGTTGAGCTTACTGCGAATTCCCAAAACATAATAATAATGGAGGTATTTAAGGCCAACAAAAAAAAGTCTCCGGTTTCTGGTATGGAGCTTGCCCAAAAAGTGGTGCGGCGACGCGGCTTTTTTTTTTTTTTACCTGATTTTTTTGCTTCAAATCATTGAAATGTCGGCTGATGACTGCAAATGGTGCCCGACTAAACTTGGTGCAAATAGATGGGAGTCCAGAGAGGCCACATAAAGCTTATTCTCGACCATAATCCAATCTAAAAACACGTTAAAATTGTGCAGCAGCAAGATTCCATTAAAACCAGTGAGTTTGGCGGTTTTGAGACATCATCTTTCATTGAAAAAAAAACTTTTTCATTTTGCCGACGCGCATGGCTACGGCGACGCATGCGCATACCAGAAACCAGAGACTTTTTTTTTTGGCCTAAACATGAGATTATTTTCCTGCTCTGTTGGTTTATATGCAATTGCCTCTCATTTGGGAGAAAAATATTAAAACTGTTTTCTTAAATCCATCAACCCTAACTCCCTAGTGTCTTTTAAAGTACTGGACCACGTCCGCCAAAATACATCACTGACCCTGCTTCACATAATGCTTCAGGACCAAATCCGCTGAAATCCACCACAAGACCACCACTTCTATAGGAATTTTGATGGACTTCGTATTCATGGCTTACCTACCAAAATGCGGTGATGAATTCGGGAAGGTTAGGGTGAAGTCCTTCATTTTAAGGTTGAATATATGAAATTGTTGAAACAAGATTGTGGGTGGATCAGGATGGAGTCTCCTGAACCTCCAGTGAAAATTGCATTTGTTTGTGCCTTTTCTTCCTACACAGTAATTTAATGCAAGGCATTTTTACAGGACCTATCATTATTGCATGTTCGCCTAACACATTTATGGACTTCTCACAATTGGCGTCTTTTATTGGGTTTGAACGCATAACGAAAATCTTTGACTGGAGACAAAGACGGAGCCGGAACGAAGCGGAGGTTTTGTAAACGCCTAAAAAGGCCCTCTAGTTAGCTCTGCGCATGCGATGCACGTGTCCCGCGTGCCGATTGATGACATCGTCGGGGGAAAACCCGTGCCTGATTGTGAAATCAATTCGCCAGTGAGTTTGTGATTGTGAAGAGTGCTACAGAATCGGCTGTGCTGACTTAAGCTTAAATTCACATTTCGAAAATATTGCCTGACACTGACAGAAACAGAAGAGACCAGTAAAACTGAAGCAAGATGGACGCTCGCGATGACGAGTGGCATCGAACACGGCGACGTGCTCGTGCCATGCATCATCCGATGGCGACTGAGCGCGACTTTCATGACTTCGCTAGGATGCCTGGTACGTGTAGTGTAGCGTGCGTTATTTCACTCACTTCCTTTCCTACTTAAATCCTAGCCCCATAAATGTAGCCAATTTACTGGACTACCTCTGTAAATAAAGGCCACACTTTCATCATGTACAAAAACATTGTCAAATTTTGATTTACGTTCACATTTAGGCTTAGTTTGTAGTTTATTTTTGCTTCAGAAGCATACTCACCCTCTTAAATTTTTGTGAAATTTCCAGATTCGTTTGCACACGTTTGCGAATCAAAATTTCAACATGAAATTTCACGAAAACTAGACATCTGAAAAAGGGCAAAACTTGGGTAAACTGGGGTAAAAACACCCATGGGGTAAAAACCGGGCGATCGTGAAGTGAAGGGCCCGGTTCCTATAAGCATGGGCGTCGCCAGGATTTTTTCTAGAGGGGGGCAACAATTTTTTTTGCCAAAAAATGCTTGTATTTCTCAACACATTCTCGATTTATCAGTTGGAGAGGGGGGCAGGGACATTCCCCCTAACTCATTAAATGTACACCACTTTGTCTTCGCGCCTCTTTTTCTTTTTGTTGTTGTTGTTGTTGTTGCTTTTCCGGGGGGGGGGGGGGGGGGGGGGGAGGGGGCAAGTGCCCCCCCCTTGCCCCCCCCCCCTCGCGACGCCCATGCCTATAAGGGAACAAAATCCACTTTAAAAATTATTAGACCTACCTAACTAGTTGGCGACATTCTCAATAAACAGGTATGTCATAGATAGAGGGCAGGGGTTTTGATTTTTTTTAGGGAAATTTGGGGGTAAAATGACGATGACAGCGCGGCGACAACACTCGACCCGAAAATAACGGCGCGCTAAATCGCAAGGCACATTAGGTGAGGGGGGGGGGGGAGGGGGGAGGGGGGGGGGGCTCATGCCATATTTTCAAATCATTCACACTATATTAACTAATGCACCCTTGTCACGGCTATTTCTTCTTTAGGGGCAGACCGTTCGCATGTCAACAAAATCCTTCTTTTTGCTAATGCAATTTTTTTTTTACGGAAATTATTTTGGGGGGGCTAGACAAAATTTTTGGGGGGCTACAGCCCCCCCCCTAGCCCCCCGTAGAACCGCGCCTGGACCCAACCAGGCATGACTCTAGTCATGCTTTTTTGTATGAGTTAACTGTATTAGCTATTATTAGAGTCCTACCACAATGTTTTGGTTTAAGTGGTGCCACCACAATGTAACGTTGACCAGAAGAGACAGAAGAAATCACAGAAGCAGTTCTCAGGTTCTCGAGGCTCTACTTAGGCCTACTACTTTATCACACTTAACCCTTTCATTGGCAAGAGTTGGTTTGCTGCGAAACAGATTGCATAATTTTGGTGTTCAAAAATTAAATGCCAGTGTTTCAGCAATGCTTTTGTTAGCTGCTTGAAGACTAGAGGCGGTTCTTTTGGTCGTGTTTCATTCGACAATGAAGTATTGCTCATGGTTTTCAAATGTTACGTCTTTTATGACTGGCAATTTCCTCTTTCTTGTTTTTTTTTGGTGTAGAAGTTTTAACACATTTGATATTCTGTCTATTGTCTAATGAAGAAATCTGTGTCGTTGTTACAGAGATGTGCGTATCTTAGTAGTTCTTCTTTGATAAAGCCTTCGGTTATCAGCTGTAGGCTAGAGACATTCATGTACCTTGTTTGGCCTTGGCGGAGGTTTGCCCTATCTGAGTGCTGTCTATCTTTGTTTGATATTCTATAAAATTGATTCTCCTTTCTCTCTTTTGGATTAACAGGTGGCATTTGGTGGTACGTGGAGGAACTGAAGCAACAGGGGAATGACATCGTCCACCACAAACCGAGAGAGGCCGTCGGTCTGTACACCAAAGCCATGGAGATTGATGAGAATCCAGAGCATCCGTTTGATCTACTGACGCCGCGAGAGAAGGCGATGTTGCGCAGCAATCGCTGCACGGCGCTGATGAAACTCCAACAGCTTGGCCCGGCCTTTGAAGATGCAATAGAGTGCATTAAAATCGACCCCTCATTCCAAAAGGTGAGGTCGTGGAGTTCACATGTTTGAGTGCGTATCATATTCAAATCTTTCAGTTAAGAAGGCCTAGAAGGTGACCTGATCCGAGCAAAATCTTTCTTTGCTTTTGAAATACAAGGCCTATAAGTTTATGATTATGTACAGATAAACGTTAATCAGTTATTCATAAATACCTTACCCATTTCCTTTGGTCAAGAGCCCGTCATGTGGCCAGTCTTAAATGGACGATAAAGACATGGCTGGCTGGTCTTAAACACTTTTCCAGTGTCACATCAAATTTGGAATCCTATGAAACTTGTGCCTAAATTTTACCATTTTATTGGTTGAATGTTCACAATCCTCAATCCCCACGTATGCGCAATACTACCAGTGATTCAGTATTAAGTCCTAAATTCACAACGCACTCACCACAGCTGCATCTGCGCGTCATCATGCAGTACGCGCAACATGCGTGCCAATCTCCCTAAAAGGAGTTGTTATACGTCTTACTCTCCATCTGGACACTCCTTTCAAAAAAGAGAAAGTAAAATTGTTGAACAAAATGATACTGGTTGGAGTCTGGAATGATAGGGGTATGGAGTCTGGATTGGTGATAATTACCATTCCAGACTCCAACCAGTCTGAAACATAGTGTTTAAGTACTCCCCAAGCACATAGTTATTTCCACCGAGATCAACCGGTTAGAGCGGTCATTTTTGGACAGCTGTCGAGCTACTCGTGGATCCTCATCCCGAGCCGGAAGACGGCAACACTACGTACCAGAGACACCAGGCTCCTTTTCCCAGGATGATAGCAGCAGGCGACGGAAACCACGAAGCTCGCAGAAGAAACTGGTGCAGGATCTTCGTGCACAGTGGCGGGCAGCGTGCAGCGAGTCTGACAGTGATGAGCACCGTTCTGGCTATCCCCAATCTCCAGCCCACCCAACTGAGGCATTCAGCGGTTGCAAACCTCGTCATGCGGGCAGGCACACGGCATTGCATACTGAAACCACTACTAGTGGATACAGTGCTGCAAATGCGGTAGGCCAGCACGCAAACGTGGAACGCACTGCAGCAGTACCGCAGGTAAAGGCTCGGGAGTACGACGGGTCGTCATGTATCGAGGACTACCTGGTGCACTTCGAACGAGTCAGCAAGATCAACTGCTGGAATCAAGAGCAGAGGGCAGACTATCTGATGGTTGCAATGAAAGGCCCAGCGCTGGAAGTTGCATGTTCCTTGCCCAAGGAGTCTCGATCCTCCTTCGACGAGTTAGTCAAGGCCCTTGATTGGCGATTTGGGACTGAAAAGCATCGCATTCGCCACCGCGCTGAACTGACTTCACGGAGAAGGCGTGCAGGGGAGACTGTTGCCGAGTTGGGCCAAGCCATCAGAAACTTGGTCCGCCGAGCCTACCCCGACAGCAGCTCAAAGTTTATGGAGGACTTTGAAATTGAACAGTTTAAGAACGCCCTGGACGACATCGACCTCAAACGGGCACTATTCCAAGGGAAGCCATCTACGCTTGACGAAGCTGTGGAGATTGTTGCAGAGGCTGAAGCATGGTTCAAGACGGAGAAAGCTGGACGATCAAGGGCAGTGATACCCGACGCCAACGCGGTGAAATCTGAGGAGCCTGCGCAGACTGATGAGGTGACAACAATGGTGCGTGAACTGTTGGAAAAACAGCGCCGTGGCCAAGGAACAAAGAAGGCCGACGACTGGAAGCCAGGATGCTGGAAGTGCGGTAGCCTGGACCTTTTCCGGGCCCAATGTCCCCTCCTAAATGACGACCAGCATCCATTAAACCAGGTAAGGCTGGTCTTGGGGGCCAAAAGCCCAGCCGTAGATGTCCAGAGGCCTAGTGTACCTAAAGTGCAGGAAGTCCCGCCCCCGGTGCAGGCAGCCCTGCCGCCGGCGCAGGCGCCGCCGCCGGCAGCTCCTCCGCCGGAGCGGGTAGCCCCGCCGCCGGCGCAGGCAGCCCCACCTCCGGTGATGAAAGTCCCACCACCGCCCGGTGTTGCAATACGACCGACATCCTCTCGTGAACAGGGACTCTATGTCAGAGGGGAGATTATGGACATGGCTGTGAGTTTCCTGATTGACACGGGTGCAACGGAGAGTTTCATCTCTACCCGGTTGTTTCAAAGGACAGACCCCAAGGTGAGGCCCACACTCATGCATGCAGATCGCAGATTTTGGCAGGCTGATGGAAGTGAACTGCGCATCGCTGGGCGAGTGAAACTGCCTATGGAGATAGGGGGGGAGTCAGATCCTACACTGCGTTTGGGTGGCAGACGTGAGTGACGATGCCATCCTGGGACTGGACTTCTTGCGGGAAAACAAATGCCAGCTAATCTGGGAGGAGGAGTGTCTCACCGTCGGTAACTATAGGGTCCCTCATCAGAAGTATCCACAGATGCCTGCAATCTGTCGGGTACGGATTACTGAGAATGTCGCTGTGCCCCCTTCTTCTGAAATGCTACTGGAGTGCCAAGTTGTCAGCGGTGGAGGCGAGCTGCCGACATTGGGTGTGCTGCAGAATAGAGAGACGGTTGTCGAGAATCGCGAGGTTCTCGTGGCCAGTGCCCTTGTGCATACCCAGGACAACCGTGTACCAGTGAGACTCTTAAACCTATCGCCTGAAGCACTCATGCTCAGAAAGGGGACTGCTGCCGCCATCCTGGGGCCAGTGGATAGTGTTGCAGTACTGGAACACAAAGAACAGGAAAAACAAGAGACAAGGGAGAGTGAAGAGCTGGGAGTACCTGAACACCTGTCTTCACTGTTTGAGTCCAGCTGCGGAGGGTTAACGGTTGATGAGCGAGCTAGACTTGCAGCCTTACTGAGACGGTTCAGTGACGTGTTCTCTACTGGGGATGGAGACATTGGCCGAACTAACCTGACCCAGCACCGCATCGAGACCGGGACAGCACCACCCATTCGACAACGACCGAGGAGAGTACCCTTAACCCAATGGGAGGTGGCGGACAAGGAAATAGCAAAAATGCTCTCGCAGGGTGTCATTGAGCCATCGGAGAGTCCATGGAGTTCACCGCTTGTCCTGGTGAGGAAGAAGGACGGGTCTGTCCGAGTGTGTATTGATTACCGAAGGCTGAACGAGGTTACAGTGAAGGACGCACACCCACTCCCGCGCATAGAGGACAACCTTGACTCACTGGCAGGGTCCCAATTCTTCTCGACCCTGGACCTTGCTTCTGGGTACTGGCAGGTAAAGGTAGCTGAGGAAGATAGGCCATAGACTGCATTTAGTACGGGGAGAGGCGGGCTTTACCAGTTTATTACCATGCCTTTCGGGTTGTGCAACGCGCCCTCCACTTTCGAGCGCTTGATGGAGCGTGCCCTCGCGGGATTGCAATGGCAAGTGGCTGTTTTGTACCTCGATGACGTCATCGTATTTGGACGGTCGTTTGATGAACAGGAACAAAGAATTTGCCTAGTTTTGCAGAGGCTTCATGCGGCCAACCTGAAGTTGAAACCCAAAAAGTGCAGGCTTCTTCAGAGGCAGGTGGAGTTCCTCGGTCATGTGGTATCACCTGTGGGGTTGCTACTGACCCTAAAAAGGTTCGTGCTGTGCGGGACTGGCCTCAGCCGGCCATTGTTGCTGATGTCCGAAGCTTCCTTTGACTGGTTTCCTACTACAGGCGGTTTATTGAGGGCTTCGCTCAGATTGCTCGACCCTTGCACCAAATCACCGAGAAGGGTAGGCCATTCCGGTGGACGGCGGAATGCCAGGAAGCGTTTGAAGCGCTGAAGCATCGCCTCCTGTCGTCTCCTATACTGGCCTGTCCAATCCCAGGAAAGGAGTTCATCCTCAACACTGATGCCAGCGGGTTAGCAATTGGTGCTGTGCTGTCACAGGTGCAGGAGGATGGGGAACGTGTCCTTGCCTACGGAAGCAGAGCTTTGACCAAGCAGGAAAGGAACTATTGCGTGACAAGAAAGGAACTCCTGGCCATTGTGCACTTTGTGAAGAAGTACCATCATTATCTCTATGGGACTCGCTTCAGGATTCGTACAGATCACCGGCCCCTGAAATGGATGTTTGGTGTTCGAGATCCCCAGGGACAGCTTGCCAGATGGCTGCAGAAGCTCAGCATCTATGACTTTGCCATTGAGCATCGGTCTGGTAGACGCCACGGAAACGCTGATGCATTGTCCAGGAAATGCTTCCCTAACTGTGACCACATATCGAAGGAGGAAATCAGCCCTGGCACCATGGTGAACATTGAAGACTTGCGGCAGCCCCAAATGAAACATGTAGGATGCAGCGTGGTGCAGGCAATTGCCCGGCCGGTACAGGATGCCCCACCATTGGAGCAGGCAACTGGGCCCATGGGTCTAGTAGCCTCTCCACAGGTGGAAACAGCCCAACCCCCGGAGACAGTAGCCTCACTGCCCAAACCAACACTGAAGGCAGTACATCACCCAGGGGAAGATGCAGAGCCAGGGGGTTCCAGATCACTTCCAAATGCCAACGCCACAGAGCTAAGTCATGAGCAGCTGACCAGGTCACAGCAATGCGATGATGACTTGAAGGAAGTGCTGCAGTGGGTGGCGCATGGTCGACGGCCATCCTGGGAGAGTGTAGCACCCTTGAGCAAAGAAATCAAATTCTGGTGGGCTTGCTTTGAACAGTTGGTGGTGGAGCAGGAAGCCCTGTGTATCCGGTGGGAGCCAAGTCGACCGACTGATAAGCCCCGACTGAGAATTTTGGTACCCCGGGAACGGCAACCTGCCATACTGAGGCAGTATCATGACGAAAAAACCGGAGGACATTTCGGTGTTGCAAAAACCTTTGCTAAACTGTGTAGAAGCAACTTCTACTGGTCTTCTATGCGTCAGTCCGCTCGTCGCTGGGTCCAGCGGTGCCAACAGTGTCAGAGACGGAAACCACCAGCTAGGGCCAAGAGAGCAGAGATGAAGCACTACCATGTGGGCGCACCTATGGAAAGAATAGCGGTTGACGTCATGGGTCCCCTCCCTCCCACTGACAGAGGTAACCAGTACATCATTGTGGTGGGAGACTATTTCACCAAGTGGACCGAATGTTATGCAATCCCAGATCACACTGCCAAGACCGTCGCAACCAAACTCGTGGACGAGTTCGTCGCCCGGTTCGGTGTTCCCCTGGAAGTCCACTCTGACCAAGGAAGGGAGTTTGAGTCTGAGGTCTTCACAAGAATGTGCTCAATCCTCGGCCTCAGAAAGACCCGCACCACTCTGTATCACCCCAGGTCCGACGGAATGATCGAGCGGTTCAACCGGACGATTGAAGCCATGCTAACCCTGTGGGTGAACAAATCCCAAACTGACTGGGACGAGCATTTAGCCCTCCTTGCCATGGCATACCGGTTGGCAGAGCATGACACTACAAAGGAGACGCCAAACGCAATGATGTTGGGCCGCGAGGTGAGGATGCCGGTTGACCCACTGTTGGCTGCCACCCCAGAGGAGGCGCGTATCAACCCATGTGAGTACGCCCAAAATCTTCAAAAGAAGTTGAAGTTGGCCCACGAGGTTGCCAGGAAGGCTAGCAGTACACAAATGAGGGCCCAGAAGAAGCATTATGACAGGAACGCAGTGCAGGTGGTCTACAACAGGAGAGATGTGGTGTGGCTCCATTGCAAGGCAAGGAAGAAGGGAGTTTGCCCGAAGCTGAGCCTGAGCTGGACTGGTCCCTTTGTCGTACTGGAAAGACTGTCTGATGTGGTGTACAGGATTCGGAAAACCCCTCGCTCTAGCCCGCTGGTGGTTCACGCAGACAGGTTGAAAATTTGCAAAGGAGTTAGTGCAGAGGACTGTGGATTCAAGGAGTTTGAGCTGGTATTGTCTTCAGGCCAACCAAGCAGCCCCGTCGCCGGCGCGAACGGCTCCCCCGCCGGAGCGGGTAGCCCAGTTCCCTGCGCGGGTAGCCCCGCCACCGGCACGGGCAGCCCCGCCGCCGGAGCGGGCGGCCCCGCCGCCGGAGCGGGCAATCAACAGCATACAACGGCTTGCTCAGAACCAAAGACAAGCACACCACGAACACGCCGGGGCAGAGCAGTTCGCAAGCCCCCGCGATACTTGCAGCAAGTCTACCCTTATCCTAACACTAGCGAGCCTGCAGAGGGCGCTAACGACCATCGCCATACGCATAGCGAGCTGGGACAGGAACAGACAGTGATGGAGGAATGTACAACGTACAACTGCAGAGAGTGCGGACAACAGTATGCATCGTCTTACAATAGACGCAGGCACGAGAAGGCGGCGCATGAAGGGCGGTCTTTTCGTTGTGGACAATGCCCCCAGACCTACCGGCGGGCCGACTACCTGGCTCGACATGCCAGATCCCATGAGGCAGCAACCGGTGGAGGGATGGCGGGCGAGGGAGCAGCTGTTGGGGGCGTTGCCGCGCCGGCCCCGGTGAGGAGAATTTCTCCGATGAATCACTCGTCCGAGGCAAGGCTGTATCTTCAAGGGTGATGGTACCAGGCAGACCGGGTGGAGACAGCAGGCTTGAGTAGGTGCTCACCACCAAGAGAGTTACAGCGTGCAGAGGTGAAGACTTCGGAAGCCGCCGCCCAGACAGAGCCGGTGCTGATGACGGAGGAGTTCTCAACTTCCACCAGGGAGACAAAGACGGAACCAGACGGCACCCAGGTATACAGAGAAACTGAGGCCGTTGGATTCCGGGAACCGGGGGACATCTGGTGGCGGACATGGCACCGTGACGGCCTGGGAGAGGGACCATGGTAGATGGCCCACGTAGAAACGTCAAGCTGAAATGGACTTACTGTGGGTAGTCTCCGATGATTGTTGTGTATTTGCTTGAATTAGGAACCAAATTGCGGCCTAAATCAACATTAACCAACATTCTCGCGGACACCCTAGCTAAGCTAATGGACACTAATTTAGACAAACTTGCGAACAGTGATTTGTAGATTTTTGTAATTCGATTTCGTCTCTTCTGATCATGCTCATCTAACATTATTTGAATAATTTGTTTTGAAAAAAAAATTATTAACAAAGAAAAAAAACAAAAACAAAAAACCCCCGTATTTTACCCCCTATTCAGGAGAATAGGCCATTTTTGGGAGGGGGCAGTGTAGCGGACAGTTTGTTTTCCGTAGTTACCAGTAGTAGACGGCGCTACCGCCGCCGGCCGAGTGCCTCCGGCGGCGCGCACCTGGCCTGGTTTTGGGTCTGGGCCGGCGCGCGCTCCGGAAATAGGTTGTTGTAAATAGATCTCTTCAATTGGGTTCTTTTGTTTGGGTACGCGGGAAGGGTTTGGATAAGTTCCAGGGCTGGGTTAAGTTGTTACAAATGTATACTTTTTCAGACAGTATGTATGCTGAGAATGTTCAGTTGTGTTTTTGGAAGCATTGCGGCAGGTAGCCGGTCTTTAGAGAATTAAAACGAAACAAGTTGAGTTTTGCTTCAAGCCTTGAGTCAATTGCGTCCCCTTTTGGCATTTTGCTAAATTGGGGGACAAGAACCCAACTAGGTCTACGCTACAATATATTTATACCTTTTCGGTCAAAAATCAAAATGTTTCGAAACCAAAAGTCAAAACAAGTCAACTTGCCTTGGGTAATTATCACCATTCCAGACTCCAACCAGTCTTAAACATAGTGTTTAAACAATCCCAAGCACACATTTATTCCCTTGTTTAATAATATATCATATTTTATGGTTTGACAGACTTTCATTAAATAGTGTTCACCACAAGAGGTCTTGGGGGAGTGGGCTGTCCCGCAAAACAATTAAAGTTTTGCCGCCCCTGCTGAATATTTTGATCCCCTGCTATTTCTTGCATCACCCACTTCACATTTCAGCTAACAACGAAGAAACATACACGACTTTATAGATTCCTGATCACTGAAATTGTGAAAAAACTTTAACATACCAGTAGAAGCATGGTTAATATCTACATGTATATAACAACCTGTCCCTTCTTCCTTAATTGTGATTTGAGATAGGCACTTTGTGAAATTGACTGGAGTACAGTGTAGATGAATTTGTGACGACATTTGATTATCATAAGTGTACTTTGCTTTAAAGTGCACTTGATGCAAGGTACATGTACTGGTACTTCATAAATCTACCGCTCATGAACCAATGAAGGGTCCTTGACAGCAGAGGCGGACCCAGGATTTGGCTGGGGGGGGGGGGGGAAGCTTACACGTTTTTTTTGGGGGGGGGGGGGAGGGGGGTTGACGTTGTTGGTGCCACTTACACCCCTATTATACTACTCGAAAATAGGCTACATACATATCACCAGGGTCAAATCGTGGGATTAAAAAACAAAAATTACAACCTCTTGGGGGGGGGGGGGGGCTGCTCAAGCCCCACGAGCCCCCTCCCATGTAGCAGCCATCCTAGAGGGCAGTGCTTTGGTTTTGATGGGATATGCAGAGTGAGCCTTTTGTACATTTTTTGTACTTGGAATTAAAATATCAACAGATCTGATGCCCTCTTAGATGGCTGGTATGCATAAGGTCTGTTGCACTTGCTCCTTATTATCAGGGTTACTGGCGTGCTGCTACTGTCATGAAGCAGATGGGCAAGGAGGATGAAGCACTGGAGGCCCTCATCGACGGCTATCCCAAGATTCTAGGTGACGGCAAGGAGGCTGATGACTTCCGCTCCAACTTTGTCTATGAGATCACAATTCTGACTGTTCAACTGTGGGGTGAGTTTTTGCTCTGGTAGCGCCACAGATCCTAATATTGACTTACACATTTTTAACTGAAACTTTTTGTGCAATCCAATGATTTACATGGCTTTGGAACGCACGTTGCACATTTACATTAAGGATAGTAGTGGCAAGATTTGTTTTATGGGCAATTCCAGGCAAAAGTGGACGTACATCGTTCCGTTACTGACCTCAGTATTCATGATTTGTTAATGAACAGAAGTTTTTCACAATACGAAAGCAGAAATAAAGGTCTTAACTTCTTTTTAATTTACTAATTACAAATAATAATGAAGTGAGGTCAATATTCGGAAGGATGCATGTGAACTTTTGCATGGAATTGCCCATACATGTAGTTTCTAAGATTCTCTTATATGTTAATTTTGATATTTGGCTTTTGACCTTTGTTCTTTGTATATATGTGTACTTGTACTTATTTTATGCGACCTTAATTGTGATTTGACCTGAAATAGTGATTTGCATATGAAGCGTGCTATCTTAAGGGCTTGACCATGCTTGGGCTCCATAAGACAAGCATGCTGACAGGGAGCCCAGGGGTACGATGGCAGTACCTGGCAAATTCGAGTTATCTTGCCTGGATCTTCTGGCTTATCTTAGATAGTCTTGTGTAGGTTGTGTTAAAGCTATAGTCCATCATTTGTAATCAGTGCATTTTGTTCGTTTGAAGCAACAAAAGTGTTCAAAATCTGATGAAGGATACTGAGCAACTAACCTGATCAAGTTTCAGCTAAGCTTCAGCTGTACATTCCGAGAAAAGCAGCATTCTAAGATCTCAATTTCAAATCAAAAGTTACTGAATCATGTTTTGAATTGTTTTGAATTGCAGCTATACGCGGCGTCGCGCACTGATCCGACGAATTATAACAACCGCGCGCGTGTGCATCGTTCCAATACTTGTGCGCGCTGCGCTGAATAACAAAACGAACTACTAATTTTAATTTTCCTACGGTGCTTCTTAAGAATCACCGTTGGAAATGCCTTCTTTCGTTGATTACTTCAAACTGACAGCTTCCCAGAAAGAATAATTTCACAGGGAGTTTAGTTCCCTTACTATCTTTCAACCAAGTTTGTTTTTCAACAGTAATTACGCCAGTTACTTTTCGGATGGCTGCAAATGATGGACTATAGCTTGAATTGAAACTTATACAAATGTAGTTTGTTTGATAAGGTTAACTTCCAAGTTCCACACACCTGCAGTAGCCTGTTGCAACTGTTTTTTGTTGTTGTTTTTTTCGTGCAGATAAGTGGCAGAAATCACAGTTCCTCTTCAGACTTCTGGACGTCTCTACATCCGTGTGGACTGAAGTTGTGCAACGCCTGGCCAGGAACAAAGAGTATCAGGTATAAAACAACCCTTCATTCAAGTTCTGTTCCAGTGTTAGGAGGGCAAGGTGTCAGCAATTGCTATCAACCTTTCTGCAAGTGAAGGAGTACTCACAATGTACGTCTTAGTAGCGGGATATCCAAAAGCAGGCAGGCAGAAGACAAATGTGAGGCGTTGTGGCAAATTGAGACAGAACTGGGGAGAGGTCAAAATGAGGGATTGGGGGTATTAGGAAGAGAACAAATTCTCCTTACAATACTCTTTGTTGCAATTTAATCAGACATTTCATTGACAAGTTGTGGCTGTTGTTTACAGTTTGCATTTATCGACATGTCATAAAAATAAAATATACTGAGAAAAAGGGCCCTAAAGTGTCAAATTTTGAAGTCGTTAAAATGAAGATGCCAATTTTTTTTCCTTCAAAAAACTTCCATGATTTTTATACTTTTTCTTTAAAAAATGTGTAGTAGATGTATCAAAGATTACATATATTAATAAATCCAAAAATCAAAATCACCCTCACTCATTTTTTTGTGCATATTTTTCTCCGCTATGGCCCCTGCCCAGTTCTGTCTCATTTTGCCAGAACGCCTCACAAAAATATCAGAAAGTTGTGGGTAGGGGAAAATGAACCCCTCCCCCACTTTTGGTACCAATGTGGGTGTCAGTCTTTGAAAAACAAGTCCTGCATTGGTGTGTTTCATAATCATGAGATAAGCTGACCCTAAAAACTGACCCTAAGACCACAGTTCAGAGGAGTTCCGCCACGTTGCTGAGGAGTGCATTTTAACTTTAGCAAAATCGATCCGTCATAAGATGCATCTTAGCGTTTTGTGACATCGGCCCAAGAACGGGTTCTAAAAAAGTCTAAAAAGTCTTCATATATATCCCCTCTCGACAAACAGGTGGATTGTGCTTGCAGTCCCTGCCTGATTCCAAGGTCCCTGGAGTATTCTCAATCCAGAGATGATACTTTTCCAGTTTCAATCGGAAATCTGAGTTTTTCAAATTAACTTCCAAAACTCCAATTTTTCTGACGATTTTTAGCCACAAAGTCCGATACATTGTATTTAAAATTAAATTTCAAATTTTTTATGAAAACGGCACTGTGACATCTGTATTGCGAGGGCAATTTTAATCATTCTGTACTGCCAGTCGTCAGTGCACACATTGCATGGTAAACGCAAACCAAAATTTGGAGTAGTTTACAGCTGGTAATAAGCATTAACATATGACATGATTGAATACATACAGAGAGCTTTAAGGTTGTGCACGTGGAGGTCAACTGCAATAAAATCCACATGCTGCGTGGTTATTTCGTACATTTCAGATTTAGTTGTTTAAAACGCAATGCTTTAAAAATCACAATGATGATCTTAAAGATGGGAAAGAGAGCATAAGTTATACATTTCACGGGCAGTTGTTGGAAGGAAAAGACGATAATTAATGCCCAATTTTTCAACGTAATAGTCGGTTGAATCATGAAAATGATTGAGTGGTGCCATGAATGGTGAACTTAACTTAAGTAAGAAGTGAACATCTTTGTTGATGAGTCCGTTGCTCTATAACCGTGATTCCGGCTTTTTAATTTTATGAAAACACTGAACATTTTTCTCATCGTAACACTTTGTTTGGATCTAAAATAAAACAGGTGACAGTGTCCGGAAATTGGGCATGAAGTGTATTGTACATGAAACTGCAGCGCGGCCTAGATTTCGGACAAGGATTTTTGTTCAGCCTATTTTCCGATTTTTTTTCCCCCTTAGGCCAGTTTCATCTCTGCCTCTAAAACTTAAACTTTATTTTCCCCCTAGGTTTATTCAAGCACTTGATCTGCAGTGCTCGTACACTTTAAAAGAATCCTTGGTTTTTATATCCAGAAAGAAATAAAATAAAAAATGAACTAAACCAAATGCCTCCATTCTCCCTTTTTAACAGGGTCTTCATCTGGTGTTCCTCCGCGGTGGTACTCAGTCGGGCAAGACATTTGAGATTGGGCAAGGCGGTGCAGCCAAAGGCTGTGACACATCTGGTATTGACCTCCGACCCTTAGTCCGGTAAGTTCCTATTTAGGCCGCAAAATATGAAACTGACTTTTGTAAGTGGTGCAGTTTAGATCTTGAAATGAGATTTGGTGGTCAATAATTAAATTTTCCAACAAGCGATATATCCATTTGAAAAAGTGAAAGATTTTCACAGTTATCAAACTCTAAACAGGATTCGCCCTGAACTTTTTTTTTTACTAGCCAGCTGGACTAGTGAGCCAGACTTTTATGTAGACCACGAGCATTTTCACTAGTCGGCAATAGAATTTTTCAATTTTTGCACCAGAATGTCATAAACATGTTATTTACAATAATTTATACTCGCCAGGCAGGCTACTTTGAATGGTTTTGACTAGTCTGCTGCTGTTTTTACTCGCTATTGGTAAGTAGACTACCGCTAAGGTCGAACCCTGCTTTAAAGAATAAAAACGGTGTTATAAAGCTGTTTCTAAACCTTCATATTTTTTTTTGGCAGCCAGGAGAGAATGAGATTTTCTGAAGGAAAGAAATGGCGTATATCACGTTTTGAAAATAAACTCTTCACACATTCACACAGTTCAGTTCTTTTGCAGTGACCTGTCCAGCAGGGAATACGACAGTTGGAGCATGCAGTTGGTAGTGGAGCTGCTCAAACATGGCTCCAAGGTGGTAGGGCTTAGCCAGAAGGAAGGGGACACCCCCTTGCACTGTGCTGTGGAGAATGCCCTGAGAACTGGTACGTACACGTACGAGGTCTGTTAAAGCACTACTCAAAATAAAAACCGTCATTGAGCTTGTTTTTGAAAAGATAATCGATCAGCTAAAAACTAAAACCATCTTTATCTTAGTAATGATCTCGAGAGCAATTCCATGGTCACTCATGTTGTGCCCTTACAACATTAGGTTATATCTCACATGTTAGACTGTTGCAAAATCTCTACTGGATTTTTCCTCAGGATGGGTGGGCCTGTTGGAGTACCTCTTCATTCACCTTTACACAACGAGCGGAGGGAGGAACCAGCCGGACATATCTGGGGATTCGGTCTTCCACCTGGTTGCCAAGAAATCTGGCCCAGCTGCCCACACCAAATTAGTCGTGGACGTCCTCCAGAAGTACGGGGTCCTGGCTTGGGACCAACATGTTAAAGTGCAGCAGAAGCAGCAGCAGCAACAACAACAGTTCCAGCAACAGTCAAGGAATGTAAGAAGTGCTGGGACAAATATTTGAATTAGGATTGATGATTTTTTAGTTTGTGTGCCTCCAGTAACTCATGAGTCAGTGTTTTTGCCTTAACCCTAAAGGGGCCGGGGGGGGGGGGGGTGATAGCCTCTAAAAAAATTTTTTTCGCGACCCGAGCTGTTATGACTTTTTAGCCTCGAGCTTTGCGCATCTTTTGGTACCAAAAACATAAAAATCAGACCACGGGTTGGCTCGAATTTTCGCATATACGTCGTGTACACAGAGCAGAATTGCCATTCGTACATACAGTGACATATGAATAATTAATTAGCCATAATTCCAAAACCCTTTGACCTATAGTCATGAAATTTCTTGGGTATGTTTAGGAAGAGTTGCTCTATGCATGTGGCGAGTTTCAAAATTTTTCGTCACTCGATGGCCGAGATCTTAGGGGGGGCGGAATCCCCCCCCCCCCGGCTGAGAGATGGTCAAAATAACCCGGCCCCTTTAGGGTTAAACCACCCAGCCTAGTTTTAATGGTAGGGTAGATCATTTGTCATTTGTACATTCGTTTTCGTTTGAAGCAACAAAAGTGCTTAAAGTCTAAAGATGGGTACTTAACAACTAATCTGATGAAGTTTTAGCTCAGTGAATGCTGTACTTTCAAAGAAAACAATATTCTAGAATATTGTTTTTTCCTCAGAATATACAGCATTCACAGAGCTAAACTTCATCAGCTTAGTTGTTAAGCTCCCTTCTTTAGATTTTGAACATTTTTGTTGCTTCAAACGAAACAAAATGCACAAATGACAAATAATATACTCAACCTTAAAAAAGATTGCCTTTTTTTGTCTTCCTGGAGATGGCTCTAGACTGATGACTTCATTGTCAGTCTTTAAAAACTTTTTTTACACAAAGAGGTTTATCCAAGTATTTAGTTCTGATAATCGTATGATAAATCACAGGTACATCATGAGTCTGGTCACAAGCAAATCACAAATCAATTCACAAGACATGCGCCACCAACGTTGGAATCTATCTCATTTGAGTTTGCGTTGCGATGCACGCAGAGGTACAGCGTGATTATCGATCAACGGTCCACCACACACACTGACATGTGATCACGACGCATTAGCCCATTAACGACGAATTAAACAACTGCTGAGTAAAGATGAGACCTATGATGATCCTTTAAAGGAATAAAAACGACATGTTATAAAGATCATTTTTACAAAAAAGATCATTTTGTGCAGGAATAGGGGCGTCCATGAAGGTGCTACTACACGGTAAGTGCATTCGAGGACGTGGTCATGTGTAGGATTCACTGCGTGATAGAACAAAGCGAACACAGATTATTTTCTGGAAGTTGTCTTTAGATACTGGACTAATACACTAATGTTTGGTCTAGAAAAAAGCCAGAATAATGTCTGTAGAAACCAGAGAGTGTTAAATTTGTGACTTTAAAAGGGATATTTCTTGTATTGATATTTAGCACACTCGGTTTTTGTTAAGAATGGAAGAGGCACACAGACCACCATACGCATTCGGCTCTCACCCCCATTCGTCCACCCCTGGTGTGACAACTCACAAGGGCTATGGGCTCTATGCGCCAACAAGTGAGGGCGCTTTCTGACCATTTTCGAGAGCCCAGTGGACAGGACACACTGTATGCCTGTACTGGTTTGTGTGCATATGGCGTAAGGTACCCACGACTGATCTGATTTTCTGAATGTGCACAAAGCCATAGCTAATCTTCGCTTGAGTGTCATGTGTCGATGGCGGCCTGTTAGAATGTCATTCCAATGCCCTCCCGAACTCTCCATTTATAGGAGGTACTTTGCACAGAATCCATACTGTAAGATTCTGTTTATTGTGAGAGTAACATATTAGCCAACAACTAAGCACTTACCCTGATTGAAATCTTCTTTTCTTTCAGCCAAGGCCAAGTGACTCGACTCCGTTCTTTGATCACTCCCAACTATTTGTAGGCCCTCAGGTAAGCATTGCATTTTTTTCCATAGCAAGGAAACTGTTCCACATGGGAACAGACAAACTCTCACAGGAATATCAGGAAAAGTTTTTTGGCGAGAAATAAAAAAAAGAATCTTCAGCTGGACAAAGATTCAATATGACGACCTCAATAAGTAGCCGTTAATGTCTACGTGGAAGTGCATTTTGTTTTTGTCGTGGTTCGACACAGTTGTTTGTGCAACCTCAGCCTAATTATATTTAGTGGGAGACTTTATGGGCACATGCAATGATCATACATCCATTAATTAAAGTCTAACTGTAGTCAAATAATATACATGTAGGTCTTCAGTTTTCATTGTTTGATCTTGGTCTCTGTGTTGGTCTTTAGGATTTCAAGGTGTTGGACTTTGAAGTAAAATTTGTAGCCTTGGAAGTACAAATCTTTGTCCATCTTCATGACTTAGGGTTAGATAATTAATACTGTTGCGAGATTTGTAGAATGACAAGAGAGTGGTCCGATAGTTTTCTTCAGCCCAAAGTTTTCCTTTAATGACTTTTCAATCACACTTTTGATTGTTCAAATTTTTTTTTTTTAGTTTTGTTGGCTATTTAAATTTTTGTTGGTTGGTTTTTCACATGTTGATTTTCCTAATAAAATCCTGGCCAACATAATGTCATAATATTTTTCTACCGTGAGGGAAAATGTACACATCCATTTTACATGCAATCATAAAGTAACTGACTACTGATGGCTGGCCAAAAATGGTTAATACTGTTGAGAATACCACGTCCTTACAGTGCTTGTTGTTGGTTGCACACAACTGAAGTTTCAAGTACCTTTCCAGATTATCAGTCATGACATTTTCAGCAGGAAAAGTGCCGGCAGGAGGAAGAGCAGAGAAAACAGGAGGAGCAGAGAAAACGGGAGGAGGTCCAGCGACAAGCCGAAGCCTACGTGATGAAACTGGAGGAGGAGCAGCGCCAGATGGAAGCAGAGGAGGAACACTGGAGGCACGAAGAGAAGATACAAAAGGAGAAAGAACGACAGGAGCGACTACGCTTACAGCGGGAAGAGAAGAAGAGGAAAGAAAACCTGAAGAGGAAGGAAAGGAGAAGGATGCAGAAAAAAAAGGGTGAGGCAGTATTATTATTATAGTGAAACCAAAAGTTCCTCAAAAGTGCCCTAGGCACTGTAGCTCGCCTGTTGATTTTCCCCAAAATAGTGGCCAGCAATCACAACATCGTAATTTTGTTCCACTGTACGGTACATGTACACATCCATACAATCATAGTAACTGATTACTGGCCAAAAATGGTAAATACTGCTGAGAATGCCGGATCTTTACAGTGCTTGTTGTTGGTTGCCGACAGCTAAAGCTTCAGGTACCTTACCAGATCGTCAGTCATGACATTGTTTTCCAGTAACTAATTAATGTCAGTAACTAATTAATCTTAGTGGCCCCAATTTCCCCCCATCCCCCTAGAAACCGACATGGCAACAGGAAGAGATGATGAAGTAAAAGCAGATGGAGGAGCAGCAGTGGCAGGAACAGCAATTGTTGGAACAACAGAGGGAAGAGCGGTGAAAACAGGAACAGCGCCGGAAGGAGGAAGAGCAGAAATAACAGGAGGAAGAGAGGAAACGGCAAGAGGACAGAAAATGGGAGGAGCAAAGAAAGGGGGAAGAGCAGAGAAAACGGGAGGAGCAAAGAACGGGGGAGGAGCAGAGAAAATGGGAGGAGCAGAGGCAAAGGGAGGAGCAAAGAAAACAGGTGGAGCAGAGAAAACGGGAGGAGTAGAGGAAATTGGAGGAGCAAAGGAAACGAGAGGAGCAGAGAAAACAGGAGGGGCAGAGGACACAGGAGGAGCAAAGAAAGGGGGAGGGGCAGAGAAGGGGGAGGGAGCAAAGGAAACAGGAGGAGCAGAGAAAACGGGAGGAGCAGAGGCAAGGGGAGGAGCAGGGAAAACAGTGGGAGCAGAGAAAGTGGGAGGAGCAGAGAAAACTGGAGAAGCAAAGAAAACGGGAGGAGCAGGGAAAATGAGAGAAGCAGAGAAAAAGGGACAAGCAGAGAAAATGGGAGGAACAGAGAAAACAGGAGGAGTAGAGGAAACAGGAGAAGCAGAGAAAAAGAGAAAAGCAGAGACAAAGGGAGGAGCAGAGAAAACGATAAGAGCAAAGAAAGTGGGAGGAGCAGAGAAGGGGGAGGGAGCAAAGGAAATAGGAGGAGCAGAGAAAACGGGAGGAGCAGAGGCAAAGGGAGGAGCAGGGAAAACAGGAGGAGCAGAGAAACAGGGAGGAGCAGAGAAAACTGGAGGAGCAAAGGAAACGGGAGGAGCAGGGAAAATGAAAGGAGCAGAGAAAAAGGGACAAGCAGAGAAAACGGGAGGAGCAGAGAAAACAGGAGGAGTAGAGGAAACAGGAGAGGCAGAGAAAAAGAGAAGAGCAGAGACAAAGGGAGGAACAAAGGACACAGGAGGAGTAAAGAAAGGGGGAGGAGCAGAGAAGGGGGGAGGAGCAAAGGAAACAGGAGGAGCAGAGAAAACGGGAAGAGCAAAGAAAGGGGGAGGAGCAGAGAAGGGGGAGGGAGCAAAGGAAACAGGAGGAGGGGAGAAAACGGGAGGAGCAGAGGCAAAGGGAGGAGCAGGGAAAACAGGAGGAGCAGAGAAAAAGGGAGGAGCAGAGAAAACTGGAGGAGCAAAGAAGGGGGGAGGAGCAGAGAAAATGGGAGGAGCAAAGGAAACGGGAGGAGCAGGGAAAACAGGAGGAGCAGAGAAAAAGGGAGGAGCAGAGAAGGGAGAAGGAGCAAAGGAAACAGAAGGAGCAAAGGAAACAGGAGGAGCAAAGGAAACAGGAGGAGCAGAGGAAGTGGGAGGAGGAGAGGCAAAGGAAGGAGCAGAGGAAATGGGAGGAGGTCCAGCGACAAGCCAAAGCCTAAGTGATGAAACTGGAGGACCAGCGCCAGACGGAAGCAGGAGAGTGGGCGAGGAGGCGGCTGCAGCAACTGGCCAGGGCCGAACTGAAGAAGAACGAGGAGGATCATAGCAGCAATGGCGGCGCCAGACTCACAAATTGAGGGGGGGGGGGGGCAAATGCCCCCCCCCCCCCTTCGACTGCGTTTTCAGCGGGAAGAGAAAAAGAGGAAGGAAAAGAGAGAGATTCAGAAAAAAAGGGTGAGAGACGGTATTATTATTATAGTGAAACCAAGCATTCCTCAAAAGCGCCCAAGGAAACCTGTAGAGAGTAGACAATAAGAAGAAATTACAGTTTTAGGGGTGGGAGGAAAACCCCAGAAGATTCTGGGGAAAACCCCCGGAATCAGGCAGGGACTTAAAAACCAATCCACATGTTGGCCCGGGCGGGATTCCAACCCGGGCACAGCGGTGGAAGGTGAGGAAAGTACGTCTACGTCAACCTTGACTATTCATCAATCACCATCAAGTGCAGATCCAGGATTTTTTTAGACGGGGGCACATCGTTGGGGCATTTGCTATGAGAACCAGTGCAAGCGCGGAGTGCGAAGCCCTTTTGCTGTGGATTATTTTAATGTATGTATAGGTGCTGTTTCTTTTTTCAGTACTTTTTTCGGTGTTTGTCTAATGTTTGTCTTTATTTGCTGGTCCAGGTTTATTTCCATATATTTTAATGTGTTTTCATGTACCCCCGCATTTTACTGTTTACATGTACTACTTTTTTTTGTACTGTAATTTCTGGGCACCTCTGGAAAACAGTGTTCCACGGAGAGGTTCCCCAGGGTAAATAAATAAGAAATAAATAAGAAGTAAATAAGAAATAAATAAATAAAATATATATGAGTATTATCAACTTGTTTTCAGTTAAAACTGACATCACTTATATTTTCAATTCTCATAAAGTCTGTTAACGTAGGATTATTTATGATTGTATTTACAAGTAAAATGCGTATATAATAATTCACTGATTAAGTTAAGTAATTCTTTGTTGAATATTTTTGTGTGTTGGTAGGCGTCTTTTGTTTTTATAAGGCTATAAACTTCAGTTTTACAGCAATACAACGTACGTTGCGACACGTCAGACGGACAGACGATTTCCGTGGCAGAAAATGTTGATTTATTCGGTTCAGTACCCGGAACGAATTAGAATAAACGTACTTTAGCATTGATATGTAAATGAGACATGGTACAGTGGTTCAGGGTGGGTCATTTGAATAGGGAGTGGCACATGCAAATAAGAGCCTGCTCATGTTTAGGACACTGAACAGATTGGGGTTTGATGCCAATGAGCTGAGAATTGTATACTCTGGCTATGTTAGACCCACCCTCGAATATGCAGACACTATTTGGCATTCTAGTATTACTATGGAATTAGAGGCAATCCAAAAATGTAGAATCGTACTGGGTGATAGGTCTGAGAATTATAAAGATGACTCGTAATCAGGATTCCCTATCTGACAGGAGATTGCAGCATAGCTATTAATTTGCTAAAGGGCTCAAAATCAATTTCCACACTAGCCTTCAGTCAAGTCCCACGCGCCTATACCCGGACCATCTGGACACGTAACGTACCCTGGATGCTGGCACGTAAAAAGACAAGCACGAGCGGCAAAGCCGCGAGGGCCTTTACTATCTCGTGGAACTATAATAACTTATTCATTTATTCACGTAATTAAATCAAGCAATATAAACCAATCATCTAACGGTGGTCTGCGGTTACCAGCAACAGCACGCGCGCCATGGCTGTCTGGCACCAGACGACGGCTGCATGATATACGTTAGTAATTCTGCATTTTTATTGGTCAATTCACAACGGGTAATGCATTATGCATGTCTACCAAATCGGTAGACAAATGTAAAGAAAAACATAAGCGTTCTCCACGAGATGGTAAAGGCCCTCGCGGCTACGCCGCTCGTGCTAGTCTTTTTACGTGTCAGCATCCGGGGTGCATCACGTGTCCGGATAAACGTGTGGGACTTGACTAAAGGCTATTTCCACACTAGCATCCTTGTTCCCCCAACACGGTTAGAGTCATGACAGATGTCCAAGGTAAAAAAATAAAATTAAAAAAAAAGTTTAAAAAAAACCCAGTTCCCTCTTTTATCGATGTTTTAAATAATTATGTTATCTCCCACTTATCCAAATGTATCCACAACTATTTTTACTTCTTCAGTGTGTGTATTAAGGCGTTCATCGTTCTTATTGTTTTTGTCTTAAATGTTTTAATATCCACTGTTTTATTTCATATATTCGTATTTTTATTTACTACCAATGTTAATTGTAGTTTCTTTGTTTGCATATGTACCACACTTTTAATTTGGCCTCATGGCCATAATTAGTCTGGATATAAATGATTATATAACCGACATACAGATCCTTGTCATTTGATTGGTGGAACTCACATCACGTGATATTCGTTATTGCTCCCATTCATGCCGAGCCTCAAAAAGTACTATCCGCCCATGGGGAATGGGAAATACTATTCAACAGTTGGGGTCACGACGCGCCATTTGTGTGCAAATGCATGCAGCTGGTGTGCGCGTTTAGCATTGCGCGTAGCGCGTATTGTTCCAAAGAGCCAGCGATACAGCGTTGAGTTCAAACATTTTCGTGAAGGGGTGGTTTGGAAGAGAGAAATGCATTTTCTTCTAGTTTTGTATTGGAAAAAAATTGTTCAAATATATCAAATGACAAGGATCTATATGTCAGTTATATAAATCAAATATTGAGTGGCTTTAAATTGTGAAATGGGAGGAATATTATTGCTCGGTAAAATCTGGACTTTTCCAGTTCACTCGGCTTCGCCTCGTGAAATGGAAAAGTCCAGATTTTACCTTGCGATAATATTCCTCCCATTCCACGTGTTTGAAGCTAGACCACTTCATGCTTGCGAGCAGCAACGACAACCCACAATTTTAACACCAGTATATTTGTCAAGTTTTGTTATTAAATTGCTACCCTAGCCTGAAGGATTTGTCTTGCATAGCTCAGGTGTACGTTTCCACTTTTCCAAAAAATGGTTTTTGTGTTTTTTTGTATCTTGCAGTCATTACAGCAATGGGATTAAACAAAACATGAAACGTTGTACGAAGATTCAACAGCTATAACAACTGTGAAGGAGAGTGATATCTCATGGTTTAATACTCTGTATAACAAAATGCTTATAATGAATCTAATAATCTGAATAGCGAATTGTTTTAAATAGGACCATTGGAAAGGCTCTTATGCCTAAACGATACTTCTGTAATGTATGCTTACATCAAGTCTGTAAGGTTGAAAATATTGAACGATTGTAAATAAAACACTGGGCCATCATGCCCAGTTGCTGCTGTACACAGAAATACCAAAATCAAGTTGATTTGTTTGTTTATTGTGTATAATGCTGTTGAAATGATAAGGGGTTTGAGTTTGAGTTTGAGCTTTACTGCAAATTTTCCAGCTTGATTAATATTTCCCTGCTCATTTGATTTAGTTGCGAAAACCTGTCTTGCTTTGGATGGAACAAAAAGTGTTTTTTTAACCACTGAATCCGACATTTTTAGGTGAACCTTACACGTTTAAATACGAGATTGTCTTTGAATCTTCAGTGTTTATTGCATTATTACAATATTTTTTCAGCGCATTTTTCTATAAGCGACCAAAGTTAAATGTTCTCCTGAAGTCTTCACGGACTTCTCAGTTTATAAAATAATAAAAATAAAACCATGAGGGAAACCGACTTAGTGTATTATAATAATTTAAAGGTTTAAAAAAAAATATAAAGGATATCAATAAGACCATTCAGTGTGGTTACAAGATGCTAGGAATCTGTGTCACTCGTGTTCCTGAACAAGAGTAATTTTCTCTCCCAGTGTGTCTCCCCTAGGGTCCTGACTAATTCCATCTGACAGGCAGACGTCAGGTAGTCTCGGATGTTTTCGTCGACATTCTCTCGCATAGTGAGCTCTGTGAATCGCCACGAATTCTCGATACCGACTTTCCGCACCCGACGCAGGGCCGACTTGTAACACTTCCAGGGCTGGGGCTCCACGAGTAGGTACCTGGACAAGCGTGCGGCCTCCGTCAGGAATTTGCGCAGTCCGGCATCGCCGTGTTGAAGGTGGATCCACATGGTGATGGAGAAGCAGCACACCAGGTCAAATCTGTCGATCGTCTCCGAGTCTCTTGATGACAAGAATTCCGTCAGGTTGGATTGTCTCGAGGCATCGCACATGAAGTCCACTGTGCGATAGGCAATGTTTTTGGGGAAAGAATTGGACTCGTGTGCACGGAAGATGAGTGTTTCGTCAATGTCGCATCCCAGAACATTGACTGATACACTGAGCGAATCTCTTGAAAGATGAGACATTTCAGCAGTGTTTGAAATGTCATCATTAGCTTCATCAGTTGATGCTGCATGTGTGAGACTGTCCTCTGTTTCTTCTGCTTGACTGAGATTTGGCTTAGTCAGGTGCAGGTATAATGCCTCGGTCAGATTCTGTAAAACCACATAAATGTTATTAGAATATTATTGGACTTTTGTTTAATACGTACTCGACACAAGTTAGTAATATCTTAGTGATATGGCAAGTTAATATTTATATGGTGTTGGCCTAGTACAGGTACGTGCATGATGAGGGCGCTACACGATCTGCCAGCTTAAGAACGGAATAACTTTGGACTGGATCATGGCTAATTAAAAACTTTGCTATTTTGCTATTTAACAAATGACATTAGGCCCTATATGAAATTCATAAAAAAGTTACTCATAAAAGAATGCTCTCGTGAGGTTGCAGAGGTCATTTTAAAAGCATTAATAACTGAAAACGTTATCGTAACTGAAACGAAACCAGTATTATTGGAATTTCTATTGTGTTCCAACCCATCAAAAGTTTTTCGTTCGGCAAGTTCGACAACAACATTACAATGGACAACTAACAGTGTTGGCCTGCTGCACTGACATGGGCGTCGCCAGGATTTATTCGGGGGGGGGGAGCAAAGCATATTTTCTGCCCAAAATTCCTTAAGTTTTTCAACATATTCTCAATTTGTCATTTTTCCGAGAATGGGCAGGGGAACGTCTGCCCTAACCCCCCCCCCCCCCCCCAATCAAGTTAACGGTAATCCTTACTTTTAGGACACCTCTATTTTTTACGAGTTCTGTTCAAAACTGACTTTTGCAGATGTCCGTCCAGTACCAAAGTGACTTTTGCAGGCTAAAGCAGTCTTTAGAAGTCAAGAAGGTGTCATTGCCAATTGTTCAGATGTGCCAAGAAGTATCAGAATGTCAATTTTGAGTGTCATTTAGTCAACTGTTTTGGTGAGTCTTTCCCTTCCTATATAGGAACGGGGTCCTAAAAGTAAGGATTACCAAGTTAACAGCAATATGGCTTCACACCCCCCCCAGAAATGGGGGGGGGGGGGGGGGGGGGAGGGAAAGAAAGGAGGGGAGCGCTCCCCCCCCCCCCCCGCGACGCCCATGTGCACTAGTCTAGTATCTGCGGCGCGGATTGCCAGACAACACTGTCAATCAACAATGACAATGTGACAACCAAATAATTTACCCCTGCATTGCATCCAACATCCAGTACTGCAACGTTCCTCTTTCTCCCTACATTACTTATGACTCTCAAAAGGTCATCTGGTAGGAACCGTATTCGCTTCTCTGGTGGATTAAAGGAATAGTAATTGATGAAATTTCCGAATGGAGCCGCGCCAGGATGAAAAGTGCCCACGGGCGCAGCCATTTTAATTTTTTAGACTGGATATCTGCCACAACAAATGGGGTATTCGAATGTTTTTTGCTTTATCTCCGAACTTCGGCGTCAGCTGTAGCTAGCTCCATATTTTTTATATCCCTGACTTGAAAGATTTCAGTTGAGCATTTCACAATTTTCTGATATGGAGACACCAGATTATTTCACAACAGGCCAACGGTTGGCGTCTTTTATTGGGGTTTAACGCATAACGATTCTTATAAATCTTTGACTGGAGACAAAGACTAAGCCGGAACGAAACAGGCGTTTCGTAAACTAAAAATGATCTGCACGTGTCACATGCACATCCGTACCGTGCAGATTTGATCGTGTAGGGGAAAACCCGCGTGTGAAATTAATTCGCTAATTAATTTAAAGCTGTCGATTCGGCGGTGCTGACTGCAGTAGCTCAAATTCCTAAGATGTTGCCTGGCAGAAATAGAAGAAGAGGCCAGTAAAACTGAAGCAAGATGGACACTCGCGATGACGAGTGGCATCGAACACGGCGACGTGCTCGTGCCATGCATCATCCGATGGCGACAGAACGCGACTTTCATGACTTTGCTAGGATGCCCGGTACGTGTAGCGTTATTTTACTCGCTTCCTTCAGTTTCCCAAAAATATTATTCTGCCTTGAACTTATTTAGTCATGCATTGGTACCGTGACCTTAGTAAAACTTTATCTGGAAGTCATGTGACATATTTTTTTATTGAAGTGGAGGCCGGTGACGGGCGGGAAGTCATAAAAAGATGGTGTCCGGAAATTGGGCACAAATTTGTGCCGAAACTTTATTTAATATTTTAAGTCCTTCAGTCCTTGCATCACAATAGGCTCTTGATTTTGTTTTTTGCTCATATTGAACCTGTGTTTACTTTCAAGATGTCAGCCTGGCTTTCAGAAATTGAAAACTAATGAAATTTTTTAAATCAGATGATAAGTGGAGGGATATGGAGTAATTGCAGAATACCCCACCTGTTTGTTTGTGGTATGCCTAATCCCACGTAAAGCACTGTCTTCCCAACCAATTCCAACAAACCCTGGTGTTGGAGTTTTGCTGGTTGGGGATCGTTAGGGTTAAAAGGCGCGATTGTTGTCTTTAACAAGGTGAAATATCTCCAATTTTTCATCCGTTGTAAAAAATTCAAAAGGTTTTCAATTTCTGAAAGCCAGCCTGAAGTCACTTTATGTTTATGGAATCTTTAACCCTAACTCCCTAGGGGGTGTGTAAAATTATATTGAAATTGGAGGATTCAGGACTGTTAGGAAATGGTACACAATACATGAAGACACCATGTTGAATATCAACATGTTGAATATCAATAAGGCAGGGTTTTGTTTTATGAGGGAAATTATGGGGTAAACTTTCACAGGCAGAGAATGGTCTGAACTGCTGCTGTAAACTAGCACGACTCTAACCGCTAAAACAGGTAAGAAAGTTGCAGCAAAATATATAATTCAAAATTACAACCTAAATAAACTCTTGCCTTTGCCTCCGTCCATAGCCAGTTTCAAACACTTTTTTTTATAAACCCCAACGTACCTGGATCCATCAAAATCCATCCCCCTGTTTCGGGGGATTTTGGCGGATTCAGGATACCTCCATATTGCACAAAATGGGGGATTTTGATGGATTCAGGATTGTAAGCCAGAACTGCAGGATTTTGATGGATTCAGGATACCTCCATATTGAGCTGTTGGGGGACTTTGGTGGATTCAGGATCTCAACAGATTAACTCTTTGGCTATGTTTGTGGTCAAGTAAATACTGCTTGTAGCCCTGCCAGGTCTGTCACATGCTGTACAAAAATGTATGTACTGGGTGGTTGGGAGCTTGTGACTGCGGCTTATTAGGCCTCAGCATATACAATGGATTATGTACATAACCCATCCAGACAAAGCAATGCTGGGGTCGGACAATGGCTCATTGAAATAGCCCTTCCAGACATTAATGCAAACATCATAGTATACATAATTACCCACAGCTCAAGTTGAAAGGAGAAACAACCCACATCGTATCCACCAGCAGTTGAACCATGCATTGGTGTATTTTGATGGATCCTATGCAACAACACACATCACAATCTTCATGCAAGCGTGGTATCCTGAATCCGTCAAAATCCACCAGAAATTTAGGTGATCAATGGATTTTGAAGACTCTATGGAAAAACATGCAGTAATTTGTTTTATGCCACCATGGTATCCTGAATCCGCCAGAATCCATCGAGACTTTTGCTGGTGGACTTTGGCGGATTCAGGACGCCTCCAGTATCTACACTGGGGGATTCTGATGGACTCAGGATACCAGCATTTTTTGCGGGATTCAGGATTTCGGCGGATTCAGGATACTTTCTAGTAAAAGAGCCCCAGGAGTTAGAGTTAATACCAGCCGAGCACAAATTGGGTCAAAAAGTCCAAACAAATCAAAATAATATAAAATCCAATGATTTTGTTAAACAATTTTACTGCACGTTTTGTGAAACACCACTCTAGCTATGTTTATGGTATGTACCTAGCACGAGTAGTACTGAGAATCTCCTTATGGAGCTTGCATGCCTGTGGGAGGCAGTTGGAGGATTTGCAGGATTGAGATTGCATCCTAGCAAAAATGCCTAGGGAGTAAGGGTCAAAGGAAAAGTAAAATGTCTGAAAAATACATTCAAGTGACACTACTTTCCTTTAGACCCCTCTCACACCAATACGTGAAGCCATTTCGTGGCCACTTCGAGGTGTCAGTGGGCGCAAAAGTTTAAAAATCTAAGTAACCACAAAATGGAATCAGATCTCACGGGTTGCCACGAACTAACCACAAATTAAGGACGTGTCGATTCCTTCCGTGGGCCGATTCTCATGGATGCTCCACGGATTACCCTAAAAGTTTTTGGATATGTTGAAAAACTGAAATGTGTGCACTTCAGAAATTAATTGCCGAATTGAAAACGTGTTCAATACGGCTTATTTGAAGTACTCACGTAGTGTTCTCGAGGTTGGGCTGAAGTTACATCGGATTTTACGGGATTGATTGTTGGCCTGTTTTACGGCCATTTTCATTACGTGGTACTCGATAGTACTATGAAGTGTCCACGAGTTGGCCACGAAGTGTTCCCGGACTACACGTAGTGCTCTCAAGCTGGCGCCAAATTCATCACGGGACGGGATGCAATCGGGATGGCCGCGAGATGTCTCCGGCATGCAGTCCGTGAATTCCAGGAAACGGATACGAGCACCGGTTGGTCCTGCGGTGTTTCCGAGGTGGCCACGGATTATTCACGAAGTAAAAATGGGTACCACAAAATAAAAACGTGCTGGCCTCAAAAAAAAAACGACCAAAAAACGGAGACCTCAGATACTGTTGAAGAAATTGCATTTTCGAAGTGACCTCGCACTGGTCTTGGATTGGTGTGGGAAAAATGCACAGCTTAAGCCATATTTTACCTTTTTATTTCTTTCCGTTCTTTTTTTGTTTGGTATTCTAAAGCGTTTCTCCCTTCCCTGATTTGGATTAACAGGTGGCATCTGGTGGTACGTGGAAGAACTGAAGCAACAGGGTAATGACATCATCCACCACAATCCGAGAGAGGCCGTCGGTCTGTACACCAAAGCCATGGAGATTGATGAGAATCCAGAGCATCCGTTTGATCTACTGACGCCGCGAGAGAAGGCGATGTTGCGCAGCAATCGCTGCACAGCGCTGATGAAACTCCAACAGCTTGGCCCGGCCTTTGAAGATGCAATAGAGTGCATTAGAATCGACCCAACATTCCAAAAGGTGAGGCCATGGAATATACATGTCGATGTGCATATTCGAATTTTCAAATTTAGAGGGCCTGCCAATTTGATCCAAGCACAATTTTTCATTTTTGAAAGGCCGGGCCAATGTTTATAATTATAATCATGTATAAAGGTTATTACAGTAGGTAAGCAGTTCTAATAACTAATATTGCATGGCTTTGAGGGGGATACAAGAAATATTGCATGAGCTATAACAATGTTGCATGAGTCGAAATATGTATTGTTATAACGAGCGCAATATATTCTTGCATCCCCGAAAAAAAGCCATCCATTATTATTGTTTCTATTAGGCTGACTTGATCCACAAGAAATACATTTCTGGACCGTTTTATTTCTTAAATTTCTTCGAATTAGTCTTTGCTTACCGAAGTAAATTTTGCGTCGCTCGAAGCTGCTATTGTAGTTGTTGACAACAACAGCCTGCTGTGCACTTCGTCCGCATGCAGGTGCGACAGTACCACGCACTACACTCTGTTGACCAGAGGTGGCAGCAAGTCATTTTTTGCAAGTCCAAGTCAAGTCACAAGTCATTGTTTGCAAGTCCAAGTCAAGTCACAAGTCATTAGGGCCAGTCACAAGTCAAGTCACAAGTCATTAAGTCCAGTCACAAGTCAAGTCACAAGTCATTTGGTCTAAACACAAGTCAAGTCACAAGTATCTTTGTCCAAGAACACGTCAAGTTGCACATTATTTTGTCCAGCTGTAATAAGCTAAAAGAACCTAACGTCAACTTACGAGTTATTTTGAACATGCCTCCTTAATTCCCCTTTTTCAATGTGTTGCTATTACTATTCTTGTAGTTTATTACATATCTGTCGGATATTAGCCCTTTGTAATAAATTTACTTTACATTGTAGAAATAAATGTTGAGATGACATGAAAAAAAGACTTCACTCACTCGATTACATGTAGTATACTAACACTTTATTGTTCAATTTTCATGTATACTAAACGCCTACCAATGGGTTATGCTATCCGGTATTTTACATGCAATTGACAAAGGCCTGCTTTCTTTTCATGAAAGGTTCCTTTCAAAGTTTGTTCAACCATTACATTACGCAAGAGACTTGGTCATTGAAAACTGTGTAGTTTGTTGTGACAGTCGTATTGAAAACTTTTGAAACTAGTGGGAACTATTCATTTCACTGGATTTAGCGTCTGACTTGGGTTTGTAACAAGTCATTTTTTGCAATCCCAAGTCAAGTCACAAATCATTGTTTGCAAGTCCAAGTCAAGTCACAAGTCAAAGCTGGTATTTACAAGTCAAGTCACAAGTCACAAAAATAGCGACTCGAGTCCGACTCGAGTCCAAGTCACATGACTCGAGTCAGCAACTCTGCTGTTGACTGGTTGACAACTGTCAATTTCTACACTCTAGGTTGTGCTAGATAAAGTTTCTTCTGTTACAGAAGAAAGTTTATTTAGTTTCGATCAATGCGCATGCGCCTTTATTTTGCATATGAAGTGAGACATTCCCATACCTCAAGGTAACCTTTGTTTAATTTGCATTCTTCCCTTATAAGTGCTCAGACGCAAGGTACTTGTATGTCATAAATCCACTACTCATGAACCAAAGGTCAATTGGTTGGACTTGCTCCTCATTATCAGGGTTACTGGCGTGCTGCCACTGTCATGAAGCAGATGGGCAAGGAGGATGAAGCTTTGGAGGCCCTCATCGACGGCTATCCCAAGATTCTAGGTGACAACAAGGAGGCTGTTGACTTCCGCTTCAACTTTGTCTATGAGATCACATTTCTGACTGTTCAACTGTGGGGTGAGTTTTTGCTCTGGTTGCGCCACAGATCTCTATTCGTGAATTGTCATGAATTTCTTAACTGGAAGTTTTTATGTGCAATGATTTACATGTAGGCTTTCAAATGTAAATGTACATTGCACATTTAAAGGTAAGGCACAACATTTGCTTTTGCTGTCATTTTCAGAAATGGACGGATTTGGGGGTTAGCATTGTATACCACATTAGCATTCCAGTGAGCATTTTAAAGTTTTGCATTCATCTAGACAGCCCTGTGGTTGCGAAGGGCGATTTCTAAAGGTTATGTAACACTTTATTTTGAATGAAACTACATGTACACACACATGTTTACGTTGGCGGGCAAAATCTTGGAAAATTAATTTCTTCCGTTTTGAAGACCGTATCTGCATGCAACTTTCAGGGTTTATTTCCCTTATAATGATCCAAGTGTGTGCTAAAAATCGTTGTGACATGTTCTTTACTTTTCGTTGAAATTGGAAAAATAGGCCTGTCTACGTGCATATTTGAAAGCTGTAACGCTGGTGTTAGCAATGTCTTTTAATCTTTTTAAGCCTCACAAATATTAATAAGGTTCCTACCCATTATGGTGTGCAGTAAAAATTTGCATAAAAGCCTCCTTCACAAGTTATTAATTGATAAATATCAGCCTTTTTGCCGGCTTCCATTGGTCGATACCGAGACCCACGCCAAGTCACTCCTGGTGACGTTAATGAATATGCAAATATACCCGTCATTATTGTGCTGTGCCAGGCGAAAATTGGTCAACCGTAGCGCCTATGGTGCTATGAAAACCATGCAAGTGGGTTGGGTCGAAAAACTACTTGTCAAGATTTTCCTTAGAGATATTTTGAGCTGTTACACAAGCATTAACACCAACAGATTAAGCTGAAATGCGGAATATACTTAGATGATATAAGTGTTCAACTATTCGTGAAATAACAACTTTCGTAAATTCCTAGAAATTGATATAAATACATAGATTTGGGGACATTTTCGAACGATTTCTTCCAGACTTGAAGGTCTGCTTTACCAGTAACCAGTATTGAGGTTTAGGCATGGATGACGGCGATTTTTTCACTGACATGAAGTTTAGAATTACTCTTTCCGTTATAATGTAACATTTCAATCATACTGAGCATATTTTTTGAGAAATACAATGTTCAAATGGCCATGTTTTGGGGGGTTCACGAATTTCACTGCTGTGTTACAGCGTCTAAGTAAGTAATCAGATTAGCATTACTTGACAACCAGCCAAGCTTCACCCGCGCAACCATATATGGCTGTAGATACCAGGAAAACCCCCCCCAAGAAAACAGGCTGTTCTCGTGATCTGGTTCCCTGACCTGACACTTCAGATGAAACAGAACAATTTATAGACATCTGGGAATTGTCAGGCAAGGCAACTAGACTAGCCAGCTTGCCCCGTCCTGTTCACAGATATGTTATCGATTGCAAACAAAATGGGGACTAACTAAATTTGGTCCATTTGGGGCAGTATTTTTTCCCAATGATGGTTGGTAAAATTGATACAAAATTCCACTTTTCTTGCAAATGACAACATATTCCCAGGGTGCAACACTTTCACAGGGTGCTTGAGGCTATTATTTACCTACTTTCAAATAAGGTATTTTCCAATAACTTGGCAGTTTGGTCATCCAGGGGTCATTTGAGGTCGTCGTATAAAAATGCACAAAATTTGAATTATCTTATGCACACAAAACATAGGGATAGACCACGGAAAAAAGCGACACACGCGATTTGCAGATGACTTGTTTTTGTCTATTGCATTCATAAATGGCACAAAGTCTGTTGAACAGATTCAGTCAAAGGATGACCTTGGAAGCTCTATACGGAAATTGTTATAATTTGCATGACTAGGGCTGTGTTGTTTGAGTTTCAGTTGGGAAACCGACCTAACAATTTACTTTCGAGAACGGTTTTATAATCCTTCCTAAGCGGATTACGTTGACGGTGCTCGTTGACGTTAGGATTAATTTTTCCGTGGTCTTGATTCATTAACCGTGAGCAGGACTGTAACCTGATGAAGTTTTAGCACTGTGAATGCTGTATTTTCTGAGAAAACAATATTCTAGGATCTTGATTTCAATTCGAAAAGTTGCCGAGTCGTGTTTTGAATTGCGGCCAAAATCAGCATCGGGGCCACGTTCTCATGCAGCCGATTGCAGCTACGTGATGTAATGCACTGAACCGATGAACAATAGCAAACGGGCACACCCATTCACGGATTCGCCGAATTACAAACCAGCTAAATTTCCAAATGTGTCAATTGATGCATCTTTGGAAATGGCCTTCTTTTATTGTTTTCTTCAAAATGACAACATGCCAAAAAGAATAATTTACAGGGAGTTTCTTGCCATCACCATTTTTGAACTACATGTACGGTATAATTAAGTTTTTCAACAATAATTTTGTCAGTTACTTTTTGCATAGCTGCAAATGATCTACTCTATCTTTAAAAGAAAGCCATCTTGGGTTCAATAATTAACTGCCACACACCTGCAGTGTCCCGTTGCAACTATTTTGGTTTTTCTTCTTCTTTTTTTTCGTGCAGATAAGTGGAAGAAGTCACAGTTCCTCTTCAGACTTCTGGACGTCGCTACATCCGTGTGGACTGAAGTTGTGCAACGCCTGGCCAAGAACAAGGAGTATCAGGTATAAAACCAACCCTTCATTCATTTTGATCAGTGGATTCAAGCTGCGTTGCTAAGGAAGTTCAGACGTGCTGAATGCATTTTAAAGATATAGTTTATCATTTGTAATTTGTGCATTTTGTTCGTTTGAAGCAACAAAAGTGTTCAAAATCTAATGAAGGATACCGAACAACTAACCCGATGAAGTTTCAGCTAAGCTTCAGCTGTATATTCCGAGAAAAACAGCATTTTAGGATCTCAATTTCAAATCAAAAGTTACTGAATCATGTTTTGAATTGTTTTGAATTGCAGCTATACGCGACGTCGCGCACTGATCTGACGAATTATAGCAACCGCACGCGCGTGTGCGTCGTGCCAGTGCTTGCGCACGCTTCGCCGAATAACAAAACTAACTACTAATTTAAATTTTCCTACGGTGCGTCTTAAGACAAACCGTTGGAAAGGCCTTCTTTCGTTGATTACTTCAAAATGGCAGCTTGCCAGAAAGAATAATTTCACAGGGAGTTTAGTTCCTATCTTTCAATCAAGTTTGTTTTTCAACAATAATTAAGCCAGTTACTTTTCAGATGGCTGCAAATGATGGACTATAGCTTCAAGTTTAGTGAAATCGAACCTACTGGTACATGTAGAACGACTTTCCAGTGAAGACGAGTTTCCTTTCCTAGTCTTCGTTACCCATCTCGGCAGACATGTGGGTTGGGTTTTCAGTCCCTACATTGTACCTGATGCCATGGCTTTTCCCTGGAATATCCTCTCACCTCTAAAACTTAAGATATCTTTGTCTTCTCCCGATTTCTTCAGGAATTTGATCTAGAGTGCTTGCACACTTTAGAAGAATCCGTGGTTTCATTTCTCCCAATAAATAATGTAAATTGCAGAACAAAAATTCTCTACCCTCCTTTTTTAACAGGGTCTGCATCTGGTGTTCCTCCGCGGTGGTACTCAGTCGGGCAAGACATTTGAGATTGGGCAAGGCGGTGCAGCCAAGGGCTGTGACACATCCGGTATAGACCTCCGACCCTTAGTCCGGTAAGTTCCTTTTTGGGCCACAGAATATGAAACTGACGTTTTGTAGGCAGTTTACGTTAGATCTTGAAACAACAGTTTGGGAGATTTGATATTAACCATTTGAGAAAAGTGAAAAATTTTCATGGTTATGAAACTTTAAAGAATAAGACACCAAGATCAACCGATTTGGTCCAGTATTTTTTGTTCTAGAACCTATTTTGTGAAACAAAGTCAAGAGTCATTTTGTACCGATGCATGACTAAACCGCAGCCTAGAATTGACTTATTTGGATGGTGGGATCATTGTAGTAATACCCACATGCAAGATGTGTGCTTCACAAAATAGTTTCTGAAGCAAAAACTGCTGGACTGAATCGGTAGGTCTTGGTATCATATTTCTTCTAAACGGAATTTCTGTCCATTGGTAGAGGTGGTTTGAGTCTCCAGGTAGTGGAGGTACCGTATGCCGCTCCGTTTCCGTTGTTGCTGGTGCTGCTGCTGTTCCTGTTGTTCTTGTTAGCTGTTCCCAATTTCAATTGGGAACAGCTATTGTTTTCGTTAAAGTTTTTTTTTTTCCTTTTTTTTTTTTTGGCTTTTCCGCAAAGTTGCGGAAAAGCCTTTGTTTTTGTTCTCATTTTTTTTTTTTTTTTGGCTTCTTCTTTTTGTCGCCTAAACCCCATAGACTTTGTGCACGTTTTTTCTCAACGCCACTTTTGGCATTAATCTTTGTCATACATCATTCAAAGTTAGCATAAGCATAGTCCCTATAGCAAAGATGTGTCCCGAAGATTGACGTCATGGTGACGTCATCGACTAATTTATTATAGATTTTTGAATATTTAATTTTTCCCATAGACTTTGTACACAGAAATTTAAAAAAAATTGTTGATTTGCAAAGGGCATTTTTGACTCTTTGCCAGTAGTTCGTTTACACCAATCTTTGTCCAAGCAACGACCCTAATTTAAACAACATTGTGTAATGATGACGTCATGATGACGTCATCAGGTGTGTATTTATAGGCAATTAAATTGTGACACTTTTAATATTCAAGAATGCATAAGAAATCAACCGTACGCGTCCGCAGCATTTTGTTGCTGGCAAGTGGTAGAATAGGTTGAGGTCTTTATTTCATTCAGTGTGCGTGAAATCACGTGACCCTTGCTTCCGGTCGAAAAAGGCCCAAACCGGAAGTGGCTTATCATTTAAAAGTGGTAATAGATATGAACTTGCTTTTAACGGTGTTAGTTTCTTGGCTGACAGTATTCTTCAAATCATCTACCGATGACGTCATGCAATTTTCGAGCGCCCTCTAGCGACAGGTTGAAAATTAGCAAAAATGTATTTTGAATAGATGTCTGTGGCGAAGTTTGTCGTAATCGCCTAAATATTGGTGTATATGATGACCTTGACCCACTTAAGACGTGTGCGAAGTTTTAGGCAAATGACGTCATCAGACCGGAAGTTACAATAAAAAGACCCGTTTTCATTTGAAAAATCAACCATGGCAGTTTTTATATTTGTTTTTACTTTAATTGTCGATTGAAGAGTAGGTCTAAAACATTTCAATGTTTCGAGGCGATAAGCAAACTCGAACATACCCTGCGCACGCTTAAAACTTCAGGTTGACAATACCTCTGCTTCAAAACATGCACAGGACAGGACGTCCACAATGTACATGTATATGTTCATGCACGTACGTTGTACATAGGCACATACATCGTATGTCAGTCAGCCTGCAGCGCACGTGTTGCTAAGGTCAAATCCTGTCCACAGTGACCGTTTTAGCCGATTTTCGGCTAAATTTGACAGATTTTATGTTCATGCATGCGCATAGACAGGGACGTATTATAGCACTCTTGGCATTAATCTTTTTCAGATATCATTGAAAGTTTGCATAAGCATAGTCCCTATAGCCAAGACGTGTCCCGAAGAGTGACGTCATGGTGACGCCATCAAGTGATTTATTATGGATTTATGAATAATTAATTTTTCTCATAGACTTTGTACACAGCTTTCTCCACAAGTCTTTCCCTATACATGTACAACACTGATATATCTTACTGAGTAGTTCTGAACTTCGGCTGAGAATTACTATGAGAAGGAAAAAGAAATTATATTTTTTTTACGCCTTTCATTTGATTGAAAATATTCCCAAGAGTTAGAATAGCAAGTAATATGTTATAAAAATGTTTCAGTTTAAAGGAAAATCACGCATTTAAAGGTGCAGTTTTTCTGCTGTGGGATTTTTAACCTATTGACTTTGTACACGTTTTCAAGCCACCATTTTCATATTTTGGCGATCTGGAATCGTCATCAAAGTTACAGCCAAGAAAGACCCTCATACAAAAATTATGCCAAGACTATGACATCATGATGACGTCGTCATCAAATGATTTATTATGGATTCATGAATAATTAATTTTTCTCATAGACTTTGTACACAGCTTTCTCCACAAGTCTTTTCCTATACAACACTGATATATCTTACTGAGTAGTTCTGAACTTCGGCTGAGAATTACTATGAGAAGGAAAAAGAAATCGTATTTTTTTACGCCTGTCATTTGATTGAAAATATTCCCAAGAGTCAGAATATCAAGTAATATTTGATAAAAATGTTTCAGTTTAAAGGCAAATCACGTATTTAAAGGTGCAGTTTTTCTGCTGTTGGATTTTTAACCCATTGACTTTGTACACGTTTTCAAGGCACCATTTTTATAACTTGGCGATCTGGAATCGTCATCAAAGTTACAGCCAAGGAAGACCCTCATACAAAAATTCTGCCTATACTATGACGTCACGATGACGTCATCACCTAATTATTTATTGATTTTTGAAAATTTACGTACATATTGTGAAGTCTTATATCTACAGAAATGTAAGTCCGATTGGGTTGAAACTTGGTATGTGGCTATACCAGGATGTGTTATAGATTAAAAATGAGGTGACGTGATGATGACGTCATCCTGAGATTTTATATGAATATTTATTTGTTCGGACCTTTTAGCCATATCTCCCGAACGCAACATGCAAAATGCAAAATTCTTTTGACAGATTTTATGTTCATGAATGTTCAGGGCATATTATTGATTAAAAAAAATCATAATGCGGAAAAGCCCTATGTTCTGTTGCAAACAGACATAGACCTCTAGTTTTTTTTTCTTTTCTTTTTCCACTTTTCCCCATAGGTTTTGTACACGTTTTTATTCTACAAGCCACTTTGGCAATTATTTTAAATCCGATCAACTTTAAACTCAGCATAGTTATTAATCATCATCTGAGGATGTGTGCCGAAACTTTTCGTCATGCTGACGTCATCACGTGATTTATTATAGAATTTTGAATATTTAATTTTTCCCATAGACTTTGTACACAGAATTGTTTTTAAAAATGTCAATTTTCAGAGGGCATTTTCGACTCTTTGCCAGTAATTCATTTACACCAATCTTTGTCCAAGCAAAGACCCTAATTCAAACAACATTGTGTAATGATGACGTCATGATGACGTCATCCGGTGTTTATTTATAGGCAATTAAATTGTGACACTTTTAATATTTAAAAATGCATAAGAAATCAACCGTACGCGTCCGCAGCATTTTGTTGCCGGCAAGTGGTAGAGTAGGTTGAGGTCTTTATTTCATTCAGTGTGCGTGAAATCACGTGACCCTTGCTTCCAGTCGAAAAAGGCCAAAACCGGAAGTGGCTTTTTATTTAAAAGTGGTAATACATATGAACTTGCTTTTAACGGTGTTAGTCTCTTGGCTGATAGTATTCTTCAAATCATTTACCGATGACGTCATGCAATCTTCGAGCGCCCTCTAGCGACAGGTTGAAAATTTGCAAAAATGTATTTTGAATAGATGTCTGTAGCGAAGTTTGTCGGAATTGCCTAAATATTGGTGTATATGATGACCTTGACCCACTTAAGACGTGTGCGAAGTTTTAGGTGTATGACGTCATCAGACCGGAAGTTATAATGAAAAGACCCTTTCTCCCTAGAAAATTCCTGAAAAATCAACCATGGCAGTTTTTATATTAGTTTTTACTTTAATTGTCTATTGAAGGGTAGGTCTAAAACAGTTCAAAGCTTCGAGGCAATAAGCAAACTCGGACATGCCCTGCGCACGCTTCAAACTTCAGGTTGACAATACCTCTGCTTGAAAACATGCACAGGACGTCCACAATGTACATGTACATGTACATGCACGTACGTTGTACATATCGTATGTCAGTCAGCCCGCGCGCAGCGCACGTGTTGCTGAGGTCAAATCCTGTCCACAGTGACCGTTTTAGCTGATTTCTGGCTAGCTTTGACAGATTTTATGTTCATGCATAGTCAGGGACGTATTATTGATAAAAACCAATCATAATGCGGAAAAGCCCTATCTTTTGTTGCAAACAGACATAGATCTCTACTTCTATGTCTATATCTCGTACAAACAGACCTGTTCCCAAAAATATATTTCCAATTTTATGTTTTCAGAACCCAACCAGCTTCTCTTCGGAAAATGTGTCCCGAACAAGACCATCACCGATTCATATTATAATTTCAATTTAATAGTAAATTTTTTTTAGAACAAATCATTGAATCATTGTGTACTGTGCAATAGACAATCAAAAACATGTTGGGAACAGCTCTGTGGTTGTTCACTCACAACCACATAGTTTTAGTTTTTTCCTTTTTTTTTTAGCTGTTTCGGTGTACACACCGAAACAGCTCTTGTTTTTGTTATTTTTTTTTTTCTCTTTTTTTTTTTTCTTCCACTTTTTTTCCCATAGGATAACACGTGTTTTCGTTCTACAACGCACTTTTGGACCTTTTTCAAATCCGATCGACTTCAAACCTGGCACACACTAAGACCACCATCTAAAGATGTGTGCCGAAACTTTTCGTCATGCTGACGTCATCACGTGTCACGTGACGTCATCCTAAAAGAGCATACTTTAAGGCCCTATATCTACAGAACCAGAAGTCCGATTGGGTTCAAACTTGGTATGCAAGTATTCCGGGACGTGTTATAGAC